TTTTTTCTTTATGGGAAGCTAGAACAGTTGTAGCACAAAAATCTGGATCACATCCACAGGTTCTGCAGTGGATGGCTAGGTGGCTTCCAGTGGTGGTTTGAAGAGACTGTTTATGTTCCCTCAAGCGGTCGTTGAGGCAACGCCCAGTCTGTCCGACATAGGTTTTCCCGCAGGACAGAGGAAGATGGTAAACCACTTGTAGAATGCAAGACACAAAGTGCACCTTGTGGTTTTTCATGCAGCAAGCCCTGCTGTCATTGTTCTTGTCCACAAGCGAGCAAATTCTACCCAGTTTGTTTGGGGCTGAAAACACCATGGGCACGTTGTATCTATTGGCAACATTTTTTTTAAGTTGTGCGACGTCTTGTGGATGTATGGTATAACTAGTGGTCGGATATTGGTAAGGTCTTTGCTCTTTTTTCTTTTGGTCGATCCTTTACAGGTTTGTATCAGAGTGCCCGCAACTTCACTTAACATGGCTGATGGAAAGCCGGATCTTGAGAGTTTGTTTACTTGAGTGCTGAAACTCTGTTCGATGGTGTGGTGACAGGATTTTTTCAAAGCTGAATACATGCACGAACTGGCTATCCCTCTTTTTATTAATTTTGAATGGGCAGATTGGTAATTAAGAATTTCTTTTTTGGAGCGTGGTAGGTAGGACCAACAAATGTGGTGATCTGAGATTTTTATAGATAGGTCCAGGAACTGCAGCACATTTAGAATAGGTTGTTCATACGTAAAACTCAGACCTTTACCGCTTCTGGAGAAAACACTCAGGATTGTATCTATTAAGTCTTCTGTTTGTTCTTCTTGGAGGATAATAAGAAAGTCATCAACGTACCTGAAGACTTTTATAATAGACATAGTGCTCAAAAGCGGTGCGAGGATCATGTCTACGCCTCCCAGAAAGATGTCGCTTAAGATGGGAGCAACACATGACCCAATGCACACTCCAGACCGCTGTAGGTATGGAGAATCTTGCCATTTTACAAACAAGGCTTTCAGATAAAAGTCTAGTAGCTCCGTGAAGCTTTCCGTTGAAGTACCACTCGAATTCTGAAACTTGATTTCTCCTGATTGTTCAATAGTTGATTTGACTGAAGCCAGGAGAGCATCCTGTGGAATGGAGTAATACAGGTCCACCACGTCTACGCTGAAGGCTCCTCTCTTCTGATTGGTGTCACTCTTCAAAAAATCAATTACCTCCTCGGAGTTGTGTATGAGGAACGGGTCAACTATGTTGAGGCTAGAGAGGTGAGTCTGGAGATAGAGGGCGATCTGTTTCTGCCAAGTACCCCTTTCTGATACAATGGCCCTGAAGGGACATGCATCTTTGTGGGTTTTTGCACTAAAAAATATATCCAGGTGCAAGCCCTCAGCTTTCTTTATTTTTACCGCCAGCTGATTGAGACTTAGCTTTTGACAGGTGGCATATGCTCTTTCCTTGATCTTTTTCAGTACTATGTCTACAGGCTTGAAATTTTTCATTACAGCAGCGTTAGCCTTTTCATTGTACATACCCTCGGGCATGACGACAAAGCCTCCTTCTTTATCTGAGAGCAGAAGTTTCTGGGAGTTTTGCCCTAAATATCTGACCACGGGTCTGACTTGAATGGGCTGTCTTCCTTTCTTGATGGAGCTTGTGATGACGTTCACACATTCTGAGATGCATCGGGGACGATCTGCTTCTGGAACTTTGAAGGCTACCTTCCTTGCCAAGGTTAGTAAAGCAGGTGGCTGTAAGGTGGGTTCCACGGAAAATTTAGGGCCTAGGTCTAAAGTCTTCCTTACAGGAGAAGGAATACTAACGTCGCCCAAGATGGTTGTTGTCCCTTTGACGGCAGTCAAGTTTCTCTTTTTGCAGAGCAGTTGGGGAAGAATCCCCCGCCAGAGAAATTCAGCAACTTGTCTCTCCGAATTGCTCATGTTGTAGAACAGCCTTCGTTGTTGGTTCTCGGTGCCTCCACGAGCAGCACAAGCCACTCTAAGGCATTCCTTGAAATACCTTTCTTGCCGCCAGTACTCGGAGCGAAGAATCCGACACAGTCTTCTTGCATGGCCTGCTGACGGTTGTAGCATACCGCACAATCCATGGAGTTCCACTGGACTCCATGGATTGTGCGGTATGCTACAACCGTCAGCAGGCCATGCAAGAAGACTGTGTCGGATTCTTCGCTCCGAGTACTGGCGGCAAGAAAGGTATTTCAAGGAATGCCTTAGAGTGGCTTGTGCTGCTCGTGGAGGCACCGAGAACCAACAACGAAGGCTGTTCTACAACATGAGCAATTCGGAGAGACAAGTTGCTGAATTTCTCTGGCGGGGGATTCTTCCCCAACTGCTCTGCAAAAAGAGAAACTTGACTGCCGTCAAAGGGACAACAACCATCTTGGGCGACGTTAGTATTCCTTCTCCTGTAAGGAAGACTTTAGACCTAGGCCCTAAATTTTCCGTGGAACCCACCTTACAGCCACCTGCTTTACTAACCTTGGCAAGGAAGGTAGCCTTCAAAGTTCCAGAAGCAGATCGTCCCCGATGCATCTCAGAATGTGTGAACGTCATCACAAGCTCCATCAAGAAAGGAAGACAGCCCATTCAAGTCAGACCCGTGGTCAGATATTTAGGGCAAAACTCCCAGAAACTTCTGCTCTCAGATAAAGAAGGAGGCTTTGTCGTCATGCCCGAGGGTATGTACAATGAAAAGGCTAACGCTGCTGTAATGAAAAATTTCAAGCCTGTAGACATAGTACTGAAAAAGATCAAGGAAAGAGCATATGCCACCTGTCAAAAGCTAAGTCTCAATCAGCTGGCGGTAAAAATAAAGAAAGCTGAGGGCTTGCACCTGGATATATTTTTTAGTGCAAAAACCCACAAAGATGCATGTCCCTTCAGGGCCATTGTATCAGAAAGGGGTACTTGGCAGAAACAGATCGCCCTCTATCTCCAGACTCACCTCTCTAGCCTCAACATAGTTGACCCGTTCCTCATACACAACTCCGAGGAGGTAATTGATTTTTTGAAGAGTGACACCAATCAGAAGAGAGGAGCCTTCAGCGTAGACGTGGTGGACCTGTATTACTCCATTCCACAGGATGCTCTCCTGGCTTCAGTCAAATCAACTATTGAACAATCAGGAGAAATCAAGTTTCAGAATTCGAGTGGTACTTCAACGGAAAGCTTCACGGAGCTACTAGACTTTTATCTGAAAGCCTTGTTTGTAAAATGGCAAGATTCTCCATACCTACAGCGGTCTGGAGTGTGCATTGGGTCATGTGTTGCTCCCATCTTAAGCGACATCTTTCTGGGAGGCGTAGACATGATCCTCGCACCGCTTTTGAGCACTATGTCTATTATAAAAGTCTTCAGGTACGTTGATGACTTTCTTATTATCCTCCAAGAAGAACAAACAGAAGACTTAATAGATACAATCCTGAGTGTTTTCTCCAGAAGCGGTAAAGGTCTGAGTTTTACGTATGAACAACCTATTCTAAATGTGCTGCAGTTCCTGGACCTATCTATAAAAATCTCAGATCACCACATTTGTTGGTCCTACCTACCACGCTCCAAAAAAGAAATTCTTAATTACCAATCTGCCCATTCAAAATTAATAAAAAGAGGGATAGCCAGTTCGTGCATGTATTCAGCTTTGAAAAAATCCTGTCACCACACCATCGAACAGAGTTTCAGCACTCAAGTAAACAAACTCTCAAGATCCGGCTTTCCATCAGCCATGTTAAGTGAAGTTGCGGGCACTCTGATACAAACCTGTAAAGGATCGACCAAAAGAAAAAAGAGCAAAGACCTTACCAATATCCGACCACTAGTTATACCATACATCCACAAGACGTCGCACAACTTAAAAAATGTTGCCAATAGATACAACGTGCCCATGGTGTTTTCAGCCCCAAACAAACTGGGTAGAATTTGCTCGCTTGTGGACAAGAACAATGACAGCAGGGCTTGCTGCATGAAAAACCACAAGGTGCACTTTGTGTCTTGCATTCTACAAGTGGTTTACCATCTTCCTCTGTCCTGCGGGAAAACCTATGTCGGACAGACTGGGCGTTGCCTCAACGACCGCTTGAGGGAACATAAACAGTCTCTTCAAACCACCACTGGAAGCCACCTAGCCATCCACTGCAGAACCTGTGGATGTGATCCAGATTTTTGTGCTACAACTGTTCTAGCTTCCCATAAAGAAAAAACAACAAGAGAAATAGTGGAAGCCTTTTGGATAAGAAAGCTCGAATCCAAATGTGTGAGCCAGCCATCATTAACACTACAAGACAGCGAGTATGAGTTTATGGGGGCTGCTGCGCACAAATAGGTGTATGGTCAAGGCTTCGGAGTGCCGGCACTGGACATGCCTAGGACTTTGAGAGATTGATTTTCATTTTATTTTGTTTTCCTTTTCAGCTATAATTATTTTAGGTGTAATTTTATTTAATTTATTAGCTTTTTTCACATCTTTCTCTTTTCCGATATATGTTCATGTGTGTAGTTTTCTTCCTTCTCCTTTTCATAGTAAATCGTCAGTTGCGAGTCAGCGCTTGCCTGTTCTGTCTTCCTTTTCTGTCCCTCTCCTTGTGCGCTGTTTAATTATGTATAGCAACCACCAACTAGCCCAAGTATCCACCATTTTGAAATGGCAGCCTCCTTATGGGGGTCACTTTCGAGTGCAGACCGGAACCCCGGTTTATCGCTCTAAGTCCCTCTACCTCGTTGTTTGCCATGCTCGTATGCGCTCACTCTGCAATTTTGGCTTCGGATCACCTGGGTGAACTGTGGCCGTGGCGTGACCAATTTCTAGTCAAAACAAAAGGAAGGCTTCCTTTCAGATGACATTGATATGATCTATACTGTTATTATACCTTTGTCAAGAATTAAAGCAAAAAAAAAAAAAGAATTAAAAAGTCGTTTTGCGCTGTGTTTTGGATTTAGCGGTTTTTTAGCGGTTTTCGGGATTCCGACTGCGGGTTTTCAATTTTTGAGTTGGCAACACTGAACCTAACTAACTACACCTGGTTCGAGGCTAGCCCTGAACACGATCTGGCAGGATCTGGTCGCTCGCTCGCTCGCTCCCCGCGGGAAGAGCTGGGAAGAGCGGCCAGACTCCAGATTCATCACCCAAATGTGTTTCTTCCACCGTGGCTGCGAGTAAGTAACCAGACTCTGGGCAGTTGACGACGAAACAGTACCGTCGACGGCGACGTTTCGAATGCGTCGAGGCCGCCCTGCTGGCTCCCGGTTTCGACGTGTTTGGACAAAGGAAAAATTACTAGCTTGCGGCGAGCTGGGTCCCTGGGATAACGTTGTGCGGTCACGACTACGGGTGACATATTTTGAGTCGTGACCACGCGAACGCTGAAATAACAGCAACGTGCAGAGGTAAACAGCCGCCCGAACGGCCAGAAAAGCCTTCGCCTGCCTTCGCCCGCGCGCTTTGGGATGTCGGAGGAGAGGAGGCGTAAATATTGTAGGCTAGGTGGCGCAAGCTGTCACCTAATAATAAAAAAAAATACAGCAAGCAAACTAATTGCAATTTATCTATACAACTTCATAAATTAGTGCAAGAAGGTTGGATTAGTGCGATAAGAATTTATTGTGATATAAAATTATCCCTACCCATAAAAATCAGTAGCGACTCTGATAACTCCGTGCGAATAGAGGATCAGATAGCGATCGTTCTGACCAGCTGACCAGTGCTGACCTCTGGTGATAACATCTTGCCACGCGTGCTCCTCTGAGGCACCGACTGGAGCAAGGCGGCGGCTGCATTTTATTTCATCCATTGAAGCAGTTCGCCGGTAAAAAAAATGGTATTAGATCTAGAATTATTCCGGGCGGACAAAGGCGGGGACCCCGAGAAAATTCGGGAGAACCAAAGGAGGCGATTTAAGGATCCAGGACTCGTGGACAAAGTCGTTGACGCCGACACAGTTTGGAGAAAACGTGAGTTGACGCAAGACACGTTTCGGGGTTTCGTCAGCCCGTGCTCCGTCAAACGCGCCAGATTTGCTTAAACAAAAAAAAAAAAAAAAAAAAAAAATACATGTATATTTTGGGTACGCAGTACGGCATCAGCTGGACAACTGGAACAAGCTGAAGAACCTATGCAGCAAAGAGATTGGCCAGAAAATGAAGGTGCGTGAATCGTGTCATTAGTACCTACGGTCTCTGGTCTCCTTACTATTTTGCTGGAAGCGTATGTCAAGCAGTCATTTATGTGGTCACGTCGTGTACGTCGAGCTACGCAGTTTTTTTGAAGCTATCTGTGTATGCATCGTGCTACTGTCCGATATTGCACGACTGGAGGTCAACTCACGTATCTGTAGCTAAATATAGACAAGGTCTGCCTTCTCATTTGTGCAACGTTGTAAACAAATATCGAAGTCCGTCTTAACCCTCTGACAAAACCTTTTTTTTCTTTTTTTTTTTCTTTTTTACGTGAGCACGGGAGTTGTTTGAGTTGCTTCGGCCTACAAAATAATCCGTGCAACTTCATTTGTTAGCGTCCAGTGTGGTTATGGTGCTCTAAAAAGCTTTGTTTTGTTACTTTAATTTAATGGAAAGTAAGACCCGTGTGTTTCTGAATGCTCTTCGGCGACGTAGGAAATTAAGTTAGAGCACAACTTTGCACGAACATATCTCGTTAAGGCAGGTTCACGGATTTCCTGAGTGTGGTTGGTTGTGTTGCAATTGCTTGTGGCCACTTACGAAGAGAACAGAGCCGTATATTGAGAGAGTCTGGCCAATAGGCGTAGCGACAAAGGTGCTGGAAAGGAGAAAAGTGAGGCAAAGGGAGGAGAGCGCTGAACGAGTGAGAGAGGAAGGATGGAGCAAAGAGGAAAAAAACTGCCTTTTTGACGCAACACATTTTCGGTGCAGAGCACTGTTGAGGCTACGCTACGCTGCTATAGGCTGCCTTCTTTTTCGCGTGAATAAAAGTTTGCGATCGAACATCGAGAAAACTTCATTTGCTAGCTTTTAACCCACTGAGGAATTACACATGGTTGAAAAAACCCCGAGACTGCGAGTAAACGACAACACTAAAAGGAAATACACTATCATTTTACACTGAGGAATTACACTATCATTTTCTTTCCAGAGCAGCAAAATAAAAGGAAAGAAGCAAAATTTGGATATCAATCCTATGCATTCCACTGGGCGAATGAATGAAAATGGTGGCCTTCCCTGCTCAGCTGGGAGCAGCCGGGAGTTCACGCGCATGCGCTCGCGCCTTTCACTCTGCGCTGCGGGCTGGTGTGCTCACATGGGAGGGGGGGGCATTACAGCGGTGAAATCGTAAACTGGCCAAACTTTTCCTAGATGTCGCTTCGGATGAGAGATCACACTGGTGCCCTCTGTGGGGTAGGCCTGGAACATGTCCGACCTGCATATAACTACGCAAATGTGCGAGCCAGCCCTCGTCCATCAAGCAAATCCTTCAAATCCCGCGAGGACGAATGTCATCGTGTATGTCACCTGTACCTTTCAGTTGACAAGTCTCAGCAATTTTTGTTCACGCTGGCTACGAATAAACAACACTTCTGGCTCTCATTTCGTTCTGTTTTTTTCTCCGCAGAAAAAGGAAGATGTCGGCGAAGGAGATAACCTACCAGACAGCGTTGTGCAGGGGCTGAGTGAACTGACCTCCGAAGTACTTCAGGTGAGGTGATACTGTGTCTTAATACCTGCACTAGTGCATTGTAGAGATTGCGTTCTATACACCGTTGCGGTATTTTTGACTAAGACATTTTTGTGTGTAGCTGACAGATTCCATGTCCCTCTTTAAACGGTTTCAGGCAACCTTTGTCAACATCTCTGCGAACTTCAGTGCCATTCAGTTTCGAGGGACCAGCAAGCTCTTACTTTCCGCTTGGAAGAAAATTTAACATATAGACTTGGAAAATTTTGAGAAGTGCACTGCATTAAGAGTTACAATATTTGCCTAAAATAATTTTTTTTTAACAAAAAAAAACCACCAATCTTCTGCCAAAAAAAGAAAATAATAAATAATGAAATGTCATTGACAAGTGCATCAAGGAGTTGTGTGCATTATTATAACTGTCTGATGTTGAATTGCATTTGGTCGAGAGAAAATCTTTCAAGCATGCAGATTGTTTAGGCAGATATATAAACTTCTCCTTTATACTGAATCATTCTTGGTTTTTACACCATATCTAGGTATTCCTAGCATGTACAGCTCTTTTTCCAATTCCCCCTGTTGATGAACACTATTGTGGCGTTTGGTAAATACGCCCCATACCATCTTCTATTTTCTAGGTAGGAACAAGGTAAGCAGATCTCATTCAAATTTATTCACCTACAATAACTGTGGTCATACGTAGTAGTGTGGGAAGAGAATGTTAGCAGTCCTTTGCATCAGGTTGAACATAGAAGCATTCTAATGCTTTTTACAGCAAAACTGTTTGCGGCTAGGGTTCTGTGGGTTTTTCATGTGCGTCAACAAAAACTCTACGCTCGCACCGCCTCACGCGCATGCCTTCCCCGTATAAAAGATAAGAAGTAAATACCAAAATAAAGTGTTAACGAACACGCGTGCAAGATGCCATTTTGTTTTAGGCTTTTGCTTTAGAACAGTTCCTGCTGGCAAGTGCCACACGCACATGCCTTCCCCTTATAAAAGATTCAAAGTAAATAACTAGAGCCCTGCGCGGATAACAATTTCAGTATCCGCATCAGATCTGCATCCGCAGACTTTGTATCCGTATTCGAACCGCATCCGCAAAATGTGGAACCATGTCGATGTTCTTGCTAACCACCAAAGGTTACGATTACATTTAGACTAGCAAAATCAGCGGAAATCACGCCGACCGCGTTCTTCCCCGCCGCATGCAGAATCGGTGACTTTCACCTGTGGCCCCTTAACTCTCCCCTGAAGTCTAAACGCCTAAAAAAAAAAAGTTCATAAAAAATAAAAGTAAGAAAGTTTGGAAAGAGAGGAGGAGAGGCAGTGGCAGGAAGACAAAATCTTTTCTGTGATGTTGCTGAGCATATGCCACCGCCTCGAGTCTCGCGGTGTGTCGTGTCAGCCAGCGGGCAGATGCGCCGCTAAGTCCAAGGCTTGATCGGATCGACTAATGTGTTGTTCGAGAAAGATCGCGGCCTGTAGGCGCCCAAATATATACTTATATAAAAAGAAACCATTTTTTTTTTTTTTTGCTTGGGATGGCTACAAAGGTGGCGCGCGGCAGCCGCTAGCGTTGCTGGCGCCCTGGCGTCGTAACCGGATGAATATGAACTACCAGACTTTCTTGGCTAGAACTCTAAGCATACAAAAAAGAAACGGGCAATTTACGGGCTGCCGTGCGTGCGCCGCTGATCCCGAAACTTTGCAAACCGCGGCACCACTGGGTCACGCTCGCTGTTGAAGTATTCTTTAGTTTTTGGTATCATGACCACACTACTCTCTGCTGAGAGGGGGAGGTTTCTTCTACTTTCTTGTGACTTGTTCGTTTGAGGTTTTCTTTGGCCGGAGAAAGTTTTCCGCTCTTTCCCTGCCAAAGAACTAGCTTTCTCGGGACGATTGATGCCCTGCATTCTTAACTTTTTCTTTTTCTATAGATAGCATTTCTGATAAGATGAAATGCACTAACTGAAGCGATCTTCAGTGAGAATCAGATCTTTCTTAGGATCCCTATCGTTTCTTCAAAACGTGTTTTGTGGAAATACGTTTCGTGGACAACTCTTCACAGACATACATTTCATGGACACACGGTTCGTCGACGCTGTACGTTTTGCGGGCACATGCCCCTGCGACGCTTCTTCGGCAACGTATTTCTTCACTAAGCCGCTAAAATCTAGCGCGCGATTCACTAAGGCATGCTTAACCAAACCATGTCCCCCTCCCCCTTGTAATCCAGGCGAGACACATTAAGTTTGTTACGAAAATAGCAAAGTTGTTTGCAACGAAATGTCTCAGGTTTTTCGATGAAACGAACATGGAAGGGGAAGCCTTTTGATAAACTTCGCATGTCAACGAAACGATCTGTAGATGAAACATCAGTCGACGGACTGAATGCCACCGGGCAAAAGTTTAGATCCGGATCCGCGGATATCCGCATCCACAGCCCCTGACATCAGCATCCGATCCGCCATCCGCCAAAATCCGTCTAATTTTTATCCACAGATATGCAGGGCTCTATAAATAACCAAAATAAAACGTTGACGAACGCACGTGCAAGATGTCATTTGTTTTACGACAACATTCCCTGCATTCTCCTTGATGCTTGGGTAATTTAGCAATAGGTCTATTCAGTAGATTAATTATCGATACGCACCATTTTCAAGATAGTAGACTCTCAGGTAGATGATAAAGGTTTCTCAAAAATTTGCCGTTGTGCGACCCGCGTCGGCCATGTCTACGTTCGCACCACCCTCTCTTTTTCGTCGTTCCAAGCGCTTGTGTGCCTAGTTTCTTTCTGCTCTCCCGGGGGTGGCGGTCCCATTGCGCGTGTCTGCTTTCCGCCGGGTGGCGATCCTGTCGCGCGTGTCTAGTTTCTTCCAGCTCCTCGGCACGGCAATAGTCGTCCACGCGAAATAATGACCACCGATCAAGAAAACAATAAATGTGTGTGCGTACCTTTCGTCGTGATGACGACCGAGCAAGACAATAAATGTGTTTTTACCTTTGTTCAAACTTCTGTGTCACGTCTGTGTCGTGTGCTAAACAGCTTCACTGGTCATCCACCTTTGAGTGGAGTGGCTCATGATTGTTTTGTTACTTGCTCATTGACTGCAAGTCTGGCATTCCAACTCTGGTACTGATTGCCTTTTTTGAATGAATTGCCTCGAAGAAGGCTTATAACTTGTAGAATGCCTTACGAATATGGATATTATTGTCACACCTCATAATGTGCGTGATTCTATCAAAAAGACATTTGTAGCTACATCTGGAGCCATAAGGTTTGGAAGGTCTGCCACGTTGTCCCTGTTGTTTTGCTGGGGTACTTTTCTAAAAGTATGTTTTCCAGCTTAGTTTGTAAGCTTTCCTCTTCTTTAGTCTTCTTCGAGAGGCAGAGGAAAAAGGCCTCATTTGGGGAAATATTTGAAAGAAAGTATGATTTTCCGTGGCCGTAAACTTAACTTTCAAGGAGCGCTTCTGGAACTTCTCAAGATTTGGGAAAAATTCTTGATCACTTTTGGGGGGTGGAGAAGCATGGCAAGTAAAATTCTAAGTCGACGTTCCAAAGCACGGCTGCGGATCGGCCAATCGGGAGCAAGCAGAGGGTGTTGAGGTTTCTCCCACCGTGCGCAGTCTCCTTAACCACGTTTGCATGACCCATTTTATTCTCTTCTGCAGGGTTTAACTGTGAACCAGATCAAGCGAGTGCGTGTCTTGATCGACGAAGCGATCGTCCAGTGCAACGAGGATCTCGAAAAACACGAGGGCGTCCGGAACGATGCGCTGCGGGAAATGGGCAACTGGCTTCATGAATCGTGCGTCGTCTCAAACGACGAGGTATTTTTCTTGCACTCGTTTTCATTTTTGTGGATGTATCGTGTAGATCCTTGTGTACTTTATCTGGTCCCAAGTTTTCATTATCTTTGCACAAAATTATGCCGAGTTATTTGTCTGGTTCTCACCACATACTTTGTTGAGGGACTGCGTGTTTCTGCTCGCAGGAAGAAAATGCCGTGATCAAGACTCACGGTGACGTGGTGACCCGTAAGAAGTATTCACACGTCGATTTGATTGTCATGATCGACGGCATGGACGGCGACCGGGGATCAGTCACGGCCGGGGGGAGGGGCTACTACCTAATGGTGAGTTCTGCAGCGTGTTGCTTCACATCCTGGAGTCATTGATAGTGCCGAAATGGCAGGCGGGCCTTTTCAATGCCTGATCTCCAGCACAAATGCTGAGCCTTCAATGATGCTTTCACAATTTGACCTTCAGAACCAAACCTCAAGCATAAACACTGAGCCTTCAATTATGCTTTCACAACTTCACCTTCAGAATCAAACCTTGAGCGCAAACACTGAGCCTTTAATAATGCTTTCATCACTTCACCTTCAGAGCCAAATCTTGAGCATGAACACCGAGCCGCCAATGATGCGTTCACGACTTCACCTTCAGAACCAAACCTTGGGCATGAACGTTGAGGCTTTAATTATGCTTTCATGACTTCACCTGCAGAACCAAAAATTTGAACATGAACACTGAGACATCAGGGATGCTTTCGTGATTTGGCCTTCAGCACCAAACCCTGAGCGTGAAAAGAGCCTTCAGTGATACCTTCACGACTTCACCTGCAGTGCCAAACCTTCCGCAACAGTGAAGTACCGCTGAAGGCAACGAGTTCACATTGTAATCATGAAACCAAAAATCGAATCCTGCCAATCATTTTATACTTATCTACAGCAGTTTGTCTTCCTAGGGTCAGTTTCAATTAATATGCCACTTAATATAGCATAAAATAATCAATGAATCAAAGCTTTATTTTCTACAAATACCAACCTAGCTCGTTCTGGGATCCCGTTACACAGGCGTTTGATGTCACATTGGCAGTGTGTACACAAAGTACAACCAACCAAAGCTTGATGTGACAATATAAATTCTGTGTTTCATACATGGAGCCATTTGTTTTTGGGTAAAACCTAATATTTCTCTATACTTACACCCCAAACATATTTTTTAAAAATTGGGCTGGAACACAAGTATCATCATTTTCACATTTTTTTTGTTGTGAAAATCTGGAGCTCATTAACAAAATTTGTTGAAAGCGACCATGACAGAAGCAATGCAAAAAATATTTGAGTGATACTTTCTGGAAAAACAATTTTACTTTCAGAAAGGTAATTCTTATAAGAGAACAGATACTACCCCAGACTACCAACGCCATGCAGGTGCAGATTATCGCAGATAATATACAGTAGAACCTTGTTGATATGTTTCTCAGGGGACAACAGGAAAAAAAACAAAAAAAAACTTATAATCCGGGGAAACATAAAAAACGAGAAGGCCCTTGAGGGGCCGAGAGCTGGGCGGGACCGGCGGTTTTGAATGAAAAAGCCGGGAACGTATCAACAAGGTTCTAGTGTACACAGATGCGCAGAGGATATACAATCATCTGTGCGTGTAGATGATTATAAATGTCAACTAAATTTGTTGAAAATAGTTATGAACAAGTGATCTCTTATACCACGTTTTAACACAATTATCCGCACAATAAAGACTCGTGTATGTAAATAAAAAATTCCACGGACTAAATCCAATCAATACTTTTCATTGCCAATTAGTATAGTTATTGATATTTATATATAACCTGAATTTCATTATAGTTGGTAGGAAAACCCGATTTCTCCCTTATTACGAGCTCGGAAAATACTGCCAGCTATTCACTCCCCGCTTTTTAAAAACTATAAAACCCGGAAATGGAGGGCCCTACTCGTACCAGCTTCACCGCTAGATATTACGCCACACCTTAACTTTACCATGTGGTATGTCTTCATTGCATTATTCTTCAGGATCTTATACTAATGTCTCAGGAACTAACCCTAGTAAGATAGCAGTGGACCAAATCTTCTCCACCGTATCTGTGCCATATCTTTGCCTTCACTACTTTTTATTTCAAACTTTTTTACCGATGCTTCAACGAAATAACCCTAGTGAATGAGCAGTAGGCCAACTCTCCTACACCTTATTTTTGCCATGTGAATGTCTTCCTTCACTGCTATTAATGCAGAATCTGTTATATGTCTGGCATCTAACCGTATTTGGCTAGGTGCCAGAAACGGAAGTTGACGGGCCAATTGCCAGCCAGATGCTGACACAGCGCTTGTCTCCTCACTGATTGGCCACCAGTGCCAGCCGAACCTCCTCCTCAAGTGCCTGTGTGTTACTCCTAACAAGGGTAAAACATCACGTCTTCAGACATACAGCGACGCTCTGCGCCGTGAAACAAGCGTGCTCCGGGCTTTTCCAGAGAAAGAGTGCAACAGGGAGCAACAGAAAAGCAGACTCTTTTGCTGCAAGTTGCGTTTTCCAAGTGTTTGGTTCTCTTTTGCCGCGAGCTGTGCCAGGGCTCTGCTCGGCGCTACCACATCCCAATTGTTCCGTGTTTTGCACTCTCTGTCTACTGTGTTTTGGACGCAAACGGGCTCCGAGGAAGTTGCAATTACGCTGCAACTGCAGAAAATAACACCCCCCCCCCCCCCCCCCCGAAAAAAAAAAAAGAAAAGCTCACGCGCTTACCCTGCATGGCACAGGGTTGCTTCGTGCCATGCAGTCTCCACACGTGTACACCGTTTCTCCACTTTAACACATCGAATCCTGTGTTACCACTGCTTTGCCACATTGGTACGGCAAAGTTCTTTTTCCTAAGTGGTCGTTATGGGCCTTTCTGGGCTTTCTTTTTTTCAGAATGCGGCAGTGTTCCTGGAGCAGGCCTTGCTCCAGCTGGCACTCCAGATGCTCCATGGGAAGGGCTACTCCCCGCTCTACACCCCATTCTTCATGCGCAAGGAGGTGATGCAGGAGGTGGCACAACTCTCGCAGTTTGATGAAGAACTCTACAAGGTGCATCAATCGACTGCTCTCTCTTAGATGTATTACCCCGGGTGTGTCTATAGCTGCTGGAAAGGCTACTCTTGAGACTTTCTGGGTCTCAAATGCCTGTTCCAGTGTGACGGACATACTTAAGCTTTGCTTCAGATAGTATCCATATCTTCCCTACATCATTCATTATTGTTGGGTGCGTCTACTTATTGTAATGAAAAATTAAGTTTCTTCACTTCCTCTCCTGAGTACTAAAAGAAGGAACTGTTGTTGTCAAAACCGAGATCCCATTTCAAAAGTCGTCCAAATTTAGGCAGTGAGATTTCTAGCGGTGGGCCATTTTTAGGTGTCTTTTTATGAGCAAACTGCCTGATATTTAGAGAGACATACCATTTTTTGGGACATCAGAGCATCGCGTTCGCAACCGTGCTCTCAAGTATCACCTGTTAGAAGTGGCCCATCTCTAGGTGTCTTCTTCAGAGCAAAATATTTGACACGAAATTGGGGTGGGCTACCTTCGGGGAGGCATGTTATTTTTCGAATCCAGAGCACGGATCCGGCGTGCCTGGATCCGTGCTCTGGAATACTGCCGGTTAGGGGTGGGCCATCTCTACCGTAAAACCCTGCGAGGGCGCCCAGCCCCAAGAGGTCGCCCATCCTGTTCTTCTGGCGAAATATCTGTAACATGAAAATGATGAAACATCACCCACTCCCCGATTCTCACTTGCACCTCGATTCGCCCACATCCCGATTCGGACATCACGCAATGACTGACGAGAATCACATCAACCACGTGATCTACAGTACCGATGCGTGTGACAGGCGGCTCCGCTGTGGGTTCCCGCGTCTGTCCACGATCTGCGCACAGATTATCGGTTCCCATGACATGCGACTTAGTGGGGAGTTCCCACATCCGCGATCTGTGCGCGTGATATTGGTTCCCCGTGTCACGCAAGTTTAGCCGGTTTCCGCACATTTATCGCACCATGAAACACGAATTTGCCGTGTCTGCGATCTGCGGTATCAGTTCCCGTGTCACGTGGTTTGTAGCTGGTGCCCCTCATGTTTATCATTCATTTTTAATAATGATTTGCTGTCTCATCCCCAAAGATATCCGGCCTCATGTTTTTCACCATTTATCTCGATTTTGTGTGGGTGCCCTTACGAGATTTTATGGTAGGTGCTTTTCTAAGAGCAATATATTTGACACAAAACAGTTTGACTTTGTTCTGTGGAAACATTATTTTTTGGGACATGCAGCATTGTGTTTTCTACTGTGTTCTGCAGTATCGCTCATTACAGGTGGGCCATCTCTAGGTGCCTTTTTAAGACCGCAATATTTTACACAAAACATGGGTGGATGATCTTCGGGAAGACGTATCATTTTTAGGAACATTGTAACAAAGTCGTTGCAACCGTCTTTTAACGACGCCACGACCGCAGGTGGTGGGCAAAGGTGGCGACGGCGGGGTGGACGAGAAGTACCTGATTGCCACCTCGGAGCAGCCCATCGCAGCCTTCCATCGGGACGAGTGGCTGTCCCCCGAAGCGCTGCCCCTCCGCTATGCGGGGCTCTCCTCCTGCTTCCGCCAGGAGGTGGGCTCCCACGGCAGGGACACCCGCGGCATCTTCCGCGTGCACCAGTTCGAGAAGGTGGGTGCCCTCCTTTTTGTCTCTCTTGTACGAAGGGCAATAGAGGTGGGTCCATGCATCAAGGTGTTGCTCGACGGAGTATTGATGGAAGCAGAATGCGGCAAATCGCATGCACTGAGTTCTGTGTTCCCTGGCAAAAGAACGAAAAAGAAAGTGACAGAAAAGCGGAGAAAGATTGCAGACGAAAGGTTAGGCGTGTTCGTTTTGCCGCGATGGGTTGGAGTTGACCAAGAGCTTGTTAACTTTGTTTGTTTTTATGCAAAGCGTGACATGCGAGTTCATAGCGAGTTTCCGCATTTTTTGTCTGCGATCTGCCCGATATCGGCGGTGGTGTTTTTGTTTCAAAATAAAACTATAAAAAAAAAAACTAGGTACGGATCTTGCAACTATGTCTCGCCGTTCTGAGACTGCAGAAATGCGCAGGAAAATGGTAAACACCGGCGGCGTCTTTGTCGCTTTTCTCGCAAGGCTCGTCTTGGTTGTATGTCCCCTTTTCTCTCACTCTTATCGTTGGTCGTTTCCAGATGTACATCGAACAGGCAAACAATGACAAACTTTCTTTCCGAATTTCTGCTCTGGGGCCGAAAGATTGAGTGCTTGTTTTCCTGGTTAACTGTTCCTTTTACTCTCCTTAACCTGGCGGTTTTGTATGAGCGTTTGCAAACCCTCTCGTCGGCGTCAACGATTCCCAGGTGGAGCAGTTCTGCATCACCTCGCCCCACGACAACAAGTCGTGGGAGATGTTCGACGAGATGATCGGCAACGCGGAGGAGTTCTGCCAGAAGCTGGGCATCCCCTACCGCGTCGTGAGCATCGTCTCGGGTAAAGCGGCGTCTTGCCGCACATGAATCATTATTCTCTTACAAAGGACATCTGACGAGGTATTTATGCGTGTCTAGTTATGATAGAAACACAGCCTACAGGTGTCCACCTGCCAAGTAAATTTACTAGCGGCACAAAACTGAAATTGGGCTCAAAATTCTACGATGACAACACTGAACTCTAAGTATACGAGAAGCAATAAGCCGTCACCTGCGCATTTTTCCGGACAGCTGAAACACCAAAAGCGTGTCGATTTAAAGAAACTTGAAGCTCATTTTTGCAGAAGGTGAAACGATCAATGTGACTTCTGGAGTCCTAGGCATTGCATTCCTCTGTTGCCCAGTTCTTTTGTTTCAAACTATATTTGCGTTTTTTTTTTCATCAACTGTAGCAAAACATCAATTGTAGTATACTAGTGCTATGTTTTAGCACTTGCGTTAAAAGAATCTTATTCTTGGGAAGAGAAGGTTTTGAGGGCCTTTAAATGGTTATGGCACTGATCAGAGTGGACCTTTCTTTAGCAAGCCTCTATGCATGTATACAGCCTCTCCAGGGTGTCGAACCTGGACCGAACCGAACCAAACCAAAAAACAGGAACCGAACTGTTATTTTTAGCTGAATCGGAACTGAACCGTAAAAAAATATAACGGTAACCAGTTGATAACGGTTCACTGTATTTTTTATTTTTTTTTATTAGCACAAAATGAATATTTGAGAATAAAAAATTGGCAGCTGTATTTCAATGTATTGTTGAAATCGTCCTATACAGAATTGGATTGCATGAAAAATTGTGGGTTTTCGTGCCGCTTTTGTCTTGGCACTGTGATTAATCGTGTCATGTAGTCGCGTAACGCCACGTTGTCAAGTAATTTCACATCACGTGACCCCGTTGACTCATGTGACTCACTGCGTCATGTCGCTTTAAATTGAGAACGTCACTAGATGTATTAACCTTGTTAACAGAGCGACGTAACATGACATCACGACTTCGCATTGAGAGTCGCTTTACACTGTGACGTACGCCATTTTCACGACCGCTAGTCAAGTACTCGGGTTTATGACACTCAGCATCGCCAAACATTCGGGTAACGGCTTGTGTTCAATTAAATATAATAACCCAACTTTAACAATATCTGAAGCTAAGCCCATGCTCTATGCCTTGCCAACCCCAGCTCATGACTATGATAAAACATTGACAGTATATAATTTGCGTCAGATCACATGGCGGCTTGTTCTAATTGCGAGTAGGGGAGGGGGAAGCTGTTTTTTCCTTATTTCCCTTTCGTCTACCATTGCACAGAGGGGAAAGCTAATGGACATTCTTGCAAGTGATCGACGTCAGGGATTACTTCTTAACTGTATTCACTGAATGACAAACATTGTTGCACGACCCATATGTATACACATCATTGGAGAACCCAAACACGTGTTTGTTGGTGCTGAACTGCCCCAGGAAGTTGTCACCAGAAATAGAAGTATTGAAAGGACTAAGTGTGACTTATTAATCCTACGTTACATAGAACTATAAGTGTGTATGGGGGGGGGGGGGGGGGGGAGGGAGGAGGGGATTGGAGGAAGGGGAGGAGGCAGGGAGGGAGGGAATCTGTTATTGCCTTTTTCATGTGATGAACAGAAATTTTATGTTTCTGTGGGCTGGACAAAAAGTGCACGGGGGCACGTGGCGATACTAGGAGGATTACGTGAGCCAATTGTCAGAAAATGACCAATTAAGTAGCTGTCATGTCGAGTAGAGCATGAAAAAAATAATCAGTTAGCAAGGGTGATGCTTATTTGCAAATTGAATTGACTGACACCTTGTCCAGAACAAACCTTCAAAGCCGTGCTATGTCAGTTTATCCTGTATAAAAACATGTTCACTTGGATAAGCGCTATTTCACGGCATATTCGATTTGAGTATGAAGGTGCTTTTAGATTAGAGTGAACAATTTCAGTCACTTCTTTCTGCATGATTCTTCCCCTGCATCACGATTCTGAGTGTAAACAATGTTGGTTAGGAAAACAAGCTTTGGGATTGCCGCTTAGTGTTTCTATAGAAGGTGGACTGAAATGGTTTGTCTTAAAGCTTTCGTGGCATTTTGAAACTTTCGTTGCTTTTAACTCAGTTTTGTTGTCGTCATATATATAGTGTGAAACGTATTTCGTAAACCATAGTTCACGATATGTATGGCGACAAGGGGCCCATTTCATGACTTTATGTACTGTAATTAATTTTTTAGTTCAAGCTGGCACAACCACGATTTAGCGACGAGGAGTTGTACTAATCGCGGGTATTTTAGGCGACCTACCACACATCGCGAAAACCTGTTGATTCAGGTAAAATATATGTGACCCTAGTAAACAAAGGTATGTTGAGTCGTATAAACACGGCATTTTCTATGTTAATCTAGATTTTTTACTGTTGTTTTGAAATTAATTAACGAAATTTTATATTTTCGCCACTTGAAAATAAAAGTGGATTGTACGAACGATAGAAAAAACTGTACAAGTTAATCGTTTCACGCCGGGAATAGTGCCTATTACCAGAGCAATGTGGAAAATATATTCTCAATTTAGCAATGCAAACCGATTTGAACCGTTATTTTGGCTCCCCAGAGCTGAACCGCAACTGAACCGAAAGCCGTGAGCCCGGACCTGTACCAAACCGATACAATTCTCGGTTTGACATTCTGAACCTCTCCCCGACCCACGCTTCTTGCTGTTGCCGTTTTCGGAAAGCACCATCCTGCACGTCCAAGATTATCGGCACCTATCTTCGTGTGTATTTCGTCTTTTCCGACAATACCTTTTGAGCATATATAGCATAGTTCATGAAAAACTTTCAAAACCGGCGCAATGGCAAGACGCCAGTATGCTTCGACGACTGGACGAACGTTGCGCTGTACTTCATTCATAGTTTGCAGACAACCCCCAGATGGTGCTCATTACTCGATAAAGATTAATTCTGAAACGAGTCTACTATAGTAGCTATGATGGGGCCGCGAGGTCGGCAACTCTCTGCTTTTGGTTCGAGGACGAGCAAGTGCTGGAAATGGACCCTCCCCATCTTCCAGGGGCCCTGAACAATGCGGCGGCCAAGAAGCACGACCTCGAGGCCTGGTTCCCGGCATCTGGCGCTTTCCGGGAGCTGGTGTCATGCTCCAACTGCCTGGACTACCAGTCACGCCGCCTCCTCATTCGCTACGGCCAGACCAAGAAGATGAATGCGCAGGTAAGGCAGACGATCCACTTGGGAGAACGTCGGTCTGCGACGTTCGCGCAAGCCACATTGAAGCTCGGCTCGAGTCATGCCGGGGCTTGTAACGTCTCTAGGCGCAGAGCTGGATATGTTAAGGAGCACTGGCGTGTCAAGACTCAAACCCTCCCCAGGGTGTGGGTTCAAGTCCTCCTGGCCGAAGTGCACACAATTGGACGGAGGCTCATTGCAGAGAGTGCGCCGTGTAACCGAGATTACGGTCGCGTACCAAAAAATCTTTGGGCGGTAGAAATGAATTGTCAGTCTTCCGCTGAGGCGTGTCAGACGTCCTATGTTGGTTTAACACGTAGAAACCCAAAATTTGACTTCGAGCTGCAGCTGACGACGGGTATTTGTTGACGGCGTCATTGTAGTGCCTGTAACATGTTCACTGCCGAAACATTGCCACTTTGGAAACCAATGAAACGGGTCTGGTAAGTGTTGTACAGGTCGTGACGACCCACTAATGACGGAGGATGGATGGAAACTGACGTGGCGACGCGATCTCCATGTGAGGCTGATTCTCGGGATCACGCAAGCGGGATTCTGTAGCTCTGAAAAGTGGTTTGGCTCCACTTGTAGCTACGGTAAGAGCAAGCCAGCGTTGGCTTGTGCTGTCTTCTGCTAGAGCATTCCACAATAACCAGTCGGCTGCGTCATCGCAGTCGAACGAGCACCTGACGAGTGAAGAGGCTGGTGAAAACTTTGTGTATTTCTCTTGTGTGTTTTGGTCTTTGCAAGCGCACCTTTTCCACAAAAGAACACTCGCCAAAAAATTCTGACACAATAGCCCAGCTTCCCAACCCTTTTCACAGTCGTAGAACACATTTGTTTGTTTAAGTAAGTTATTAATTAGTTACAGTATCTGCGGGGTTCAAGGGCATTACAGAGGGGAGGGGGACAGAATCAGTAGTTAGACCACAAACAAAAGACTGGAGCCTATTAACCGAATACTACTATACATATGAAATGCAAAGAAATAAAAGCAAAGAATGAAATTATGTTAGAAATAAAACAGAAAGACATATTGTAAAACCCCTAAGGTTCACGTGCCCCTAACTTTCACGACTTCGAAAATTTGCAAATATTAGGGGTTGCAAGTATTTCTATTGTCTGGAGAGGCGAATTCCAGCCTTTAGAATTCTCTAAAGTTAACGGTTGCAAATATTACCCTGCTGCCCAATTCGCGAAATATGGAGACCGCGAAAATGAGGGGCTTTACAGTATTAGCACAGGTAGGTAGTCGGTGCCTTTCTAAACAAATCATTGGACGCTATATTTGCAAGAAATGCAAAAGGCACAGTGTTTTGCAGTTTTATTCGATGCATCCCTTTAAAGCGAGTTTACAAGACTAACGAAGGTGCCACGACGTGGACGACTCGCTGACAGTGTTGTTTTATTGCACCTGTCTTGGCAGACGGAGTATGTGCACATGCTGAATGCGACCATGTGCGCCGTCACCCGGGTCATCTGCGCCATCCTGGAGAACCACCAGACGGAGACAGGCGTGGTGGTGCCCGAGGCGCTACGTCCATTCATGCCACCCGGTGAGTACGTCTGGGACGCTTGAGCGCCGTTCACACACTTGCAACCGAGTATGACCGAGAGAGACAAGACCGGTATTTAAGCCTCTTGCGACGGCGTACGACCGGATGTGCTGCTGCGGAGCAGGTCTTTTACCGTCGCAAGAGGCTTAAAAACCGGTGAAGAAAGGGAAAAAACACAGGCGAGCTGGTGAATGATATCCATAATAACCCTGAGACGTAGGAAAAATAAAAAAACTGACAGTACAACAAAGTCTCTACAAGAGAGGTGCAGATCATATCTTGAGCTTTCACTTGGGTAAAACATGATGTCTCAGTTTTGATCAGCCTCTGTAAGTTAGTACAGATGATCCTTCAGTGTTCCTGGTAACGTGATGACCTCTTGAACTTATATGTTGGTTTATTCGGGACTAATTAATAGAACATGCTAACACAGTAGAACACCTTTATAGGAGGTGTGATCAAAAAAATTCCAGGACCAATTTCGTAGCGTAAAAAGAAAGGGCAGCTCAGTGGTGCGCGCACAGCAGTCTGAGGAAGGGACTTCCTTGTCTCGTTTTAAATGTCACTCGCGTTTTAGGAACGGCAGAACATAGCTGGAAGACGAAGAGCAGTAGGGCGACCTTATCCGACCTCTCTTTGACTTGAGTGACGTTCTGCCATTCTTGAGGCGCGAGTGCCACTCAAAACACCTCGCACACCTCTCTGCTTTTTGACATAAGCCTTCTAAATCATTTCAGAAGTCTCCGTTCTAGATTTGCTGAGTTTGTCGTAAAATTGATGTTCGCTGCCGCTTTGGTTTGCAGTCTATGGAGAGATCGCCATTAGGTTTGTGCTTGTGGTAAAACGAACTCGTGTAGCGCAGTTCTAAATGTTCAGAGCGACGCCCTTTGGCAAAATGACGCAAGAAGGTGCCTGCCTTCTACTGCTGTGCACGCATCACTGTGCTGCCCTTTCTTTTTGCACTACAAAATCGGTCTTGGAACTTCGTTATCACACCTTGTACTAGGTACTAAGGTCAGGGTTTGACAGAAAATGTTAGCTCTACAGTTGACCCTCGATTTAACAAAGTTACCGGGACCCGCTAATTATTTCATTAAATAGGGAACTTGATAAAGTCGAGAAAGGGAGACCTCGCACATAGGCTGCACGGGGAATCCGAATTTGTACGTTAAATCGGGAAATTTGTAAAGTCAGGTTTCAATAAGTCGAGGTACAACTGTATATGTTTTTTTTTTAAACTTATTTACAAATATTGCAGGCAGCAGCTCTGCCCAAGCAGGTGAACATTACAACGGGCGGGATAACAGGAGGTTTTTAAATGTGTCAACATTTCAACATAATCCATATCATCATTGTATCAGTAACTTATACACCGACTCATGTTTACAAACAAACCGGAGCGTCCCTCACGGTATGCCACCGGGGTGTGAGCAAAAAGCGCCGCGACCCACATCAAGAAACCGTTGGAATGTAATGTTGTCGGCATCGGGTGCGAGTCCCCCTGCTCTTTTTTCGTTGAAATTGTTACATCTACGTCTCCCTAGCAATGTCTTACTACTTTAGTGGCCTGAGCGAAATTAACGAGGCTCATTACACCGCAAAGCCTTGCATAAAACTGGAGAAAATCGCAAGGAGAATCCGACCAAATGAATCTGGCATAATAAGTTGGTGATGGCCACTGGTAACAATGATTCACATCTCCTTGTACCTACTGTTTACATCGAGCCTTTTACCCCAAACAACCTTCAAACTTAGTAGTCGTTTGAAGCCTGCACTTACTTCTTATCGCAACGTTTGTTTCTTCTGACCGCTGTCGTTTAAACGAGCAGACGACAGTTTAAACGACCAGACTGACGTTTGAACATGAAGACACACTGAACGTGGTCTGCGGGTGATCCATACAACTTGATGGTTTTCTCGCATTCTCGTTGGAACAAAACAAATAAATCTGGCGACCAGAAGTATCTGTAAATTCACCCCAAAGTGCTTCTCGCGCAAGCAATCGTGATCCGATGGTGTCTGGTCTTCCCTTTTCACAACACCCATCCACCTTCTTGGACAAACTGAGCAGGCAGAAAACTGATGAAAACTCATCTCCACACCTTTCATGCTTCTTTTGGTACAGCACCAGTTGAGGCATTCTGACGAGAAGGCAGGTTTTAGTTTGGTTTCTTCCAAAACGATACAGCAATGCCCGTCCCGCGCAGACACTTCTGCCCGCACCCCCATACAGGAAGTGCGCCGAAAGCGCCGCTGCCGCGGCGTGGTGTAACAGAGTTTAGTTAGTGTATATGTTTATACTGGTGTCACAAGTGTACTTGAACTTTGCTTCTCTATTCAGTCCGTATATTTAGTTCATCAGTTTTTACTATAGAGAAGTTTCTACTGATCATTGTTTCAAAAACGCATTTTAAATGGGGAAAAATATGTTTTTTGGTAGAGATTGTTCCCCATTCATTGGGAAACTCTTAATATACTTTGAATTTAAAGTAGTTCTCCAAGCATATATTTACCTTAGTCATATTTTGCTTTAAGTTCAGCTGAGGTGTGTGTAGTTGTAGTTGTGCATGTACATTTTTCTGGTACTTTCCAAGAAACTATGGTCCATGGAAATTTCGGCAGTCAAAATTAATGATTTGCCGTCTCTAGCCGGCACGAGCTAGATGGCTTTTGTTTGTTTGATGTGGAGTTCTTAAATTCAGTTCACGACAACTATTCGGAACTTTTGTTTTGGAAAGCAGAAGCAAACATACTTGAAGCCAATATTGCTTTTTGGGCCACACCTTTGTTGCAATTTGCTGCTGATTGAGCTTATTTGCAGCTAGCGTCGCTTTCAATCCGGCGGTGACCAATTTGTCGTGTTCCGCTGTCTGTGCAGCCTTCAGGGAGCTGATTCCGTTTGTGAAACCTGCACCAGTGGATGAGGCGGAGACCAAGAAGCAGCGGAAGCATCGCGAGGGCATGGAGAAGAAGGACGAGCCTGCGAGCAAAGAACAATAGTCCCCTTCCTCGACCCTTTGTGGTCCGACCTTTTTAAGTTAATAAAGCTGCCTTCGGTCGACGGCGATTATAACCGGATGTGTCTGCTTTTTTGTGCGTTGCCTACACTTTTGCTGGGACCATTATTGTGGAAGCTGAGCAACCCTTTGTACTGAACGGATGAGTTGTAGCGCTAAGACTTTTGCCTGCTTTGTATGGATACGGGGCTAGCCAAGTTTCTAAAGGAAAGGACATCAGTTGCCACATTGAGGTTTTTTTTCTAGCTTTTCCTGCTTTGCTCAGGAGTTATGCAATGAGGCTGATGAAACAAATATGCAAATATGTTTGCCATATATAAAGGCACCCCAATGGAAACGGTGGCTCTGGTTTCCTTATAGTACTCATTCTCAGCAGTAGACCTTTCCATAAATATGTGCTGCCCCCAGCGTCTGCTTTACGCATTATGACATTCAGATGTACGGCCCGTGAGATTATACAAGAAGGGAAGGCAAAGTTGACGTTGGTTCAACAGTTTGTGATTTCAGAACACAGAGAAGGCAGAAGGAAAGCAAAGCAGAGTGTATGATGACCTTTTCCGTTCGCTTTATTGTTTTTGTGCGTTCTGAGCTTGTCAGCGGTCCGTTTATTGGTAATGCGACGTTGGTTTGTGAAGGAATAAATTAATGTTCATTTAACTGGAAAAATTTATTACATGAATAGGTCTCTTTTCTGTCCGTTACGTGGCATGCATCGGGTCGTTCTGTCGACCAGACAATCTCTTGTTCCCAAGGTCTCGGCCAGTTGTTGTTGTGTTTGGAAGGTGACCGACAGCAAATCGAATGTTATTGTGTTGCCGCTCACCTGTGTTGTGCCCAGTCCAAGAGCATTTGTCGTGTTTACCTCTCGTTCTGGTCCGTTTCCATTTGTCACATCGACGCCATTTTCTGCTTTCCATGTAGAAAGTCTATTGTTGAAGGCCAGAATTAACTGTTGGAGTTGAATTTTGATATCTTGTATTTCCTGACTCGTGGTCTCGATTGGTGACTTCCGTTCCATTGTTGGAGTCTGTGACTAAGGCGTGGTCACCAGTTTCGGTGTCAATCATTTCATCGAACAACGTTTCAACGAGAAATCATTTCATCAACACGCAATGCTTCATCGACAAATCGTTTTATTGAATCGTTTTATCGACAGCTCAGATTAGCTTTTTTCTGTAATAAGCTGCATGAGACTCACCACAAAACATTGTGCACGGGTCAGTCAGGTGGGTTAACATTTTTGTAATGAGCACCGCAGACTGTCGCCACAATGCGGCGTTAATGTAGGCAGGGGTGTGGGTTGAACGTGTACACAGGACGAAAAGTCCCTACAATGTGCAATTCGCGTAACAAGTGTCGATGAAACGTCTGTGTCGACAAAATGTGTGTTGATGAAAAGTTGCCTACGAAACATAATTCCACAAAACGAGTTCCGGCGAAACGCTAGGGACCCCACTGGTTTCGTTGGATTCTGCGGACCCTGTCGACTGCGCCATGTCAGCGGTGGCTGGGTACCGACGTTTCACTAATTGGCAATGCGACGTTAGTGAAGGAATAAAATAATGTTTATTTAACTGCAATAAATTTGATCCCATGGATAGGTCTCTTTAGCGTCCATTACGTGGCAGGCATATTGGGTCGTTCTGTCGACAAGGCGATCTCTTGTTCCCAAGCAAGTGCTCTGGACAAGGTTCAGTTTAGTTCCCCGAATTGCTAACGTGTGCTTTCCGACGGACAGTGAAAGGGGGTTGAAGTCGAACTTGGTCCACGCGGGTTCGCGAAGCGTCCCGCATTGTGGGTTTACATTACACATCCTGCATGAAATCACCACCTAGGCTGAGGTCAGACAAACAAGCTTGGCTAGCTAATAAGCTTCTAACGATAAGAGAAATGAATTGTGCCGCTATTACGATGTACGAAGTATATGAGCCGGCACGAGCGTACATCCGAACAACCCCCCATTTCTCCTCGTTGCAAGGCCTCCGGGAGTTTCTGGAGTATTGTGGCTGGATAACCACGAAGAATTTATTCGGTTGTTTTGTAGTTTGAAGGTGATGCAATACTATTACTTTATTGGACCTCAAGGGCCCAGGTCTCCCATAGTCAGTGTTTGTTTTAGTGGATACTTCAGCACACACTTGTTGCCTACACAACTGGTAGCCATCTCCACAAATGCTCAACTACTTAGCAAACAACTCATGCAAACTTTGTGAACACCTATAAAACGCGAGATAAGCAAAAATATTGTAAGGGTGCAGGCGAGCTGGTGAATATTAACCATAGACAGGACGACGTCGTCCTATTTTCTGTCTCTTCCACGTTTTGATGTTTCTTCTCTATCCCAGTCTCAGGTTAACCCAACATGGCGAGATAAGCATACCAGAAAAGTCTAACCCTTCGTTGCAGTGATCAAAGTGTTAGCAAGGTAGCAGGGGCTAGAAAAAGAAAGATAAAATTCGACTTTTGTTCTTGCTAGGTCCTTTCTTTGCGACAGCAGTTTTCCCTTTGTCCTGGACGACAATGAACGGTGAATGGACTCTCTTAGCAATTACCTTGGCAGCACCAATTGGTCCTGTGACAAGCTGCCACTTTTGTTTTCTTTCAAATATGACGCTTGGGTTCTCGTACAAAGAACCTTGCAGAAAGTGAGACTCTGCAAATAGCTTGCACCGCACAAGTAACTTTTATTCTGTTTACCATCCACAGCTCTTCCAAAAATACAATGAAGAAAAAAACGAAAAGAAACACCATTCATGAACTAGATGCTCATTTTTTTTTTTTTTTTTTAGCTTAGACACACGCCTGAAGAGATGGGAAAAAAATCCTTATGAGACGCACAAGTACAGTGAAAAAATTACTACTCTTACCTACAAAAAAAAAGCCTAGAAACGAAATACTGAAAGAGATATACATATTGACTAAGTGCCCTGTTGTTTTCGCTTGCTCGTCGAAATTGAAAAAAAAAAAAAAAAAAGTCTCGTCACGTCAAACGGTTGAGAAGAAAGCTAGGTGCGGCCCAAGGAAAAAAAGTTCTGCAGGAAGATCTAGCAGTACGGGTGTAGCCTGCTCGGCGACCTCACGCCGAGAGGTCGAGCCCAAGCCCGAGCTTGTGTCCTCCCTGGTTGAAGTTCTTGCCGTCCAACATGGTCGACAGGGTCAGACTGATGCCCGGTCGGAGCCGGTGCGTGAACCCGAGGCCCACTTGACCCGAATTGTTGACCTTCGCCCTCACGGAGGTCTCCCTGTCGAGCTGGTACACGCAGCCGAGCCCGAAACGGGTCGCGTTCGTGCCAGCCGTCCAGGAGAGCTGAACTCCGGTCTCCAAGCAATCGTTGACCCTCTGGTAGATGGAGCCGGCGAACTCCTGACCGTCGTTAACGTTGGTGTGAAGGACGAAGTCTCCGCCCTGGTAACCCACCGCGAAGTTGGTCTTGCTCAGCCGGGACTTGTTGGCGTCGTACGACAATTGGGCGCCCGCGAGCCAGCCCTGGTAGTGCAGAACCGCGCCGGCGTGCGCGATCGGGCCACCAATGCCGAGATCCACGTCGCTGTTGACGTGGATGTTGTCCACCTTGTAGGCGGTCTTGAGGGCCCCCGACTTCTTGCCCGTCTGCGGCGCGAAGTTCGCGTTGAAGGCGAGCTTGAGACCGCGGGCTAGCTGGTCGTCGCAGGAGATTTCGGTGGCGAGCGTGTTGTCCGTGTTCCACTTCTCCTTCAGCGTCAGACCCAGGTCGGAGACCTTGTATTTGGTCTCGAGAGACGCATTCACCTTGCCGGTGTCATTGAGGCTGGTACCGCTCACGTTGAACTCGACTCCCGTCTTCGTGGTCGTCTTGCAGTCGAGTTTCACGACGCCGAAGTGGTAGTTTTTGTTGAAGAGGTCACGGGCCTGCTTGCCCAAATCGGCGTAGCACGGAGGAGCCATTTTTCCGGGCGGTTTAACGAGAGAACGGTGCGAGCACGGCTTTCGTTCCACGAGCGTGAGACGCGGATCCAAAGATGGACGCCTGGAAAGAGAGCTTTTGTGGGGGGTTTTGCTTGTTTCCAGCCGGCGGGTCCCAGTGACAGACACAAGCCTTGGACTCCGACAGAAATGTTCTACCCTTTCCGCTTCGTAAAGTAATGGCGCCTTTAACAGTACTAATAATAAGTTTAAAGCTTCTAAAATTGTCTTTATACAGTTTATACACACATAAGAACTAATTATTTCTTTAAATATTGTTATTTTATTTATTTTGAATTACTAATTTTTTGTAGAGTGTAGTTGGCTGTGTACATTCAGACTTTTTAGACCATATGAAATGGAAGTCGTAAGAGTAGAAGCTACTTTGCCGTCTTCTACGCGCTGGCTAGTTTTAAGGCTCGATCTCTTGAACGTACACGCCACGCACTATGCGGCTACGGATTTGTGGCCCTTGGGACAAACGGGCTCTTCAAATCTGGCATATTTAGCCGTCTCTTTTGTCGCCTATTCGATCTGGATACTTTGGCTGTCGAGTGCAAGTGTGAACGAACCGGTGCAAATGATCGAATTTGCTTCCTTCCAGGGGAGTTTCATACAGTTCGAGGCCAGTGCTTTCTTTTTTGTTTTCCCATCACACCTCTTAGACCTTCGTGCATTTCCATCACCGAACGAGTGCCTTAACTGCACACAACACAGCGTCTGATTCGACGAATGCGGTGGCCGTCAACCGCGTCTCGAATCCGCTAGTTGCCTCCCCCAAACTCGACGCTCAACATCGAAGAGGTCACCTCCAATCGCGAGTTATGGACGTAACGGCCCTAGAAGCCGAGGCGAAAGCCACTGCCATCAAGCACATCATCACCATGCTACAGCTGCCCGAACAGCTCGACAAGGTCCAACAGTACAAACGCCGGGTGAGCCGCAAGAAAGCCTCCGTCGAAGCCATGCTCAAGACGGCGCTCCAGTCCCAACTGGACGGTTTCCGAACCGCCCTGACCCTCCAAAAGTCCATCCCGAACGATGTGCTCGAAGTCCAGCGCAGTCTCAACAACGACATGCAGGAAATCTTCAGGGACCTGCCTGGACTCACCGAACGCCTCCAAGAGGTCAAAGAAGAGAGCATGCGGCACTCGCAGTACGGCGCAGCCATAGAAAACCTCAAGCACATCTTCAACGTTCCGGGAAGCGTTCAGAAGACCCAGGAACTGATCGCCAGTGGCAAGCTTCTTCACGCGCATCAGGCACTCTCGGACCTGGAGAACTCGAGGGACGACCTGCTCTTCGAGCTGCACAAGTTGCCCAGTCAGAGCGTCACCGACCGTAACATGCTGAAGCAGTACTTCGCGGACGTCGAGAAACTCTCCGAAGACCTGGGCAAGCAGATCTGGCTCGTGCTAAAGCGGACACTCAACTCGGTGCGCAAGGAACCGCAGGTGATCGTGACGGCGCTGAGGATCATCGAACGCGAGGAACGTCGCGACAACGCGGCACGGGAGCGGGAACGGTCGTCGGCCGGTTTTCTGCCGCCGGGCCGACCGAAGGAGTGGAGGCGTCGGTGTTTTGAGGTGCTCGAAAGCGCCGTTGAGGACAGAATCGAAGGGAACCAGTTCGAAGAGCGACACGAGAACAAGATGTGGCTCGTGAGGCATCTCGAAGTGACGCGGCAGATTGTCCTGGACGACCTGCGGACCGTCAAAACGGTGTGCGTGCCTTGCTTCCCGCCGGAGTACGACATTGTTGAGCGGTACGGCAGCGTTTATTCTCATGTCTGCTTCTTTAAGAATTGCTTTCTCCTTAACGTGCTACTTCAGCTAGCTCGTTGCCTATGACTTCACAAAGACACATCCTAAATCCTATGACTTGTACTAGCTTTTATTGCAGTGCTGGTGAAGTATAGGAGTCGTCTGTGCTTTGTTTACGCCCAACGACAACTTTATGTGGGAGCATGGTGTAATTGAGCTCTGTTCATTACCCACTGTGATCAGTTATCAAGACGTATGATTGTCTACTCAACTTTGATGGCTCGTAATAATTAAATATTGGTGCCCATAGCTCCGATCTCACCGCCAGGAAAGTTGTTGCCAGCTGTGAACAGGAGGCAGACGATGCCTAGAATTCATCTGAGTACAGTAACGTAGGCTGCAAGTATGACTGCACGCAGTAGGCTAGCTATCAGGCTGTTTCCCTGCTACAATGGGCCACAAGTTGCCACATCCTAAGTTCTCACTGCTTACTTTTTTTTTTTTTTGCAAGCTGGATTTTTTGAGTAGGATAGTTGGCATTACTCCTAAATCTTCTCTTGGACACCTCTCAAACTATCATTTAGTGTCGCTCAGCTGTCTCCTTCATGCGGTGCAGGTACGTCAAGATGTACCACAACTGCCTGTCGCGCCACCTCCAGAACATTGTGGCAAACCAGCTGGAAGGCAACGAGTACATTACGGTGCTCGGCTGGCTCACCGTGTACTCGGGCGAGGAGCTCATGGGTCATCCGGACCTTGCCCTGGATGTGGAGCGCCTCGGACCACTCCTGGGGCGCTCAGACGTCCAGGGTCTTATCCAGAAATACCTCGGCACGCTGGTGGCCAACTACCAGGACTGGCTGAAGAATGCGCTCCAATCGGACGTGAAGGACTGGCACCGAGAGTGTGAGCCAGACACGGACAGCAGAGGTTGCTACCACACCTCAGCACCCATGATTGTTTTCCAGATGGTTGATCAGCATCTCCAGGTATGTCTGCTGCATTTTTTCAAAAAGCATGCCAAGATTCATCCTTGTGGCTGTTCAATAGCTGGCATTGCATCGGCGTGCTTATTGGGGACCCTAGGGTTTTGTAATAGCAGACTGGTCAAGTTACCCCCTCTGCAGAAATCAGTGTAGATCAAGGTAAACTAGTTTTGCAGACACTAGATCAAGGTAAACTAGTCATGCAGTCAGTATTGATCAAGGCAGACTAGTCATCCAGTCATTGTTGATCAATGCAGACTAGTCTTCTGGTTACTGTAGACCAAGGCTGACCAGTACTCTTCCAGTCACTCTAGATCAAATCAGGCTAGTCTTTCAGTCATTGCAGGTCAAGGCAGACTAGTCTTCCAGTCATTGTAGAGCAAGGCAGGCTAGTCTTTCCTCCCTGTAAACATCTGTACGTCCAATATGGCCTGGACCTTGGTAGTTCAATGTTTGAGAAGGCCATTAAAATGTGCTATCCTGTCCCAGGTGGCCAAGACAGTGGGGCCCGACCTAGTGCGGAAGGTCCTCACCATCAGCCTGGAGCAGACGACCAAGTTTGTCGGTGCCTACATGGAGGCCGTGACTGAGTTCAAGGACCGCCACTTCGAGGACCGTAGCGTGCGCAAGCTCTTCACCCACTACGTGATAGCAGTGGCCAACAACTGCCTCCAGTTCCAGCAGCTCTTCGACAAGTCATACACAGACTGCTGCACAGGTCAGGCTGCCCTGTCCAAGGGGGACAACGAGACCTCGCAGGTGAGACTCTTTTGGAATCTTTCGAGGGTCCCTAACATCCCCCCAAAGTTAATTCTTTTTTTTTTTTTTTTGTGCATCCCGTTAGAATACGGTGTCGGCACGCCTCCCTCTTCATTTTGCACCTCTGAATTTCATAATGGCTGAGAGAAACAAAGCTAGACTGATACCAGACTGTCAGTGCCACATTGACGTTAAGAGACTCTAGAAGTCGCATGCATTGCTTTACCGTCTGCAGCTGTACATTTGACATTTTCAGCATTCTGATGGGCATGGAAACGATGGTTTTATAAATTTTATTACTTTTATTGTTGAGGGTGGGCCTCAGATTCCTTATCTCTCAGATACTCTAAGTTCTCGGTTGTCATATCCCATTGGCTGAGGAGAAGAAAGGCAGAGAGTAGCAGCCAGTTCTTGGCCGGCAGTTTTCGTGCCATAAAAGAGCCAACTTCGAGTCACTAATTGTTTTCTTGATAGTTGGAACTTTGCAGGTTTTGTCAGAAACTGTCTCAAGGGACACATGCATGGTCTTTTCTCATTTCCTTCCACTGAAAAGACAGCTTGTATGCAAAATCCATTTTCTGGGACCCACCACCTTAAAGCATGTTGTTGTCTGCTTCTCGGCAGGTGTACCACCGTCTGCAGCAAAGCCTGGACCGTCTGCAAGAACGCACGCTGGACGCGTTGCGGGACGAGCTGTTCCTGGACCTGGGCAAGGAGCTGGGCGACGTGCTGAGCCGCAAGTGGCTCCTCACGGGGCCCAACATCGTGGACACGGTATCGGCCACCATCGAGGACTACTTCCGGGACTACGCCCGTCTGCTTCCCCGCAACCTGGAGACCCTCGCAGGACGCATCCAATGGCAGCTGGCACGCTGCTACGTCCAGGCCATTCTGCAGCGCAAGATCACCTTCAAGGTCGGGATGTCCTTCGTTTAATCAAACCAGTGTTTCTTTTTGTCTTGTTTTGAATGGAACTGTTGCAGTTGGAATTTGTCTTGCATTGCCGTCACCGTAGCATCAGGCTGATGTCCTGCTAAATTTAATTTGGGACGCCACTATGGGTCAAATGGTCACGTGGTTGGTGCAAATACAGGTCACATGACTGTGTGGCATGCGTCTGGTCATCCTAGGTTGCGTGACTTCACAGTGTGACGTTGCGGTGTCGACAATGTTGTTGGGTTTAGTCATGTTGGGGGTGACATTACATTATAATGTCTCGTAACGTGATGTCGCATGGCAGTGTCATTGGACCTCTCTTGACATAATGATGTCTCGTAAGGTGATTTTGTTCCGTCCCGCTGCCCAAAGTTGCCTGCATAATTACCAATGCATTGTGCATACGGGGCATTTAGGTGGTAGATTAAAGAGTGCCTTAATTTTTTTGTTTTCCGGTGTCGACTAGAAGTGCTCTGATCATCACCCAACATGTGCAACCCTGAATAGAGGCAGCAGAATCACGTGGAGAAAACGGGGTTTCTCTCCGAATTTCGGAATATTCAAGGAGCTGACAAGCTGTTGCATTTTTAAACTTCGGTGGTGATGAAAGCAGAAGTCTGAAGGAAGGAGGAAGAAAGCTTGAAGAAACTTCAGAAAGACAGTGTGGAAAGTCAGGGAGAAAATGTGGTTTTATTGTCGACTTTGTCCCACAAATTGGTCTTGCATAGACAGCTTTTCGAGCGCTCATCATTTTCTGTACCCCCTTGAAATACTGGGTGACAGAAAAACTTATTGCTGCTTTTTTCTAAAAAATTTAATAAAGCAGAGTTTGTGCGTTACAATTTGAGAAAGATGTAAAACCAGAAAACATGCAGCTGTGGTTTAGTGGCTTCGAAAACTTCCAGACTTTTCTTCTTTAGCTCACGTCTCTTGACTTAGTTACTAAAGAGGAGGCTGGGTGGAATTCCGTGCATATAATATTGAAATTTCTTGTTTCCTGGACCTTTGATAGTGGCTACTTTTGCATCAGTCCTCGCAGAACAGCTTTTTGAACTCGAGAAAATTGAAAGAATTAAGCAAACGTTTTACCGCTGCCTTCTTGAGGCTGTGCTTCTTCGGACATGACACCTTCCGTACAGAGAAACTCCTTTCTTGAAATCTGCTTGCGATTTTGTCTCAGGGCTATGAAGAACGCAAGGTGGCTGCCGAGAAAATCACAAAGGAGGGCGAGCAACTGCGGGCCCTGTTCCAGAAGGCCTCCACTGGGATGTCCTCGGCACATGGTTGGCAGACTTTTCTGATAGTCTGTGAAGCTGTGCGTGTTTAGACTGCGAGAAGTGAGGCCTAATGGTCACCTGGTGTCTTCGCCGTAGATAAAAAATTTAGCCAGTGCCGTGCCACTGTTAGCCTGGGGGTCTGGCATGCATTACATGCTTAGTCACCAAATCTCCATTCCTCAATAGCAGTTACAGCATTTGTACAGTAACATCCAATTGCTGTCGCATCAGTGTTAATTAGGCAGTTCAGTTTTCAGTATACTTGTCAAGACTGAACATTGTTTTGAAGGATTCTTAAAAGGCGATAGTTGTGCCGAAATTTATCTTAGATCTTTGGTGTCTTATTGTTTGGTTTTTTATTCCTGGTACCATGTATGTAAATGTAGCATAGAACTGGCACTAGTTGAGTGATGATAGTACCGTCTTTCAGTCAATGTACAATAAGAATAGCTCGTGCAACGAGACGGAGAGTACCTTTCCTTCAACCTTTAAACCGTTCTAGCATTTGTCATCCCTCTGAAACCGTACACTCACCTAGAGATATTCAGCGGAACAGAGCCACTGCGCACGCTCGGAAACGTTTGCCATGACCCAATAGACATAAACGGCAGCGTACAAGAGCCGATTAATCACTAAGGCACATTTGTGTGCCTTTGTGCACTGCTGGTCGTTTCCTTCCACTATCGTTGGCCAACCTTACGTGCTGTAGTCCTATCAAAAGTAATGGACCCCAACTAACGCGAATCTACCACGTTGAAGGTCGTCAAAATAAGGCTTTGAACAGCAGAAGCCCTGTTTGCGGAGCGAGTGCCACATTGTGTCATTCTGTTACAAAAAACAACAACAACAGCTTGAGGTAGTCGCAATTCAGTCATGGTCATGTTTCAAGCTGCACACTTGCCTGGAGACAATTTAAAGGCTGATTCACCCACTTGCGACTGCTTATGACGTGTGCCTTCAAACCTCTCATGACAAAGAAACATAGCAATGCCATCTATCGGATATGGAACACTCAGTTTCTGTAAAATTTCCTATTTTTTTCGTGCATCTTGGCTCGAAAAACTTTTGACAATGCTATAAACAACCATTTCTCATAGACAGGATGTACCTTTCGTCTCGTAAATACTACAAAACCTTTGGTCTAGTGATGTGCGGTTTCAGGGTTGCCTAATACGTGGCGCCAGCAGGCCAGTGTGTTTCCTCGTTGTAGAAGATCATAAGAGTTTGGTTCTAAGCAGACGCAGCGTGCGAACGGGCCTTAAGCTGCACTCGTCTCTTCCACAGCGGCCTCCCATCGCGGAGGCGGTTCCGCGCCGTCGAGTCCGCTGGACGCGCTGCCGCTGCTCGCCGAGGTGCTGAAGATGAAGGACACGAGCTTGCTCAGCCTGGAGGTGTCCGGCTTGATCAAGCGCTATCCAGACATCTCCGGGGAACACTTACAGTCACTGCTGCTGCTGCGCGGAGACATGGCGCGCAACGAGGCGCGCACGCTCGTGGCTGAGATGCGGGCGGACGATCAGCCGTTGCACGCGGGTGCGCAGCGAAGCATCTTTTCGGACATTGTGCTCACCTAAGTGCTCTCCAGAATGTGCGACGGTAGTTTTTTTTATATTTCTGGGTATTTGCTTTACCCTGTGTAGTCATATTTGTCCCTGGATATTCCTTAGGTCCCTGCTTTTGCTTTATGAATAAATAATTTCCCTAAAACTTTCCTAGTTAACGAAAAAAGTGCTTGTTTGAGTGCAAGCAAGCTGGTGTTCGGTAGACCCTCATTAATTCAAACTCCAGGAAGCCAGAAATTTTGTTTGAATTATTGGGAGTTTCAATTATCAGAAATTCATCTAGTAAATGTAATGCGAGATAAACCTATGATTTGCCATATGAATGGCTAGACATACAAAGCAGATATTTTAGGATTTTCTCTACATGGGCCTAATAATCATAAGCAGGTATACATGAGAGATTGGCGAAATGTATGAGATGTGTCTATTTATTCCTAAAAAATGTTATCTGCTGTAGACTGTTTAAACAGCACATGACAGCTCAAAATGAAATTTTGTTCATCCAGCAAAAAAGTTGTCTGTTGTGGACTATTAAGCAAAGTACACATGAGCGATGGTCCTATGCCATGCCGCCACATCACGGCGTCCGCGCAAGATGCCATGGAAACTGTCGCACAGCTCCCGTTTTCATCGCTCATGTGTTTCCTGCTTTAGCTCCGTTGAGTCTTACCGAGCATCTGTGCACTGCAAAGAAGCAACACCCGTAGAAGCGAGCTTCGCAGGTGTTGCTTCACTGCAGTGCATGGATGCTTGGTAAGAAGCGCGCCCCACGGGGCCGCGATAACAAAAAGCATGAATCGCTTGAAAACAGCGTTCTAATTTTAAGCAGTCAAAAACATAGTGTGACAGCCCAAACTTTTAAATTTGTTTGAATGAAGGAGAAGTAGGAAATATCCGAGTTTTAAATATTGCGAGTCTACTGTATATTGAACTTGGTGGTAGACACCGAGACTGGGGAAGAACAGAGATAAAAGAGTAATGCCAGAGTCCCACTTGAGCGACAAATGGAAACAACCGACAAGCCTCGAAAACGTGCAGCATGCACGCAAAGGTGTCTTTGGCAGGCTTGCAATCACACGGGTTTACTTCACGAGCACTGAGAACATGTAGGCCTATCAAAGGTAGAATCATGTGCATGCTTCGTGTGTTTTCGGCTCGTCATTGTCAGTTGTTTCTGTTTGTCGCTCTAGTGGGACTCGGTCATAAGAGGACAGAGACACTGTCTGTCCGCTTTATTTACTGCCTTCTTACTGTTTTTGCTTTCACCCGGTCTTGGGGTTTACCAGCATGTTCCCTAGTTATCCCTGTGTATCCCTAGATAAATGGAGTAGATCTGGGGATGAATGGGAAGTGCTGCCCTACACTTCCCTGTTCATCCCTAGAAGACAAGACACCTCCACATTATCGCTAGTTGCATGCTGCATTGCCAAAAGTACAGGGGTGAGAGTGTAAATGCAAGTTGCAGAAGAGTGAAAAATGAATTCCTCCCTTGTCCGTACACCCTTTTGCATATCCCAGAGATCGCTTTTGTCCTTATCAGAGATAATTCTGCTACTCGAAATTCATACAAAAGGGGCTTCCCCCTCTCTCCCGTCCTTGGCAGCGCAGCATGCAACTAGCGAGGGAGTGTAAATGTTCCTTTAGGTACCTGTTTTCTACAAAAATTTCCTACTTATCCCCAGAATATACCCTAGACAAACATATTCTTTGCTTTCAGTTCTTCAGCATTCACCTATGCATGGAGGATGAAGGGTGCCAGACACATTGAGAATTTGCCCGTCTGTTGTAATGTACATGCGTATCCGATGGTTCTTTCTCCGGAAGCCATGTATCTGCAGCCACTATATTTTTCATTCTTGCTTGTTTTGTTATTGCCTCGAAAATGACGGTACCTAAGTCCTGTTTGCAGATGTGCAGGAGCCTATATGACCACCCTCAACAACTGCCACAGTTACCGGCAACCCCTCACTGAAACTAAATAGTAGGAAACATCTGCTAGTGTTTGTGACAACAGGCACCTGTTAATTTAATTTATGGTTGCTGGTGAAAATGAAATATTGTGAATGACTTGTTTCCCACTGTGATTTGGTTTCTTCATATTTCAGTAACGATTACAAAAATTATAGTGACACAAACAGGTTATTCATGCATTGGATCCATGTGTCCCTGATTATGAAATTTTGCAATTGTAAAATATTCTAAAACACGGAATTTTGGTACATTTAGAAGTGTACAAACATACAGCTGTTTGCCGTCAACAATATTGCATCTGGGGGGTTGTGGGATTGAAATTTTCTGAGATTATGGAAGAGCCTGCAGTTATTTGATTCTGCCTATGGAAAGACAGAAATAGATCAGGAGTGCAAGAAGAGATTTTTTTTTTTATAGGAGTGAGGTTACTGGAATTATCGCATGATTGGACGTTGGAGCTTAATTTACATGAATGTTTGATCTGAATTTCTTCAAATATGTGTCTGTGCTGCTGCTTTCTTAAAATTTTCTTGGCTGTTTGTCGAGGCTAGTTATTTGTTTGGTTTTCTACTGCTTTGGGAATTCTAGAATCTGTTCCGAGCCTAAGTTGTACTCCGTTAAAGAGTTACGTCGGCGTTTTTGTCATAGTTCCCGATTTGCCCGAAAATTTGCTACGCACCAACAAACATCGCCGAAATAGTAACCCAATTATTGGTTAAAAATTTTTTTTTGCCCAGCAGCACAAAGCAAATGCTGGGCATAGTCCATTTTTTGACAGCCTGCTCGACTTGCAAGCCTGCCTTACCCTAATGTCGCGGCACTGAAAAGCGCGGGTATATTTGAATGTTGGTTTATGGCATCATTTTGACTCGCCGATTTCAGAATAACTGTACTAAATTTCGCGATGCTAGATAGCATACCGGGAAGGGTAAAGGCCAGTGATTCTGAAAATATAGTTAGTTGGGGTAGCTAAAAAAAAATCGCCGAAGCACCCCTTTAAAAGTGAGCTGGCCTATCTGCCTGGTTACAACCACCCTCTTTTATGTGGCAATCAAACGTGAATGTTGGGCTCCAAGAGAGATGTCGACTTGATTTGCCGAGCCCTGTGTGTTAAACAAGGAGGTTTTCTATGTGTTGTTCAGCTTGTTTATTTGTGGAACGTGGCATCCCCACAATGCGTTTTCAAAGTATGTCGTCTTGCGTAGTATTGGTGTGGCCAAGAGACCACGAATCTGCTGGTCAGTTGTGTGTGTTTTCTTTTTCTTTTGTTCATTCAATAACAAGCCTCCAAGGCAATGTGATGGGAGACAAAGTGTGCAGTGTAAATAGTGTGCATAAAGAAGAGTTCAAGTTGTTCTTACATTTGTATCTGCTAGTCTTTGTTGCCTTTCTTGTGTACTGCAGGAGCAGAAAACTACCGATGTAATTTGTTTAACAGTTCGCAACAGTTCCTCCCTACTGCTCTATATGAAACTGACTCTGTACAACATTTCTCGTATATTGTACACTACATGAGCCAATGGCACGATCACCACTACCATCAATGAAGGGAAGGAGGTTCAACACCACGAAGTGGGGACTAGGGGGATGTTGAACAAAGGCTTGTTACAAAATAGGCAAGAAAAATCACTTCTTTTTTTGCTTTGTTTTTGTGATGCCATGCGAACAGGAGCTACAGTCCAATCTCCTTAATTCAAACTCTTTTAATTCAAACTTGCGGATAATTCAAACTAACATGCAGGTCCCATCCTATGCATGTCTACGTAAGAAAACTCCCGGTAAGTCAAACTTTGCTTTATTCAAACAAATTTTCGGTTCCCCTTGAGTTTGAATTAACGAGATCCGACTGTATTGTGTAACGCTGATAACACCAACAAGGTAATGAAAACGTATTTGGTAATCACCACGACACTGTCATCCTGTCTAGAGTCCCGTCAAAGTATTACCGAAGGTTGGAAGCTCGTGCTGGAGGTAGGATAACTGAAATTCCTCCCTGCTTCTTTCATCCTGTCAGCAGTTATAAAAGTGCACGAGGGGTTTTGTTGGGCTGTCATAACCATATTTCTAGTGTTCCTGACTCTCGAGATGAAACGTCTTTTATTCTCTCGAAAATTAGAGTCGGGGGACGTAATTATGATGGAGTCGGCACAGCCAGCAATGATGGCCTCTGTAACAGGTGCAGTATTTGACATACCTCTACACAAACACGCACAAAAAAAAAAGCAAAAAAAAACTTCTACATGTTCCTGTTATTTGTGCAGCTGTGCACATTGTTTCCAAATGTGCTTTGGATTGGGCAAGTAGCGTATGCAATTCGGTAAGTTTCTGGCACTGAGAAAAAAATAAGCTTTTATTTCCAAAACTATAATTAAAGAGTGTAGAAATTTGCACATTAGCTTGTTTTTGTGATGGTGTCAAAGTTTTGATAGAGTTTGTGATCACGTACGGTTTTTGTGAAGGTTTTATTACTAGGATGTTTATGGCAGAGCAGAATGACATGAACTTCATTCTTTACAAGTCACTCAAGATTATAATTTTATACTGTATTGTCGAAAAACATTGTTTATATAATATTTAGAGACCTTAAACTCCTTTTTTTAAATGCATGTATTGAAAAATTTTGTACAAGGCAGGCTGAGGACTTTAGCAAGAAAAGTGACCATAACATCATCTACCCCCTTAGTATTTTGTCTGGACACAACAGCTGTGCCGTTACTCTTTATTACTCAACATAAAACTGTTAAAAAAAGTTTTAAGATAGATTGTTATAAGGGTCATATGTTCACAGGGTGAAGTCCTTACACAAATTTCGAATAAATCTATATGCAAAACAAACTTCAGGTGCTGGTGAACGACAATGGATAGGCTGAAGAAGGATCCCCACCACGGCCTTGATTCCCGTCGGAGTTGGGTTGTACTCGTATCTATGGCCTGGATCATGCTCATGTCGACCTTGAGCATTCGTGCTGCTGGAGTGATCTTTGTGGGGATTTTGGAGCATTTCGGGACCAGCCGCGAAGAGTCATCGTGGCCCGTGTCTTTGCTGAACTTTGCGATTTCTATTGGAGGTAAGGTTTTTCAATTTGATATGCACAGGGTTTGTCGTGTGATCACTTAAAGAAATTCGCTTGGGACCGAGTTCTTGCGGTCTCCTACAACGAGAGGACATGCTGGCACCATCTATGAGGTAACCCTGGAACTGCATTTTACTAGAGTGAAGGTTTTGCAGTATTTGTGAGAACAAATTTATGTGCTATCTATGAGACATAGTCGTTTATAACATTAGCTGCGTTTGATTTACTTACGCCTCCTGCACCGGTGCAGAAAAGTGTAGGGCGGTGTCGTGTCTTCATAGAGCGGTGCCGCTTTGGGGGACAATCGAGGTAACGACGTCATTCCAAGTAGCTCTAGAAACATCCACTACCCTAATATCCCGGGAAATAGCTTACCTGAAATCGAAAGCAGATCGGGCGAAAATGAGGAGTGAGCTAACTTTCGGTGTGCGATCAAAAATGGCTGTAAAAAAATGCTAGTTTTAGATACTGTGACCTGGGAAACTTGTGATTGCAGGGAGAGGCGATGAACCAGGGACGACTGTCCTTCTCAGTCGGCAGTGTTTGCTTACCTCCCGTCTTGGCTAAGTGACACCATTTTTGCCAAGGTCAGCATTGGCCAGGGCTTTACAATTATCTAGAAGTTGGCCATCTTTCGGTGTTTATGAAAAAAAAAAAAATTGCAAATCATGCCAAAGATAGGGGGCGGATCATCTTTCGGGGGTGAGGCGTCTCTCGAGACATTACGTACAGTAGGTGTAATTTGGTAATTGTTTGATTCGTTCTAAATGTGGCTCTTGCGTCTTTCCAAACAAACAATTGATGTCTTTGTGGTGTTGCCACTACATGGCCAACATTTAAGGAATAATATAGGCACTGAGATTTTGCTTCCGTAACCCTTTAGATTGCATTCGCTTCGGTTACGTCCTCGGCACCTAAAACAACAGCAGCGACAGAAAAACTGGGACAACTGCAGCTCACTGTTGTGTCGCAAAGCTACTTCTGGCATCACTGATTACACTGCGTACAATAGCTTTGTTCAATTTACTTGCACCTCCTGCACCAGGGCAGGAGAGTGTATGGCGGTGTACATCCAGTTGTGTCTCAATACACATGCCGGAAGTACACTGCCCTACAATTTTCTGCACCAGTGCAGGAAATGCAAATAAATTGAATGAAGCTAGTGAGCGCTTGTTTTTCTGAAAACCTACATACGCAAAATTTATATCTTTTGCCACAGGCCTCCCGCTCGGCTTTGTCTGCGAGTACTGGTCCTGCCAAAAGCTTGCGCTCGTCTGCACCTCTTTGACTGGCGCAGGTGTCATGGCCTGCTACTTTGCTCCAGACCTGGCATTTATATCGTTTTTCTTCGGCATTGTGAACGGTGAGTACGTACTGCGGTGCAACTGTGGATCATGAGGATGTGCCTAAAGGCCAGTTTGTATGCTTGCATTTGCTTACAAACGAGCTCTTGCAATCTCTTATGATAGAAGGACAGACTGGCACACTGGCGCCACCTATGAGGTGGCCCCAGAACTGCACTGCACTGGAGCGAAGGTTTTTGCAGTGTTTGAGACGTCAGATGTATGTACTGTCCGTTAGATAATAGTAGCTTATTACAAAGTCAAATACCTTTTCAGCCAGAAGAAAAAAAAAGATGAGCAGAAAAGGTGAAAAATACACGGAAATCACATGTTCCCCATGCGTCATCTCGTCGTAATGATAACGAGAGGTTTGAACAAACTCTGTGTACGCAGTCACAAGTGTGTGAAGTGGCCTTAATTTTCAAGAAGGCAGCCGGGGTTGCCGAATGGAATTTGCTGCCGTGTGGCGATGGCTGGAGAGAGCCAGCATGCCAGATGTACACCGTCCCAGATTGCAATGGCTCACGGGCCGTATTGCGTGCCACAGCAGAAGTCATAATTCCTTTGTTATGTATGATCGAAAGAGAGAGAGAGAGAGAGGAAGGAAAACCTAAGAGGTTAGTAACCTTGGCCAATTGTCCCGGATGTCTACTCTGCATGGGGGAAGGGGGTATGGGGAATTAATAAAAAAAAGACGGATGGAGGCAAGACGACGCATCATCTGCAAAAAGCATGTGCACAGCACATGCGTGCGTGTTGGCGATGTGACGCACACTAGCGTCTCGCTCGTTCCGAGTCGCACTGGTGGCGATGTCGACGCGAGGTAGGTGGCGCTGCATGAATCCACTTTGGTGACGTTTGGTGGAGAGAGGCACAGGACTCGTCTTCTAGGTGGTATCGACTGGAAGCACCAATTAGGTTGTCCTTCTAAAGGCACAATTGTTTATAGGCTTGTGTTCTTCAGAAAAAGCAGAAGAGCTTCGTTGTATGTCTCTGTCTGTGGGCTATCCTAGGTGCCAAACGTTTTCGTTACGTGCGTTTCGCTAAGGATTCTCGGTATTTTTGAGTGTTGCATACTCTTCATCCATGCATCAGTTTGTAGAGCTAGCGTAGCAAGACTCTTTATAGTCTATTGCTCTCCTGGATTGTAATTTCTATGTGCCAATGCTTAATGAATACCTCTGTGAATGACGGTCACTTTCACAGAACAGAAAAACAAGCGGGCGAAAACCACTTGGTAACCTCTCAATCCCCTAGTGCGATCGGCGTCATTCCATCGGAAGACCTTTTGATGTTGCTTACATTCCTCCAGTTTCTATCCTGGATAGTATTGGCCACTCACTTACGTGTCATCATTTTGCTAAATTTGTTCGCGATTCTTCCTTCCCTAGGATGACTGGTTATTTTATGTCTTTCTCTGTAGGGAAGTATTCGTCATGTAAAATTCCCCTTAGCTCGTTAAATTGGGCTCTCAAAAATCTTTCCCCCTTTCAGGAACATGCATTGCTGGGATCTACGTCGTCGTCAGCGCACTTTGCTGCCAACACTTCGAGAGATGGACGGCCACAGCCTCTTCCATTGTCTGGGCCTCGCAGAGTCTCAACGTGTTCTTCGGACCGGCGGCAGCGAACTACTTTCTAGCCGAATTCGGAACACCTGAGATGTTCCTCTTATTCGGAGCATTGACGTTGCACGGGTTGCCCGCTGCACTAGTTACAAAAAGTCCTCCTTGGCAGACAAGAAAACGTGCGATCGAACCAACGCTGCTAGAAGCAATACTGCCGAAACGAACGATGGACGTCAGCACAGCAGAGGCTACCAGGCGGGCGCTTCCAGTGGTCCAAACAGGTCGCGGACCTCCGTTACCTCCAGACGCCGCCGTCCCACAGGTTCCACTCTCGCACAACCAGCAAATCACGCTTGTGTCACAAAGTCAGCAGCAGGACTACAATATACCGACGTTTCAAGATGCTACCTCTTGCAGCGAGTTGCCTGTTCCACACGGTAAGAACGCTGCACCAAAGTCATCGAGCATCCAATCCTACCGCATACCTACCAAGCTCAGAACTACTGTCAGGGTCTTTGTCAGTCCAATGTTCTACCTGGACTCTCTGTCGCTTGGAGTGCAAGTTTACGCCATGACGACTTTCTTCCAGGTGTATGTCGACCTTGCCCAAGACAAAGGCATCGAGGCCAGCCAGGCCATCTTCTTGATGCACGTCTACTCCATCTCAGACTTTGTTGTGCGCGTCGTCAGTGGTGTGATCGTCGACCGAGGCTACGTCGAGCTGGAGACGGTCATCATGCTGAGTTTTCTTGGATGCGTTCTTGCTTGCGAAGCCGTCGCTTGGTCCACGTCTTTGGCGCATCTTCTGCTGTCGTCCTTCGTGTATGGTGCGAGCGCCGCCATCGTGCTGTCGCTGGCTCCCTCTCTCATCATCAGTGACTTCAAGGGCCAGCCAGTTCCTGTGGTGCTCGGAGGCATGATGTTTTTCAGCGGACTCTTGCTGCTGACGAGGCCTGTGCTTGTGGGTAAGTTCGCTTCACCTCTGGCATGAAAGTGGCTGAAACCATTCCTGTATTGGATTATGGTGGATAAACCCTTTTACAGCGACAGCTTTTAGAGGGAACCTCGCCCGGGAATTGTGGCAACTTGCGCTGCTGCCAAGGCATGTGTCAAAAAGCAACGAACACGTGCTGGCAGCCAGGCATTCGAAAGAGACGCCACTCTCACTTGAACAGTGGCTATAGCCGGCATCCCATTGTGCTGGCGCGTGTGCGCGACCGTCCAAGCAGACAAACTTGCACGCCGCACGACTTGACCTCAGAAAGTTCATAGCGGGTCCCAAGAATGAGACTTTCAGTTACGGCGCGCTCGGGAGGCTCGTCGTAGACTGAGCACAGATGGAATGGGAGTGGAAGCAAGAGCAGAAGCGAAAATAACGTGGAAATACTCCAAATCTTGCTCGGGAGGGGTGGCGCAGAAATGACGCCACCACTATTATGGCGAATTACACGAGTGCTGAGCTGTTGTCGCATTGACACAACACGTGTTACGCGATAGTGCAAATACACTTGAATTACATTTATCAGGCAATCACACGGTTTCATTACTTTCCAAGTTGCACGTCTGAGAATTTCTGTCATCCGTTCGCTGGCCGACTTAGCCGAGCTCATTGCCACCGAGCATGTACTGACTGACAGCGACTCATCAAGACTGTCGCTGGCAGATAGCGAGTGGGAGCTTACTCTAAGCGGCTAGATGCCCCCTGCAATGAGCCTGGCTATGACAAGTCCTGCTAACACAGTTGTCTATAAAGCAGCTCATGCCAACCTTAGAACTCGTGGCATATCATTTCATTCTTCCTTGCATCTCTCGCAGGTTATTTCAGGGACAATCTGGGGAAGTATGACGGGCTTATGCACACGATGGCTGTCCCCAATGCCCTCTTTGCCGTCATCTGGTGCTGGAAGATGATCTCCCGTCGACGTCGCATCACAATCGCTGCTTGAGAAGATTGCCTCGCCGGCGCAGCAGGTGCCGCTGGAGCATGGCAGTGCTGCTCAGGTTTTTTCAAACAAAACTTGTAAAAAAAAAAAAACAATATAAAAAGTAAAAAAGAAAAGCAGCAAATAAATAAAACAGCAAATACATGAACAAACAATTGTTTCATAAATTTACTGCTGAACGACGAAAATTAACCACAGAGTGCACTTTGACCAGCCGAGTCTGAATTTTGCAACTACTTATGACCAAGTGCCTTAAAACCCCTTGCGATCTTACGACGAAAGTTTAGACGAGAGCCAACGTTACTAAAACACTCAGTTGAATAACCCGCCTTTGAAACCCGGTCCGCTCGCGCCCACCGAGACCAAACTGGATACGATAACAGCGCCAAATTTCGATGACGAGCGAAAACATGAATATTGATTTATATAGCTACAGCGAAATTGCACTGCGAGGTGGCACCACCGGCCCTTGCGCGACTCGACCTAAACCAACACCTACAGCTGTGCAGTTACCGGAGGGGCCGCTGTGGGAGAAATGGCGGCTTTGCGATTGCCTTTAGTTGGTTCTCGAAGCAGGCCCTATGGCAGTTTCCCAACTGAGTTGTTTTAGTAACGTCGATAGCAGAGCCAGAGTAAGGCAGCCAGAGGACACACTGGCGCCATCTATCGAGTAACTGGAACACTTGGCACTTCCAGCACTCTTGAAGGGACAACGACTCTTTGCAAAAGCAAGTCTGGCAACGGGTTTGAACGGTCTAGTCGTGGAGTGTACAACGAAACAATACGCGTTATTGGCATGACGTTTCAACGATCAAAAACGGACACGGGGTTCATTTCAGTCCACGATTCGAACGGGGAGTATGCGACAGTGAACACCCTCGATCTCCATTTCCCGCTTGTCAAGCAGAAAGTCGGCTTCGTCGACTGTCCACGTCTTTATCAGGTGCACGTAGGCCACGGGCGTACGCGCCCATCCGCCGAACTTGACCTCGGGGCAGTGGTCGATGAACTTGCACAGATCGGGCCATATGTCGTCCGGACAGCCCACGTCGAACTTGAAGATGACCGTCGTCGACCAGTCGTAGTCGCGCGGGAAGGCGAGCATTTCGTACAACTGGTCGTCGGTCAGAAAGTGCGACACATCGCTCGCAGCGTTGGGATTCAGGCTGTATACCTTTTGGATCCAGGGCTCCTCTTCTTCGAGGAGGTAGCTATCGAAATCGTCTTCCAAGTCGTCGCCCGGGTACAGGGCGCCCATTTTTTTTACGACTCAGTTGGGGGCCTTTACGGTGAATATCGGGAAGAAAAGTCGGTCAAATGGGACAAATCTGGCTACAAACTTGTTCACGCCGACATGTTGATTTGAGGAGGCATATGAGCGCATATGAGAAACGAAACAAATGGACGCTGTGGACGCTCAGGGCATGTTCAAGTGTTACATATTGAAAAGTGAGTTGAAAAGTGAAAGCGTCACTCAGGGTAGCACACCTGAATTCAAGAAGATTGTTTTGGTTGTTTAAGAACTAAAACAACTAAAACAAAGAGTTTTAACGTATTTTGTTTTACTTTAAATTAAAGTCCTGTACAAGCCCTTAGGGTGACGTCAAGCTACCTCAAACTTACAGAAAGTACTTGGTGGTTTTGGTAACAACGGAACGCAGTGTTTACTTTTTAAAGCTTTTAAAGAGTGTTTTTTTGCTTTATTTTTTGACGCTTCTTCTACCAAGAACGTGAAATAGCTCTACTCAAGGTGCAATTTTGTTTTTGTAATATTGGCGATGGAGCCTCTTGTTTCGTTTTCACTTCCTCCATACTTCCGGTTCCGTCCAGCAGCCAACATGGCAGTCGTGGCGAGATCGCAGGGAAGCGAGCGTGAGCTCAAATTTATCGAAATCGGTCTCAGCGAACAGAGAGCCCGGGAAACGACCAAAAATGAAAGCCTGTCCCAGTCCCTCTTCGACGCCATCGTTTTGGTAAGTCGAAAATCCTTAGTTCTAGGTGCCGGTTTCAAGTTTCATGGCACGCCGGCCGGTCGGCACTTGCATGTTGTCTGTTAGATGTTACAACAGACAGCTGACAGTCAAAATTAACAAAAGTACAGGGCATGAGCCCTTCATACGACAACAGCTTGCTTCATGAAAAACCGCTTCCTTTACATTCGCTGTCAATGCAGCAGCACTGTGTGAACCTCTTTTTTTTTTTTTTTTTTTTTTCTTATTTGTGTTATTCGGTTTTTGCTGTCACTCGCGGTCTATTTCGGGCAAAAATGAATCATTTCCGCCTGTGCCTGCTGTTAACCCCGCCTTTCGCTTCAAAATTTTGCTCTTGTCTGCGTTGTAATTTTTTTTATTTTAAATTTCCATTCATCAACATTTTTGTCAGTTTTTTTTTCTCTAATTTTCATTCATCAATATTTATTGTGGGGCGCTTTTTCTCTTTTTTTCTTTTTAACTCGTATACGGAGCATCAGAAATAAAATTATATCATACAACAATAAAACTTCAAGCATCTTTCTTTTTGTTTTTCCTCTTTTTTTTTTTTTGCATCGACTCGTTGAATTAATACTGGACCCACTCGCCGTACCCCGTTGACCCCTAAGCTGACAGTGCAATGGAAGCTACACAATCTCTGGGCCAATCAACCCCCTCCCTTTCTTCACATGACCACTCCAGACCACTCTCTCTATAGGTGGGAGCATGATCACAGGGTGGAAGACGTACAACCGGTCGGATGAGCATGGAGCTTTCACCGCACTGTCAGCTTGGGGGTGGAAGGGGTACAGTGCGACGCTGCTGCGATGGAAGCATTGACTGCACAGACCCCGGTTGACTACTTGCATTTGCTTACGACCGAGTTCTTGCAATCTCTTACGACGAGAGAACGCACTCGCATGCGGTGGCCCTGGAACTGCATTTCACTAGAGCAAAGGTCTTGCATTATTTGCAAAATGATACGCACATGCGCTATCTGTGAGAAATGGTGGTTTATAACCTATTGTCAAAAGCTTTTTGAGCCAAGAAGAAAAGACCGATGCACGAAAAAAAAAATAGGAAATATATACGGAGAGGCCGACTGTTCCACGGCTACCCGATAGATGGCTTCAGTGTGTTCGCTTGCCGAAAGAGATCCCGAGGGGTTTGAAGGCACTCGGTCGTAAGTGGTCGTGAGTGCGAAAAACCAGCCTTTGCGGTAATTGATGCTGTCGTTGCGTTTGACAGGCAGAGAGTCACTTGGGAGGACCGGTGCCAAAGACCACCGGCACGCTGCTGTACCACGTCGTATCGAAGATCAAGAGCCAGATCAAACAATACGAGCCACTGCTGGTGCAGTACGTCGCCCAGGGGAAGCTTGACTCCGAGGTCAAGCTCACCGGTGAGACAACTGAAGCACACTGGCTCCCTCAGTGGATCCGAAGCAAAGTGCCACCCGGGTAGCGGGTTCGGATGCCCATGTGATGGGTTCGAATCCCCAGGCGGCGGGTTCGAATCCTCAAGTGGCGGGTTTGAATCTCCAAGTGGCTAGTCTGAATCCCCAGGTGGTGGTTTCGAACTCCGGGTGATCCTAATTAATAATGCATGGTGCATGTTAAAGACCCCAGGCTTGCAGGTGTACTGCAGTGGCTAAATTTCTCATCTACAGCTGAGACACCAGATGCCCATTGGGGCTGACTAACTCTCGGCTGTACAAACATACACACAGCACAATTATTCCTCTCCATGCACTGAAAGAAAAATAGTTTTTTAGGAGTTGTGTTGAAAATTTGTTGGCCGAGATGCTTGTCTGCATTGCTGCTTCGATTTGTCGGCAATCTGTGGTGTGCGTGTTTATCTTCTAGGGCAGTTTTGAGTGCTTTGTACGTCCACGTAGAAGATTAAAAGATGCCATGTGGTGTCAGCAGACGGCTATGAAGATTTCGTAATACAGAAAGATGCCGACCGACACGTCTGAGGCTTTTGTCGTGTTCTGCTGGATTTTCGTACCACTGCGTGCCGAACTGCGACGTTGCGGCTTCAAACATTGCCCTGGCGTAAACTCTATTCCTGTGAAAGGAATTAGGAATGCATGGATGGATGGATACTGGTAGTCTTACCTCTTGTAAATGCCAGTAGCTTGCACACTCTAGCCCAGGGGTCTCCAAACATTTTGGCTAAGGGGTCGGATTGGGGACCGGTCGCAGTCTCGAGGGATGGAATATAAATATAAAAATGTCAAGTAAAAAAAGAAAAAAAAGTTCTTGTCTTCTTTTGGTATTTCCATGTGTGCGTTTCGTGTGCATTGTGGCGCCGTTTTATCACACGCGCTCAATTTTTCATTGGTAGCAGCAGCAGGCTTGCTGAAAGCGGGCCGCGGGCAGCCGAGGGCCGGTTGGAAGGCCTCCGCTGGCGGGGGTTTGGAGTACCCTGCTCTAGCTTACAACTTCCAAGGTTTTCAGAGGCGATTTGTTTCTTTCCTTTCATTTCTTTTCAATATCACTTGTGGGAATCATTACTTATCAATATTGCCACGAGGAATAGGAAGACCGACTGTCGCAAGTGCCACGGCAGCATCGGTGGTCGCGAGCCTGTCCGAATTAAACCCCTCCGTTGAGCAGATGTCTCGTCTCCGACTCCTAATTGTTGTAACGACATCATTATTTAACCTTCTGATCATAGTTAAAACCTTTCGGCATCCATCCTTTCATCACTCTAGGCAAATCGAAGTACTTCCACCACAGTTCACACGGAAAGAAGAAAAACGCTGAAAATATACGAGGGACAGACGCACACACTTCTTTCATGTGTGTGTCTGTCCCTCGTATATTTTCACTGTTTTTATTCTTTCCGTGTGAACTGTAGTCCATCCAACGCGCTCTGCTACGTGTACTTCCACTACACCCATTTCATGGAAGGCAGAGCTAAGAAAATATGTTAGAATGTTTTGCGATAAAATCTCTTTGGTGCCTTTTCCTCGGTGCTTACAGGCGCTTAGGAGAAGCTCTATTCGTTTATTTTAATGCGAAAGCATTAGCTGGGGGGGGGGGGGGGGGGGGGGGGGGGAGGGGAGGGGAGGGGAGGGGAGGGGGGGAGGGGGAGGGGGATGATGTGAGGGATATAATGATACATTATTTTCAAGTTTAGAGAGGTAAAAAAATACTGTAATATGTTCTCTTAAGGCACGATAATATGTGACCGTTAATCTATTAGAGTACATGTTAGATACATCAGGTATTTTATGCTTTTAAATAAAGGAAGAGAACTATGGTCACGTGGGACATTTTCAATTATCCTTATTGCTTTTTTTTTGCATTAACCTCAACCTGTCAAAGTTACTTTTTGCTGTTGTCTCCCATACCAGATGGCAATAACAAAGAATTGAATGAAAAAGGGAATTATATACTAATTTTTTTATGTTTACGGGAAATTCATTTTTATATTTGTTCATTATCCCTACTACTCTACAAAGTTTTTTATGTATGTAAGCAACATGGGGATTCCACGACATGTGTTCAGAGAACACAACGCCGAGGGTCTTTACGCTGTCAACGCATTCTACTATATTTGGCCCAAAGTACAAATCACTGGACAATGCAATCCATGATCCTGGACATTTAAAAAGGACTGCTTTTGTTTTGGACAGGTTTATCGACAGAGAATTTATGGTGACCCAGTGTGTTAACTTGCGTAAAATATAGTTTCCTTTGGAAGTGAGTAGGTCTTCTCTTGAGTCAGAAAAAAAGATGCTGGTATCATCTGCACACATAATCAGCTTGGCGGAAGTTTCTATATTTGTAATATCATTGACGTAAATAATAAACAACAGGGGACCTAATATGCTTCCCTGGGGAACCCCAGAAGAAATACGCTGCATGTTGGATGACGAGTTTCCAATCTGAACATATTGGTGGCGATATTGTAGGTAGGACGCAAGAAGTGATAAGGGAATGCCACGTATACCGTAACATTTTAACTTGTCAAGAAGAGTCTGGTGGTTTATTCGATGGAACATTTTGCTAAAGTCTGAAAATCCCTAAAGTTAAAAGTTTATTCTCAAAATTTTCTAATATTAATTCTTTCTGTACTAGAAAAGCTGTTTCTGTGGATCTATGTTTCCTAAAACCGAATTGTGATTCCGACAACAAGGAGTATTTGCCCAGAAAATTGAAAAGTCGAGAGCACATAATTTTTTCATTGGGCTTTGAAAATATAGGAAGGATGGAAATTGGACGGTAGTTACTCAGATCATTCCTATCCCCACTTTTATAAAGAACAGAAACTTTAGCAACCTGCATCCTCTTCGGGAAGATACCGGATGATAATATAAGATTATACAAATGAGTTAAGCACGGAAGTATAAAATCCAAGACAAATTTCACAAATCCGATTTGGAGATCCTCACAGTCATGACTACGGCTATTTTTTATGTTCATAAATGTGGAGAAAACTTCGCCTTCATCGGTAGGAGTTAAAAAAATGGTTTCATTGCAGGTGGTAAAATTACTCGAAAACCCGTTCACACACCTGCATTTACTTGCGACCAAGTTCTTGCGATTTTTTACGCTGGTGCCATTTATGAGGTGGACCTGGAACTGCATTTCACTAGAGCGAAGGCTTGGCAGTATTTGCAACATCAAATGTACATTTTATATATGAGAAGCGGTCGTTCACAGCACTGTCAAAAGTTTCCCGAGCTAACAAAGAAAGAATGATGCACGAAATGGAGTAAGATATGCACGGAACTCGCGGGCGTTCCACGACTCCCCAACAGATGGCAGCAGCGTCTTCTCTTGTCGCGAGAGGTTTTAGTGAACTCGGTCGCAAGCAGACGAAAGTCTGTGAACCAGCCTCGGGCGGTAAGGTCACCCTCGAAGAAGGCATATTTTGAAACCTGCTGTATGCAGCTGCAATAAGAGAGAGGGTGGGGTGTGATGTAGACCCATACCTTTTGCAGCGGCCCTGGACTACCTGCTTTCGCACCCTCAGCCTCCATTGGACGTCAAGGCGTTCGAGAAGTTCAGCGGCGTGGGTGTCTCCGTGACCCCCGACCAAATCGAAAAAGCGGTGGAAGAGGTCATTGCCAACCACAGGGAGGCGCTGATTGAGAAGCGGTACCAGTTCAACGTGGGAACGCTGCTAGGTTTGGCTACTTGCCTCTCCCTGCTCCCCGTTGCGTGCTGGCATTTTGGCGACAAACTGATTTCGTCGTGTCGGCTCGAGCGTGATGTTGTCGTAATCTTTGTTCTCGCCGTCGTTGTAGTAGTGCTGCATGAAATTGCCTCTTTGTGGCTATCAAATATACTGGGTCTGATTGAGTAAACAAAACCCTGCTTTTAGGCCGCATGAATAAACTATGCGTCGCAGAAAGCTGAAACTCCACATCGGTGTTCTTCAAGATAACACCGATGTGCACACACAGGTGACCAATATTTTGGCGACCTTCACTGAGTATGGAGGGGGCCTCAGGTTCAGGTATGAGGTCCCTCAAGAAAACATTCTCCAGTTTTTAGACCTTTCGCTTCACTTAGGTGATACGCATGTGTGCTGGACGTACTCTCCACGCTCCAAGAAACGAATTTTGGATTTCAGTTCGGCTCACTCTAAGATCGTCAAGAGTGGCATTGCTCTGACATGTTTGGGATCCGCGCTCAAGAAATCATGTTGCCACACAATGGAAGCCAGCTTCTCGATGCAGGTTGAAAGACTCAGAAAAGCCAGCTATCCGTTACCACTACTGGCTAATGTAGCGGACACCTTGTTGAAAAGGGCAAAAGGCCTCCAAGCCAACAAACAAGATGTAGAAAAGACAAGACCGGTGGTAATCCCGTACCTTCACAAGACGTCACACAATTTAAAGAACGTGGCAGGTCGGTATGGGGTCCGAGTGGTATTTTCAGCCCCGCAAAAAATGAGCAAAATTTGCTCCATAGTCAACTCGCAAGCCGAAGGTGCCACAAGACAGAGGTGCACAAAAAAACATGCTAAACCTTTTGTTCCGTGCACTTCAGGCGTGGTATACAAGATTCCACTCTCGTGCGGCAAGGTCTACGTAGGGCAAACAGGCAGGTGTCTTAACGACCGACTTCGCGAGCATGATTATTCTTTGAGAGCCACAGTGGGAGGCCATCTTGCAACACATTGCAAAGAGTGCAATTGTAATCCGCTGTTCGGGGAAACAATAACCCTAGAGAGGCACAAGGATAAAATGACCCGCGAAGTGGTAGAAGCCTTCTACATCATATCCGCAGCTACTAAATGCATTAGTGTTGCATCGGTAGCCTTGACAAGCAAGGAAACAGACTTTTTAAGACGGACAATGCAGAACTCGCATGAGTCACGGGTGCCGCGAGACATCAGGCACGACGACCCAGCGGCAGCCGACCATGGATGATGGGTTCGTCTCCCCCCCGACACGGGTGACCAGGCGCGAGCGAAGGCATGCAAACACACCCTGCACCACGACAACGAAGGCACAGCCAAAAAAGGTTTTGGGGTTTAATCAAAGAACCAGTGTATCAAGCCTGTGCGCGCGAGGGAACACCCGACTTTGTGTTTTATATTCCTGTTTTATATTTCTGCTTCCTCTTCTTCCTTTTTCATCTTTATGGGGAACTGGACGATGTTCTTTCTTTTCTTCATCTTTGTAAATACAGTTGTGAGTAGCGCTCTTTTCTGTCCCTTCTCTCTTCCTCATACGTGTGCGCTAATGCCGTTAAGATACAGGAGAGAAATTAAATTTATTTATAATGTGATGTCCACCTAAGCTTAATATTGATCAAACAAAAAAAAATGTTTAAATGCCTAGCATTTTTTTTTTTTTTTTTTTTTTCAGAGAAATTTTGTTAGCAAGAAAGAACATCTTTTTTTTTTTTTGCTGAGGAGATTTAGTTTTTTTGTACTGAAATATGTGCTACAAGTGCCCAAAACAGCAATTTTTTGGTTTGATAAATGTTAGGCTTAGGTGGACAATGGCTCATAGGGAAATTTTGTTTTAGAGTGCAGCTCTTAGGTGCCCGTTCCTGGCTTGAGTGGCGTCGCCGTCGGCGTAATTGCGGCTTGTTTTTGGCCCCTTGCCGCAACGTCCGCGCGGGGTCACGCGACTGCCCCTTCAGGGGGTCCTGGGGGGTCACGTGACCTCAGTGACATCATGTGACCCCCTGAGGTCACGAGGGTCGAGTAACCTCACGATTACGGCGCCGCCGCTCGGAGGGAGGAGTAGCAGGCAGCGTGAGCAAGGAGGGAGGCGGGGTATACCTTCCCCTCAGTACCCTTCCCCTCCTCCTCCTCAAGAGCTGCGCTCTAACCCGGCGTTACAGGGAGTTGTAAACAGCTTTCATTTTTTCTTTGGTATTTTTTGATCCAGGTACCGTCACATTCTCAAACTTGCGGGCCGAAAAACCGTGTTCCATTTTCTCGATCGGACCCGGCAGTACAACTCTTATCGGCTAATATATCTTTTTAGTGCACTCGACAAGGTTACTATATTCTGAGGTGTTTCTTTGCCACTGGAACGCAGCTACCCTCGCCAGCGGCTCGTATTCTCGGAACGATGGGCTCGTGCGAGCACGAAGGAGTGTTGTAAATAGCCACTGTGAACTGTCGTCGAAAAGTAGTAAGCATTCATACTGTTCAACAGATGTAGCGATGTAGCGTGTCGTCAACTGAAAGATGTTCGATAGAAGTTACACCGCATTTCATGTGCTTTGTTCAGGGGCTGGGGTGGTGACGAGTGGAGGACGGCAGTTATTTTAGGTTTCGTTCCCAGTGTAGGTGCGTTTCATGCCACTAGCAACAGTATGTTATAAAAAAAAAGCATTCACGCAAAGAGCCCAGGTTGCACGCCGGAGAAATGCCTAACTTGGACGACGTTTGGAAATCCTAGGGGTCAGACTCGGGCGCAATACGGTCTTTCTCCAAGGCGGCAGCTCGTGCCGAGGTACCTCGGCTTTTCCACGGATTTTCCCAGCTTCGCCACGTTATTGCCAAGGTATACCGGACAGGAGCCAAAGATGCCACACGTCAACTAAAAGGACCAGCAGCAGCGCCCAATTCCGATAGTTGTTTGGCAATTTGGGCCCAAAATTACCACGTGAAAACCGAACAACCAGGGGTAACTCTGGTGCTCCTTTGACGATTTAGGCCCAGGGATGCCGGACGACAGCCAAACTACGAGGCAGCAAAGCCCAACTCTGGCATGTGTTTGGCAGCTTATGATGGCCAGACTCTGGCCAAAGAAGTTTGGCTCTATCTCGGCTTCTCTGGGCTCTTCGAGGCCTTTCCAGGCGAAAACCAAATTTTGTCGCAAAGAACCGCGTAATCTGGGAAAAGACACAGAAGGTTACGTTTGTTTCTCTTGCAGCGGAGGCTCGCAAAAAACTTCCCTTTGCGGAAGGGAAGTACGTAAAAAATGAGGTGGACCTGCAAGTTCTGCATCTTCTGGGGCCCAAAACAGACGACGACATGCACAAGCCCCCGAAGGCCAAGAGCAAAGTAGGTCGTGCAGTGTGGTGTAGGACTTGTCAGCCAGCCTTTAAGGCAAATCGGTTACTATGGGAATTTCACCGGAGCTCTCCTTAAAAAAAAAACCTGAACTCTGAGAAAACTTTTTGTTTTTTTAAGTGTGAGTTGTCATATGTATGTGATAAAATAGTTTCCCAAAAAATAAATATATATATAATATATATTTACCCCAATATTTAGCATTGCGAGACTCATTACGGGTTGGGAGTGATTCCGAAATTCTCAACTCTAACATAAAAAGCATGCTTAAAAAAATCGCTCATAGAACAATGTTATATTTCCCTTAAAAAAAAAAAAGTAAGTGCTTTTTTTGTTGGGAACAATTTTTTGGTGACATTCACGAGCTAAACAAGCAGCCCCCCCACCCCCCGAAAAAGATTCCTGGCTACGCCGCTGCTTAAAACATTGATGTTTTTGGGAGTTCACTGACTCTATGTGTACACATAGTCAGTATGAGTTATCAACATGTTTTGTTTCTATCAGTCCTGCTTTCTCTTGCACATTGTCATCCGTTCCATGCAAATAACCAATACACGGGCATAGGCAGCAACTTTCTTTTTCCCCTGGCTTTTATTTTAACTGTTAAAAGTTTTAACATTGATAGCTTTTTCTGATTCTGCACGGGAATTGTGTAATGTTCGATTTTTTTGGTTTTCAATTAGTTTTACACCATTTCGTTTTTATCATGTACCACCGGACACCGATTAGGCTGACTAACTTCCGGCTGCATAATCAAGCGTACGGAACAATCATTATTACTATGTATGTACTGCAGTCGGTCCTTTGCGTAACTGTTCTTATTTTCTTAATATCATTCCTTTAATTTATATTAAATGTTGGGCTAACCTCAGATCGCTAGCTAACCGTTCATTAAGTTTTTGTTGAAAACTTTGGAACCCCTGCTTGAATAAATATCTTATCAACTAACAACTTGTTTGAAAATAAAACGAGACTTTAATTTGACTTTAGGAGGGGTGTTAAAACAAGGTTACGAAAAGTGCGGGCCACCATATTTTTTTTGTTTTGTATCAGGCTCCCAAGGGGCATCGCCCGGTGTCGCCACGAGAGGCCTTCACAGAGGAGGTTCATACAGCCATCAGTAAGTGGTGCTTATATTTTTTTTTTGTGTGTGTACCGTATTGTTACGGTATTGAAATATTCTTCATATGACACACTTTAGACCAATCTGTGGCACATCTGGGTTCAAATCGGAGCCTGAGATCACAATGAACTGGTTCAGCGAAGACGGGAGTTTTCGCTGAACCAGTTCAGTTTGCTCCTAGCTTTCGGAAGGTTGGCTTCTCTGTAGTACAGGTACGTCATGCAGCGAAGCCTTGCAACGTTAAGGCTTTTGTGCACTTTTTATAACTCTGGTGCACAGTGTTATTGGCAACTTTATTAGATTCTGGGCTTGAAACTTACCCTAAAATGCCAAAGTTCCTGCGAAACGGTTTTGGCGCAATTCGGGGGAAACGGACACATGGGCACTTTTTGGTCCAAACGGCGAAAAGTAAGATGGCGGCAAGTAACCAAACTTACAGGAAAGAAAAATTACTCAACCATGTTTGCTAAAAATTAAAAAAAAAAAAAACCTGAACTGAAAAATTTACAGCCAGAGGCAATGTGTTTCATGATCACTTAACAAGAAACCTGGGAAACTGAAGAAAAAAACTAATCAAGCAAGTGTATACTAATAAAGTAAAGAGCGCCCCCCCCTCCCTCCCCCTTCCCTCCCTCCAATAAAGTGAGTTTTAGAGCGCTGCTGTTAGACGCCCGTTCCCGGCTTGAACGGTGTCGCCGTAGGCATAACGGTGCGTTGCATTATGGGACGTTTTCCATAATGACGTCACAAGTGACTTCATGAGGATCACGAGTGACGTCGCCCTCGTAACGTCACATGGAGCCTAAATTTAGCGGGAAAGTTTCCTGCTAAATTTGGCAGAAAAATTTCCCCCGCTAAATGTAGCGAGAAAATTTCCCTGCTAAATTTAGCGGGGAGACTTTCTGCTAAATTTGGTGTGAGAATTTTTTCACTATATTTAGCGGGGAAATTTTTGCGCCAAATTTAGCGGGGATGTTTTCCCGCTAAATTTAGCGGAGGAATTTACTGGGAAATTGTCCAACAATTTTTCGGTAAATTCCTCCTCTGTATTTTTCCCTCCCCCCTGTACCCTTCTCTCCTCCTCCTCCTCAAAAGCTGCGCTCTAATTTGGCATTACAGAGAATTGTAAACATCGTTCTTTTTTTTTTTTTTTTTTATAATCGGAAAAATAAACAATACTTCACCAAACGGTCATTCTTTGCCCGAATGTAGCGCCAGCAGTCAGATCCAGATGCCAAAGTTTCGGTACTAGCCGTTATCTCATTCATGAGTTATAAGCGATTTTTGGAAATTTTCAATAATAAAATTTGTGACAACGCCCATGAATGCAAGGGGCTGAATGTCGCAAGCCGCCGAGAGCATCTCCATTTTCCTATTCAAAGTATCAGAAAATCACCTGGTAGTTTAACTTTCTAATAAGATGTTTAGTCCTGAAACTTTAGCGCCGGGTCCAGCCTGCTATAGGTACGTTTTGGCGAAAAGTGTGAGTAGTAAATGGTACACACTTTATTTTTGTGGTGAAAAAAAACAAACCTGTAAAGTTTTTGGGGGGTTGGATTCGCTGTAGCAGTGTATAAGTGCAGGCAGTATGTTGAATGTTAGTAAAATTTGTTTTTCTTCTTTTGTTGTAGGGTAGGTTTCAGAGAACATACAAAAAAAAGGGCATAGAGAGGGTAAAATAGAATCACAAACCTGCGGAAAAAAAAGGGAGCATTTTTAGTTGTTGTTTTTGCGGGAGTAAAAGTGTAAATATTTTGGTCAATCATGGCTTCTCTGGGGGAACATTCTGCTCGCTTGTTCTAACTTTTTGATTCCTCCGGTATTATGCGGTATGTCCGAACGAAAAGATCTCTTCTCTAAATGGGCCAAGATGCCATCGAAGCTGTGCAGTGGTTGACAGTTAGTACGACATCTTATATTATCGCAGCGGCATCGGAACCGGCGCCCGAGGCGGGTGCAAGCACCATGGAAGAGCTGTTCATGACCAAGGTGAACTTCCACGCTCCTGGGGAAAACCACAAGACGGAAGGTTACGTCGTGACCACTTCCACCATGGCCCATCTTAAGAATCACCTCAAGGTGACCGGAGGGAAGGTGAGTTGCTGTTGCCCTTTCGAAGTCAAGGAGAGCTCCTTGGTTCCAAAAGATTTGAGAAGCCTTTTCTCTTAGCCTACACGGGCAGCTATTTTGGCTACATCTGCTTATGAGAGGCACTGCTGAGAGTCATTTGCTGACAAAGAGGTCAGGATATATTACATTCGGTTGTGTTTGACAGGAATGAAAAGGGAATTCGTCAATTCTTATTTTGAATGAGCCAGCTGGAAGCCATATTGTTATCAGCTGAGCCTCTCGACGCGCAGCATTTGGTGAGCGTGTCTGCAGACGGATTTGTTGTGGTCGAGATTTAGACAACGCTGCCATGATCCTTGTACTGAGGATAGATTTTCTCTTAACTCTAAAGTGCACTATCTACTGCAATCTGCAGCAGTGTGTCGGCCGTGTGTGTGGTTATTTCATTTATTTTGTTTGTTAGGAAAACAAACTGGGGGGGAGGAGTGTAACAACTATGTAGCGCCCCCCTCCAGTCCGCCCGTCTGTGGCCGCCAGGCTCGGCGGGCAACATTGTTCACCGCGCCAATAAACACCGTTGAGCGCACGCCGCCCCGGTCAGTCATCGTCCACCCTCACAACCAGGCTGCGTGTCGTCTCTTTTCGGCGGGTGCTTCGGCCCCCTTCGTCCACGTTCGAGAAAGATCGTGACACTGCAGCAGTGCACTATAACATTTTTGTAGTGGGGACATTGCTTTCATTGTCAACTGGAACAATCTCGTTGATGTCGTTCGAGCTTTTCAAGGTGGAGGAATGTGAAGACATTGAGAGAAAGCATTGAGAAAAAGCTAGTGGCCTTGTGCTGAAAAGTGTCATTCAATGGTTTCCCCTTGACTTTAGCTCGAAGCTTGAACTACTGTGGTGCAGTTGTGAAGCACCTGTTTAGTTTGGTAGTTTGCAAGTATCCAGCATCTTTAGCCGTGATTGGGCCACTCAATGAAAGGATTCGGAGGTCGCTGTGATCATGAAAGAGACATAAAGTTACCCTAGCAGTGCACAAAATGAGATCCACGTAACCCCTAGCTGGGTCCATACATCTATACTGTAGTGTGGTGGGCTAAAAGGGAAGATGTGATGATAATACGGGCAAAAGCGGTCCCACGATTCAAGCCTGCAGAGTGGAGCATAATCTGTATGCCGGAAGCAGCACCACCTTGCTCTCTAGGGCTAGAAGAGAAGATGCTGACAAAAACGGGCTGATTGAATATTCGAGTACAAGCTGCTGAGCTATTGTTCAGCTGTAAATGGTAACACGACCTCATATCTTTCCTCTACTTTTCTTGCCTGCTCCGTCCTGTGTAGAACCCGATTCCTAAAGGATAAACTGGTCTTTGCCGTGGCACCACTTTCAGTTTACTGTTCTCGGCCGCTGGGAGTAGCGAGCAATCGCTACACCTCCCTTTCTGGTTTACCGTAATTGTACTGCCTCTCAGAGCTTGAACCTGGCACAAAAGGGGGTGGAGTGGATTGCAGATGTGGCACGTACGTGTGACTCGCAGGTTCGCACGCGGTTTCCGCCGGAGCCAAACGGCATCCTGCACATTGGGCACGCCAAGGCCATCAATGTCAATTTCGGCTACGCCAAGGCCCATGGGGGTTGCTGCTTCCTGCGGTACGACGACACCAACCCGGAGAAGGAGGAAGAGCGCTTCTTCGCGGGCATTCAGGACATGGTGCAGTGGCTCGGTAAGGCGCCATCCTAAAAGCATCCTCCGAGTACTTCAGCCTTCGTACCTTACTTTGAGGGGTTCAGCTAAGATGTTGATAATGGAATTCTACATAAAAAGATATTGACTTACGCCCGAAGTGGAGCGCAGCTTGCGCCCTCTAAGCAACTGCTGGCCGCTGAAACAATCCACCTGGTCCGGGGAACCTCTCCGAGACTAGCGGAGTGCTCTAGCAATTGAGATAACCAGGAGCTGGCACTCAGTGGAATTCTTTTGGAATTCAATGGAATTTTCTTCTGGTTGTTGCAGGGTATGTCCCTTTCAAGGTGACGCACGCCTCGGACTACTTTGACGACCTGTACGCCCTGGCGGTGCGGCTGATTCAACGGGGGCTCGCGTATGTCTGCCACCAGCGCCAGGAAGAGATGAAGGGCCAGAACCCACCGCCCTCACCCTACCGGAACCGCACCATTGAGGAAAACCTTAGGCTGTTTGAGGTGGGTTCAACCCTTGCCTGTTTTGGTCTAAACGAGCATCGTACCGGCGTGCGGCCGTGTATCACTACTGTGCGGCACATGTTAAAGACTCCAGGCTAGCAGTTTTTCCGCACTGGCTAAGTTGCTCATCTACAGCCGAGATGCCAGATGCCCATTGGGGCATGCATTGGGGCACGCTTAGGCGAGCACTTTGAAATGCGCAATCACTGCCGTACATGTATGGCGACGACCGTCAGAGGGTCAATAGCCACATCTTGTAAGGGGACCAGGCAGCAACCACTGGTTTTTAGTTTTGTGCAAAGGAGAGGCCGAAAGAAAATCGTCTGCCTCGATCTTCGAAATTTCATGGTGACAAAGAGAGGCCCCTTGGTAGTTGGCATTCCGTACGAGTATACTTGGGTCCCACTAGTGCCGGTAAGCTTGTGTAAAGTGAGAAACATACCTACCCGATTTCGTGCCACGGCCCCTTCAATGCAGACTCCTGGGTTGCCGCTTTTTGCAGGACATGAAGAAGGGCAAGTTTGCCGAGGGCGAGGCCACCCTGAGGATGAAGGTGACCCTGGAGGAAGGCAAACAGGACCCCGTGGCTTACAGGGTCCGCTTCGTGCCTCATCACAGGACGGGCAACAAGTGGTGAGCGAGCCGCACCTCGGTTCGGACCCCGGGAGGGTATCGAACCAGGGTCCCCTGCAGTAGCGCAACCCCCAGTTTCCCCTAGGAAAAAATGCTCGACCAAAAATATAAAGGGCTTTATTTTTAGCTAGGTAGAATCTCTGAGGAACAAGGCTGAGTTGCCCTACTTGTCAGTAGTTCCGCTTGTCAAAAGGTTAGATAATCACTTTTGCGACAAGGGTGTGATGTGGTCACTAACAGAACGAGAACGACAGGGCTTGTCTTTTGGATGTTTGGCCTCCAGTATGCGCTGCTTACCCTCCATTATGCTTGGGCCATGTGCGCGCATACTCGAGGTCGAAGGTGGGTAGCTCGTGCTAGGGGCGAGACGACCTAAGCTAACTTCATCTTTGTGGGAGACGACGACTCTTGTGGTTTATTGTTGCGTGTTACTTTTAGCAGTCTGCCGAGCGAAAGGCACGACAAATTTAGCAACCCTGCGTTTTGGCTTTACCCTAGTATTTCATACATACAGTATAGACCACTTACAACGTAACCGCTTATAGTGCAGGACCGGGTATAACGCGGCGTTTTTAAACCACTGGTTCGCCTCCCATAGAACTCCATGTAATATACCGGTTATAGTGCGGTTTCTGTAGCAACCCGCCGACCGCGGCGACCAACCGACGCAGCGAGCACGCTTCCCTGTGCGACACTAGATAACGGCGCTAGCCGCAAGTGGCACTCGCAGGCCAAGGAGGTTGCTCGAAGAAGCGGGGAGAAGCGAAGAGGAGGAGCTTCAGTTGCCATAGCAACGGAGGGACGCACGCACGTGTCGTTCACGTGCGTGCTGTGCGTCCCTCCGCTCTGTGCGTTGGAAACAACCGCAACGACAGGCCAATCGCAGGTCGAGGAGAAGTGTTCGCGCGCGTTGCATGCCGGTCGCGGGCCGGCTGCTTCTATCCGCAAACATGGCGTCGGTTGTGATCGTCGACGTAGACGGCGTGGTGGACGCTCATCGTTCCCCGTAAAAGCGCTATCCTTGACTGTGAATTTTCGTTGTGTGTCGCTATGATAACTCAGCACGTACTAGGAGGAAAGATCCACCTATTAGTGCGGCGATGTCGGCGGCACTCTCAAGACGGCAGAAACGCCCGTGTCGTCGTGTTTGTTTACTTCGACTACAGTGGTGGTTTCTAAGCATTTGTGTTTTCGAACATCGCCCGGATTTTTTATTTGGAGTATTTCATGCCTGTGCTGAAGTTGAAGGTATTACTTGCGCGTACCGTAGAAGGGATGCGAATTTTCACGCGTTTTTATCGCCGGAGAAAAGTGATTAGGGTTAGCAATCCTGAACGCTCGCAACATCCGTCCCCAACCCGCGACGCCGTTAAAAGGCTGCGCCAGGCAAAAGTCGCTCATTTCTTTCAAAATGTGTGACACACTTGAGAGAGAGAAGTGTACTAGTTTGGTGAAATAAACACTTTCCTCAAACTAAGCTTTATTTTTCATCTAACATAAAATAAATTCTTTTACAAAGGTAAGTTGTCTCATGGCATGTATTTTGGCCTGAAAAATTGGTGTTTTGGTTATAGTGCGGTACCGCTTATAGTGCGGATTTTCGCGACTCCCGCGACATACGTTCTATGCAGTCTACACTGTACCTATCTTGAAGCCAACAGATAAGGAAAGTAATTAAGGTAGATCCTTCCTTTTTTGCATTTTTGTCATATTTCACCTCGATAACAAACCTCCATCCAATGGGCAGGGGTATATACAGCTTGCCAATCGCGATCGGCTTGACAGTATGTGCCCCCTCCTTTTCTTGTTCAGGTGCATCTACCCGACATACGACTTCACCCACTGCCTATGCGACTCGCTCGAGCACATCACCCACTCACTCTGCACCAAAGAGTTCCAGTCGAGGCAAGTCACCTTGTCTTTGTGTGCCATTTGATGACCTATGTTTGGCACATACGTCCTACAAAGCTTTTGTGCCATAAAAACCTTTTAGTCGTACCATTTGATGGTAGCCTGTAGAATGCTTTTGGAAGGCAGCTGGTCTGCCAGGCTCCTTTTTTGACGAATGTACCCCCATCTTTATTTGAAGCATAGTTTTGAGATTTACGAAATGATGCACAACCTCCGACATCCTTTAGGAGGCTTTATCACCAACTCTGGTCTATAGTACTTCGCTTCGCCCTAATAAGGAGCAGGTTTGAAAACTGAAAGGCTCAGAGTGCGAGGTTATGGACCACTCTGTGCACTTGATTAAATTACCCAGCGATGACGTTTAAAAAAAATCTATGAACGTCATGACGCACCTTCGGCACTGGTTGGTTGGTCCTCTGGGCTCATGGCATCAGCTGCGCCCTGGGACGCATACTAAACAGTTGGCATGCCGGTCTAATTGACGGCGGTTTTACCTCCCCCGGGCACTAACAGTTTTTCTAGGTTGAGGATCTTCGAGCGTTACGGCATGACTCTGCTCGTTTGTTGAGCGAGTGGAGTGGAGCGACACGTGACAGCACGTGCGATTGGTTTCAGGCGGTCCTCGTACTATTGGCTGTGCAACGCGGTGGACGTCTACTGTCCCGTGCAGTGGGAGTACGGCCGCCTCAACCTCAACTACACCGTGGTCTCCAAGCGCAAGATTGGAAAGCTCATCGAGGAAGGCGTGGTCAGGTGGGCTCGTCCGCCACTCCGTCTGCGAGAGACGCAGTTTAGGGATGGCCTCGCGTGTGTGTGTAGCTTTTATAGGCCCCTGGGGCCGGAATGGTGGTGAATCCAACAAAGGGAGCTCTCGGGTCGTTGTTTAAAGGCCCGTTCACACTCTTGCGATCGAGTAAGACGGAGAGAGACCAGACCGGTTTTTAAGCCTCTTGCGACGTCTTAGGACCAGAGCTGGTCCTAAGACATTGCGAGAGGCTTAAAAACCAGCCTGGTCTCTCTCAATCTTACTCGGTCGCAAGAGTGTGAACGGGCCTTTAGAGCACAGCTCTTAGGCGCCCATTTCCTGCTTGAGCGGTGTTGCCGTCGGCGTAACCACGTGTCAGATTATGGGACGTTTACCATAATGACGTCACGCGTGACGTCACTAGGGTCACGGGTGACATCACGAAGATTACTCGTAAAGGTTACGATGAAGCTCACAACCTTCACGTGACGTGATGTCACTCTTGAAGGTCACGACCTTCATGAGTGACGTCACGAGGGCCACGAGGCAGGAGGAAGGAGAATGAGAGGAGGATGGGAGGAGGAGGGACATACCTTCCTTTCCATACCCTCCCCTCCTCCTCGTCATGAGTTGCACTCTAATTCGGCATTACTGGGAATTGTAAATGTCTTTCATTTTTTCACTCAACACTGTGACCTCCGACGATGCCACAATGTGGCGTTGTGACATCAGGTCATGCGACACTGTGATGTCGAGCGATGTATGGTCACGGGACCACATGCTTTCGTGATGGTCACGTGATGTCCAGTGACATTGTGTAACCATCTGGAAAGTGTGTTGGTGAACCTGTATACCGCTGTTTCGGGCACTACTGGAATAGCAGTGGTCGCTAAATGAGCGCAAAAAACGATGAGTGTCATGAAGAAATCTCGGGCAGTGTCGTGGAATCCTAACGTTGTTTTCTACTGTGGCTTTCTTCGGCTGCAAAGGGACTGGGACGACCCACGGCTCTTCACGTTGACTGCGCTGCGACGTCGGGGCTTCCCGCCCGAAGCCATCAACAACTTCTGCGCAAAGGTATGCTCCCACCACAAAGCATTTAAGGTTCCTAAATCTTTTCTTCTTAAAAACACACGCTTATAAGTTGTGCGACGTGCTTGTCTGGAGTAAAACGGACGAAATGTGGGCCAAATGGACTGAGGTACCGTTCTTCCTGCAGATAGCTACCGAAACTGTTGACTAAAAACATTGGCTTATACGCGAACTCGTCGTTCACAAAGGTATGTTAGGTTGCTGCCGCAGGTTTTGCATCAGTATCGATCGGGCGAATAGTTGTTTTAATTTAAGCACCTCGCAAAAAAGTGATCAGCACGATTTGAGGCAAAATTTAACGGTTGAACCGCATTCGTGAACAAAATACGGTCACCAGAGGTTAGGTTTTCGGTACTTTATTGCATTAGATCATTTACACGGTGCCGCCTCACCACAGAAATATAAAAGGGTTGTGAAATGCCTCTAACCTGCGGAGGAATCGGCACAAGGTAGGAGATAAAACTGTGTCCAAAGAACGAACATGCTGTTTCAAATTAGTGGCTCGTCTTTTTGTGCACAGCTTGGCCTGACCGGGTCGCTCTCGTCGGTCGACCCCCAGATGCTGGAAGCGTGTGTCAGGGACGTCCTCAACACTACTGCGCCCAGGTGGGACTGTCGGTACACCTCTAGGAAGCATTTCCGAGTGCTCTTGGGGCGTAAGAGAATTGGCATAAATAAACCAACGAACCGAGTGCAACGAAACTGTTTACCAAGGTGTCTCTAGGTGGTGCATTAATCATACTAAAATTCAATGAGTGTAGGTCTCGGGAATAGCACTTGAACTTACAAAAATCCCGTTTTTTGTTTCTATGCAGAAGGATGAAAACCGTAAGGACCGTCTGGCTTTGCCGCTTTACAGCTGAAAGCAAAAACGAGAAAGCTCCGTCGGGATGAATGCCCAAAGGCAGATCCGGCAGGTCCGAGCGTCAACCATAGAGCTTGTTTTCACACTCTTGTGAAAAGTTTCTATGTAACCGTTTCGTTGGTTTATTTATACTACAAACTTTTGCATACGTGATTGGTGTGCAAAAGCAGTAACAGCTTGGACAGGCCTGAACTTTTCTTGCCCGACTCCATTCACTGCCCGTACAGTCTGAAGCGATCTTAGCCTGCAAACCGTAGGAGCAAACTGCACAAAATTTTAGGCGAAGTTGGTGGCCTAAAACAAGTTCACCCTCAATTTCAATTGTCAAGCGGGGAGTAAGAGACGACCCGTACCATTAGTAACCCGCGTTGAGAGTAAGTTTGGCGCCAGACAATCCAGCGTAACATGCCAAGACGCGGCCCCCACTTTCGTCCAGTCGCCAATTTTGCCTTCGCCATATTTTCCTGATCCATGCCCAGTCTATAGACTGCAAAAACAAACTTCGAATGAAAAAAAAGATGATTTTCCTTGGATAGTTTGCACCCAATGCATAGTCCACACATGAAAAAGTCTCAGAAAGATCACATCCAAAAAAGCTTATGTTCTATAGGTAAATCGCTATTAACATACTCTGCCATTCACAAAATCTGTAGTGTCTTGTCATAATAAACAATCCTGAAAAACAAATTTCTGTACAGCCTGCACCAGTAGATTGTGCACACTGCACAAAATTTCAACTTTTAAATGTGTATAGTCCAGGGACCAGTCGAATCTCGTTAATTCAAACTCTCTTGACTCAAGTTTCCAGATAATTCAAACTAGCATGCAGATCCCACCCTATGCGTCTCTATGGGAGGAAACTCCCACTAATTCAAACTTCGCTTTATATTCAAACAAATTTTCAGTCCTCCTCGAGTTAGAATTAACGGGATTAGACTTTATTGGCGATTGTCATTGCATGTTCTTGAGCCTACCTTCACAGTTTCGTCTACGAACCGCCCGGTGCTCTGAAAATCTGATTAGCTGGAGAAAGATGGCGAGCAAACCTGCCACGACAGATATCCGTTCTGGCCACTGGGTGGTATTTGGGAAAATAAGGTAGTATTTCTTACGGTGGAAATTTGTCTCATGGGCACGTCATACTTACCACATTAGCATTGCGATACCTGACTCTCGATGGCGTTGCTCTCTGAGCTTGGGTCGTTTCTTTGCAGGGCCATGTGCGTGGTGGAACCCCTCAGGGTTGTGATCAACAACTTCCCCGAGCCAGGACAGAACGTCCCGATCAAGGTCCCCGACTTCCCTGCCACGCCCGAACGAGGCTTCCACGTCGTCACCCTCTCCAACGTTGTGTACATCGAGGAGGGCGACTTCAGAGAGGTTCTTATTTTATTTATTCATTTACGCAGTACCTGCAGGGTGTCCCCAAATAAGGTATTTACAGTGTGTTTTTTTAGTTGCAAAAGTAAACTGTGCCTGGTAGAACGCTCGGTTTTGCCCAAATGTCGGTGGGCTGTCCACGCCAGATGTGAAAGTTTCGGAACAAATTGTTTTCTCATTCAAAAGTTGTAAAGATTTTCGAAAATTTTCAGTGGCGGACAAAGTTCACGAATGCCTTTATTTGGAAATACTACCAGCTACACGTTCAGAACATACGAAAACGGGGGAAAAACGGCGGTACACATGGGACCGAATGGTACAAGCTACCGGGAATAGGCCCCATTTTCCCACTGAAAATTTCGTAAAATCACTTATAACTTTTGAATGAGATAACAGTTAGTTTTGAAATATTGGCATCTGGTCCTTGAGCAGAGACTGCATGCGTTTGGCAATGCATAATTTATTTTAAAAATTAAAAAAAAAAAAAAAAATATTTTTTTGACACACTGCACATTGCTTGGAGGCATGTATTGATCATATTTAGGGTTGTGCGAATATTCAAAACTTCCGTATGTCGAAGCGAACAATGCCATATTCGCTTCTTACTTCGATTCGAATAGGACTGTTCGGTAACTTCGAATAATTTCGAAGCATTTCGAAGTTTAAAAAAGAAATTGACGAAAATTCGAAAAAAAATTGAGAGGCTTCATCGCAATGCACCAGTGTAAAGCGGTGAAGCTTGACGCGAGCATGCCAGGCGAAGCGGTGAAGCTTTTAGCGAGTGCGCAGTGCGATTGTTCTGGCATGGAGGCAGAGTTGTTGATGTGGTAGTCGTGTGTTAAGTTTTCAAAAGGAGACTGGCTTTTTTGTATCATAGCAATGAGGAGGGTTTTTCTAAATAGAGCTTGACTGGCAATATTCAAATACTGCGACAGGTCTGCATGAACTTTTAGCTCACATATATATATATTGGTTATTTTCTCTAACTTTTTTGTGTTTTTGCTACTTTTAGTTTTGGTCATCAATTGATTTCGAATCTTACAACTATGCCTCTATGGTTTCAAGGTGTCAGTGAATTTACGAACAACCAGTGCAGATTACATCCGTTGCCCGTTGTTTTCCTGGTGACCCGTAAAACCACATCGAGGAAGTCTCCCGTAGCCGACCTTTCTTTCACCTTGTATTTATTCAAGTTATATAGTAAAAGCAATTTTGTCTGGTTTTATAGTGTTGATCACAAAATATCATCTTTATGGAAAATATTCGCAGCGCTTCGAAATTGTTCGCTTCGATTCAAAATTATTCGCGGAGATCTACTATTCACGTTGTATTCGCTTCGAATTAAAAATCGGGATTCACACATGTCTAATTATGTTGTTGCACCATTATATTGTCACACCAATTGTCACATTATATTGCCAAAAAATGCAAAATAACAAGAGCGAAAAAATGTTACACAAATAGGTGTCACACACAGACTATGCATCGCGTCAAACAACAGAAAATGGTGGCGCTGCACCCCCTTTACGCTTGTTCCTTCGTCCGGGCACTTCCTTCTGGCTTGGGACGATTTCACGGTGCCCGTCGTGCAATGATAGTGCTTCAACTGTTCTTTTCTTTTAACGTGAAACTTTCTTTGGCTGGGTGTTTGGCATTTCGTGAAGCCCAGATAAAAGTGAATGCTGGATAAAAACGTGGCCGCAAGGCTCAACACTGATTATCGTTGTTATTGGGTGGGAGAGGAGGGAGCTGCTTCATGCTGATTGGTTAACTGGGAGGCCACGTGACCAGAGGGCTAGGCGAGGAGCAGCTCGACCACCCGTGCGCACTGAGGGAGAGGACTTCGAGAGTATGGAAGGCTCTGGAAGGTCGCCAGGTTTATCAGCCCGATTACCAGTAGAATTGCCTCATTCTAGGAACAAGTATCGAGTGTACAGATGGTACGCATTAAATTATCTGACGAAAAGCGTCGTGAATGTATAGGGTGACCATATTCCTCAAGGTAGAAAACGGGACATCCCAGCGGGGGGAGGAGGAATTAAACCTTGAGATTGGAAGAACAAATTTAATTAAATAACTTGTCCTATTTCAAATATTTACCCTATTGCCTTAAGCCCTGGAGCAGTGACACTCATAGTCCATGCACCCATTTCGAAGGTGTTTGTGGGCAAGAGCAATTTTACTTTCTGGGTAAATATTTAAAAGTACCTACGGTAATTTTTGTAAACTATACACCAGGGATCGTTTCATTCCCTTGTAAACTATACACCGAAACTATACACCGGGCATAGTTTCGGTCTGCTTCAACTCGCTTGGTGCCAATTTCAAAACTATGCACTCCTGCGAAAACGGGACATGATTCTTTATTGGGACAAAAAGACGGGACCGCAGAAGCGGACCTCAAAAACGGGACTGTCCCGGCCGAAGCGGGACGTCTGGTCACCCTATGAATGTAGGCGTCTGGAAACTCGGGAGTATCGCTAGACATTTGTTATGCAAGAATGTTTCACGTCTCCAGCGCGATTGCCTAGCAACTTGCCACGAAAAAAATATTTGTTCTTTTTCTTTTCTTAATTACACTCTTTCTTTTCAGTATCCACGATGTAGTCGTTCAGGTCTACGTTGTCGACATACGCAAGTATGACGAGCGTCGAGATGGCTCGTTTCGCTTTTAAAAGTTCATTTTAGAAACGGTGCTATTCGTTCGCGTGCTGACAAAAATCTCGCTCCGGGTAATCCGACAAGTTTGGAAGATCCGCAGAGACTCTCGTCATCGAGAGCTTCGCGAAGTTCTTAAAACCTATGTCTCGGCCGAGAGGATTTTGGGCTTCTATTGGACTAGAAAGCAATTTGTTTACTTAGGACACCCACTCCTTACTTCCCGGTCAGAATAGTAATTTGTTACGGCGTGCCACCTCCTTCACACTCGCGTGAATTTTCTTCTTACATTTCGCAATGTCTTGGAAATATGTACCAGGCACTTAGGTCTTGTCGTAATTAGTACTACAACGTAATGTTTTCAGAAAGGTAATTGTTTAAGTGCTGTGGGCATTTTATGCTTCCTGGATATATTGGGGGCGAAGCTTCTTAGGGTCTAGCCTTGTTCGTCCGGCGTCCGTGCTCACATCGATTGCCATCCCATCCGTCTTCTTAAAAAAGAAAAAATGTTTGCGCAGTCGACAGGATTCGAACCTGTGCGGGGAGACCCCAATGGATTTCTAGACCATCGCCTTAACCACTCGGCCACGACTGCGGGACGAGTAGGGGGCTCTGAGATGTGGTAGTAACTCAAGAGCTGGGGATGTCATGGATGAAACGTTGCATGTAGCCGCTCAACGTCTATACAGGAGAGGGCGCTGCGGTCAAATGCGTATATAATTGCGTTATACTTTGCGTGCATTGGCTCAACACTTATAGACAAGAGGGCACTGCGGTCAAATGCTCAAAAAATCAGTATCATCAGCACCACCAGAGCTTCGCCCCAATCAACATCACATCATTCACCACGTGGAGATGCAGTCTTTTTTTTTTTTCTAGTTCAATCCTAGAATATCTTGGGTTGGAGTCTTTGGAAGGGAGTATTGAACAGGGTAACTTGGTATGGGACCAGGCAGACATTGCTGGTGTCTGCTGTCTGTGTTCCATGTACATATCTAACTCCCAATGGCTTTGCTAACTCAGTCCTCATCTTTTTCAATGTCTAAAATTTCAAGCTGTAAACGATAATTCCACAATAACTAAAGTGGTGCTGCATTCTGTCATTTGATTTAGCGGAGCGTTTCTTTCAATGACCAATGTGCTATGGCTTCGTAATTGTACGGCAATTGCTCTATCTAATGGAGGAATAGACACACTGTTTATGAACAAGGCCCCGAGTACACTTTCCCGCGAGGCACGCATATAGCCGGTCGTCCCATTTTACATGAAAAACATGACATACGACGAGCTCGAAAGGACCATTACCCGTGAAAATTTTATCTGCACGGGATAGCATTTTCGCACGAGGACATTATCTCTGTCCCTTAGGTTGCAGTTCACCCGTCAATCATGACGGTTGGCTGGCTGCATGCCCCAGGGAAAAATGGACACGCAGGCTGTATTGATAAACAGTGCATCTATTACTCGAGTAAATTAATCCTACTTGGCCAATTACTCTATTGAAAGTAAAATGATGGAAAGATCAGCATTTCTCATTTCGCCGTTTGTTACAAAGTGGTACAAGCAATGCCTCTCTTTTTTTTTGTTTGTATTTTGTGGTTTAAGCTTAGTTGTCTGAGCAAAGTTTGGCAGCCTTTCTTAGCTCAGAAGCAGTATTCTGGCATCTCAAATGCACCAACGTGTCTCTAGTTAATCATGAGCCTTGTCCACTTCGAACGAGCGGCACTTTCAGCTAGGGCGAATGTCACACTCTTCTTCTCTTCTTTGCAGGATGGCGACAAGAGTTATCGGCGGCTCACGCCAAAGCAGTCTGTTGGCCTGAGGCACACGGGGCTCGTCATCACGGTCGACCGAGTGGTCAAGGTTAGCCTTGTTGCCCGCGGTTCACTGTAACAAGCGTAGGCTTTGGGTCCAACCCTGTTGGCTCGCTGCCGCGCTTTTCCGGAACTACTCCATTCGTATACTTCTCATCCACAATGGTCATGTGTGCGACAGTTTCGTCTCGAGAAATTTTACGGATAGAACTGTTTTGTCTCGACCGGTGTCGTCTAGAACGATCTCACTTCAACGAGAAATTTGTCATGATCGAGTGTCGTGCACGAACGTCTTGAACTAATGTTATGGACGAGCAACACGCTGGGAGCGTTGGACGACGTTAAGGTTATATATAATGTTTATATATAAAGTTGAAGCCCCAGCGAGGCTTGAACCTGGATCGTTGTGGTGGCACTCAGATGCCGGAGCAGCTGCGTCAGGGACAGCTCAATAAAAAAATAAAAATAAAATGATAATGAAGATTGAAAAATCCAGCACAAACAACATGCTGATTGGTTCAAGTGAGACACTCTACGCTCCCTGGTCTTTTTCAGCATGACTAAACTCGTACAATTTCTTTAAAATAACTGAGGCCCATGAGGATTTTATGAACCACCTTCGACGGGTTGTTTGGGCCAGTTTCATGGGGACCACTTTCGTATAGACCAGCTGTACAAGTCCGTCTGATCATCTGAGACTAGTATTTCTTGCACCAGTTTACCTATGGACCATCTTTATGAGGTCATCCAAACTATATGTTATTTTCTGTGCTAGTTTCCTTAGGCCTTCTGGGACCAGTTTTTCTGTACTAGCGATTCCAGGACTAGCTTCTCGGGTCTTCTGGATCGATTTCAGCTGAAGTGATGCTGAAGTGGCTTTCTTAGCCTCCTTGAGGGTCCTGGGCTGCTTCCTGAAGGACGGCTCTCTTGCAGATTGGTGGCAGGATCCACGAGATCCATGTAACCTGCCAGCCTGCCGAGGAGGCGGAGAAGCCCCGTGCCTTCATCCACTGGGTCTCCGACCCGCTCGTCTGCGAAGTCAGGCTCTACGGACGACTGTGAGTGTGTGCTCAAACCGTCAGTGCTCGATATTAATTGCCGAAAGATTACGGCAGTGTCCCGTTTGTTACACGCTGAATACGCAGTTTCTCTTCGACTGATCAGTTTTTAACGGCTCGTACCGGCAACAAGTGCTTGGGTAAATGAAACAGGCACGACTTTGCGTCGCAAGCATCGTTGCACTCGAAGGAAATTTTGGCGCTCCTCATTTTCGTTGCAGGTTCTTTCACAAAAACCCCGAGGATTCCAACGAGGTGCACGGAGGATTTTTGTCGGACTGTAACAAGGTGTGTACTTGGTCGTGCTAATGGCCACGAGTGCCATTTAGACTAGGTGCCCCGGTTGCCAATCGCCCGCGTGCCGCCCTCAGTTCCGACAATTTCCCACGCGGCCACGTTCTTATTCAGGACGCCATGGTGGTCTGCTCCAACTCCATGGTGGACAAGTCGATGAAGGGCTGCAACGTCCTCGACAAGTTCCAGTTCGAGCGGCTGGGTTATTTCTGCGTGGACCAGGACACAACGCCGGAAAAGGTAAGCGTGTTCGGAAAGAAGCTCCCGGGATGGGGAGCGCAGTGCGTGGGCATGGTGCCGGCAACGCATCTTAGACTGTCCACAAGTTGGAGACATGCTTCAGGCTCCTTAGTGTGGTCACACGACATGTCCAAATGTGTATGGAAAAAATGTGCAATACCACCGGTTCTGTTTCTGCGGTCGCTTTGACGAGCGGGGCCAGTGCGACTTCAGTCTGTGACTGCCGACGTCTTTTGTCTTTCAGATCGTGCTCAATAGGACGGTGACCTTGAAAGAGGACTCTGGGAAAAACTGACTGAGAAGCCACTGCTCACTAGGCGCCTTCTTTTTTTTTTCCTCAAAGAGGGAGAACAAACGAGAATTCTATTTTTGAATTTTTGTACCTCTCGTTGAAATATGAAGCTGCAACATGTTGAAAGCTTGCACCATGTTTGGTCTCCTTGCTTGTGTTTAGTCTTGGTATACTGTAGTGGCACCTAATCAGAAAACGCAACGCAGCCTTCACTGAGCGAGTGCACGGGAAGACGTCTTATCACGAGGTCTATTATGAATGTCCCGGCGTCGAGAGGAAATGTGGGCGTTGGCACACAATAGATTACATTTCCCGGTACAGTTGTACCGGGAAATGTGTATCTAATAACGGGGGTACTGCCCATTTCTCGTCTTTACTCACGTGCAAATTATGGATTTCGAGTTTGAAGCAAAGAGTAATTTTGGTCAAATATTTTCTAATCGAATATCAAATAGATACGAAGTTTCACAATGGTGCACCATGCTTAAACGAAAGTTCAGCTGAACTTGTGAAGGTTGTTCCCAAACTTTCACTTGTCCACTTCTAAGCTGAGTAAATTTGAGTATAGGCATGTTTACAGACTGGCACGTAAAAGACAGGTTTGTCGCACTTATCCTAATTAAGAAGATTTATAAACCTGCTTCCAGTATGCAAACATTTTTCAATTTCAAATCTGAAAAAAAAAAGAAGCAGCAGTTTTGCATTAATTTGCATTATGGTCACGGCAAAGTCGTTGGCTCAATTGGCTTCCTTCTCACGAGCGTGCACCTTGCAATCCTTGCGACGAACGGCACCGCCGCTGAAGTCTTTCAGCGTCTCCCAACGAGCGCGATGCCAAGACACCCGCGTCTGTCCACAAGTTTCAGATGCACTCAAACTTTTCGAGTTTGAGTGTGTCTGCCGCTTGGAGCTGCTCAGAGATCCACTAACGACAACGTAATGTGCAGGCTCTTCTTCTAGGTAGTATTGGACGGAGGCACACAGCTGAACACTTCTTAATCGGGCGGCGGCTTCCACCGCCTATTCAGAGCTTTTAATTTCAACAGTTAACTTCGATTAAATTCCTCGCAGGGGGCGCCTACACCTGAGATATTAGGTGCCTGGTGAAGCGTCACCACGGACGCCAGCCAAGTGGGTTGCCATACCCACATGCAGGGGGCACCTACTTTAGTGGGTGCTTGGCGAGTGGCGTCGCTACGAACCATGTGGGTTTCGCTCACCCACGCCTGGCGGTGTGTAGCTTAACCCCGGGGAAAAGGGGATCTTGGTGGTTGAGCTGAGCCCGGGGTACGTTTTGAACCTTCAGGGCGCCCTGGGCGAGGCAACATACCGCTTCGGCCCCTGCTTTTGTAGACAAATGTCCTGGCTTGGCTCGACCAGCATGATTGAGTCAGTTGCCTTTTTTCTCCCCTCCTACCTTTGCCTTTTTTCTTTATCTACCCTTCTTTCCTCTTTCACCTTCTTTGGCAGCAAGGGCCTTGGGTGGTGACAGATACTCTTTGCAGATCCACACTTGGTTATAGTTTCCTGGCACAACTATTAGAGTAATGTCTCCACTAAAGCCCTTCTTTTCATGCTTGTGTCACCTAACCCCTTGTTGGGCTCGGAGGTGGGGGCAGTGCACCACAGATTCCAAAGATCCTTGCCGTTTTATGGCTTCCCGCGCTTCTAAACCCCGAGCAGAGCGACCCCTCAAAAGGGGCTGCCCTGTTCCCCTTACTTTTGAAAAAGCTAATGAACTGGAAAAATCTCCTAGTTTTTTTTGTAGTTCACTCTACAAGTGACACTGTTAGTTTGCCCAAGGTCTCTCCCTTTTTAATGCAAAAGCATTAACTGTTTCATGGAGTGAGCTGACGTCATCAGCCTGAAACGTAAAAATGGTAGATAGTTTCCTTCGGTTCCATTGGCTGGTGCGCGTCGACGGGCGCCCATTGGCCGCTGCGCTCGTCGGTCTCCACGACCGCTCACCTCATGGCGCTGTGTGTCCATCAGCGTGGAGCGTCCAAGGTCACCAGGGGAGCACACACGCCGACCGGCGACGAAAAATACGCAGTAGACGAAAAAGGGAGCGGACGAGCGGCTTGCATGCTTTCGCATTCACAACTGGTAAGGAATGCTTAGGTGTGCCTCAATCTTTTTTTATTCCAAAGCACTTGGAACAAGTAGTCGGAAAATGCTACAAGGCAAAAAGCTAGCCGGAGACCTTCTTGTTGAGGTAGAAAATAAGCAACAGAGCACAGCACATTTGGAGATGACAAGCCTGGGAGGTTACCAGGTTACTGTGACTCCCCCACCGTACCCTGAACACTGTTTACCGTGTCATCTCCGAGGATGACCTCGAACGCAGTGAAGAGGTGATCCTCAAAAGTCTGCTCAAGAGTGCTGTTGTAGTCGTTCGACGGGTCACTTTAAAGCGTGATGGACACGAGAAACCAACTCTACATCCGAAACATTTGAACTCCATGCTTTTCCTGTCACCATGAAGCTAGGGTACTGAAACTGCAGAGTCCACCCTTTCATTCCAAATCCTTAACGGTGTTTCTACTGCCAACGTTTTGGGCATGGTTCCCGAAACTGCCGCGGCCGAGAAATGTGTGGCAAGTGCGGTGGTACCGACCATGTAGCGGACGTCTGCGAAAATGAACCCAAATGTGTAAACTGTAGTGGAGCTCACCCTGCTTTCTTTCGCTCATGCTCAAAATAGAAACAGGAAAAAGAAGTACTATTGACTTTTAAAGTAAAACATAACCTTAGCTACCAAGCAGCCAAAGAACAGCTTGCCTTTCAGGCAAGGGTTCTTATGCCCAGGCAGTGAGGAGGGGACCCCACTGTCTACGGCATCTGTGGAGACACAGACTTTCCTGGAAGACTTCCTCCTCACAGGTGTCCCGTTCTGAACTTGAAGTGGCACACACTCTTTCACCTTTATGTTCTGAGAAGGGTGCTGTGCCCTCTACCACCCCCTCCAAGGTGCCAGAAGTGCCACCAGTGGCACTAGCTGGCCCTTCAGGCAGTAGTCGAGGGCTTCCTCCCCGCGCCCCCAGCAACAACCAGAAGCCCGGGCGGATAGAACAACCTCCACTGCCCATGGGTCCAAAGCTCTTGGCGGACAAAAAAATGGACGAGCGTGTACTGCCATTTGATGATGACCTGTCTCCTCGTGAAGCAGAGTCTCTTTCTTTGGTCTCCTTTGAGGTTGTAGGACAACCAAAGGACACTGCTAAGAAAAAAACAAAAACAATTCCATGTGTTGATGCACCAAAAGTCCCCTAAATTTATTTAGTTTTTGCTTTCTCTAGTATATATGTAATAGCGATCCAACTTTCTTTTAGAATAGCAATGTCTTTCCTTCTTCAGTGGAACTGTAGACAAAGTGTAAGCCAGCTACCAGATGATCATTGCCCTATCATACTTTGCTTGCAGGAAACACATCTAAAAACGAGCCGCACTAACATAATAAAGTACTTCCAGGTGTTTTGCAAGGACCGGATACAAGCAGCTCATTCATCTGGAGGCGTTGTAGTCCCGCAACGTTCAACTTCATGTAGCTAAGTTACCCTGCAAACTCCGCTGGAGGCAGTGGCGGCCCGTATTTTGTTAGATTGTTTAATTATGGTTTGTTCTTTGTATATACTCCCCAGTTATCAGCTAAATATTGAAGAGCTTGAAGACCTTGTTTGTCGGCTTCTTCACCTTTTTTTACTTTTAGGAGATTTCAATGCTCACAATCCCCTGTGGGGGAGTGGCCGACAGGATCCCAGAGGGGCTTTCGTTGAACGTTTTCTTCTTTCCTCGGGGTTGTGCCTACTTAACACAAATGAAGCTACATATTTTAGTTCTACCACTCACATTTACTTCTGTAGAATTATTCATTTGTCACCCATTATTATTACCATTGCTTTCATGGAAGGCCATATCCCAAATCCATATGGAAGTGATCACTTTCCACTCATTTTAGAGTTTACCCTTTCTTACGTCACTCTTTCATTCTGTTCACCTCGGTGGAAGTTGGGAAAAGCTGACTGGGCATGTTTTAAACAATCGTCCCTTTTAGCTGCTTCATCTCTACATCAACTCTCCATGGATGAAACAACAGACCATCTCACAAAACAGATTTTGGAAGCTGCAAAATGATTGCCACACCGATGACGTCCACCCATCTTCCTAAACGACCAAAACTGTGGTGGAATGGACTGCCGAGCGCCTAGAAAGAAATGAAACAAAGCGTGGGGCATTTTTAGGCGATACCCTACACCAGACAGTCTTAATGAATTCAAAAGAAAGAGGGCAGAGGCAAGGAGTATTCGAAGGCGAGCGAAGAGAAAACGTTTTGGAGGGTACGTTCCCTTGTTTAACAGCACAGTATCTGCAAAAGAAGTCTGGGACTGTGTGCATAAAATTGACGGCTCTTACCGGGCATTCACTGTTCCACTTTCAAATCGAAATGGAGTGTGCCCCACAAGTCTTGAGGAACAAACCAACATCCTCGGTGAGCACTTCGCGCATGTTTTCAGTTTCCAACATTATACTCAAACTTTTCAGTGACACTAGATAAAACCAGAAAAGAAAAAACTAATCACATCTGGTGGCGTGCACAAACCCTATAATACTCTATTTACATTACACTCACTGCAAATTTTGCTTCTTTCCTCCAAACGAACTGCCCCTGGACCAGATGTTATTCATTATAAAATGTTTGAACAAAATGTTTGAACTATGAAGCTAATTTTGTACATTTTTAGTAGGGTTTGGCTTGCGGGTCACTTTCTCTCGTCCTGGAAAACTGCTGCTGTTGCGCCAGTGCTGAAGCCCGGTGAACATCCCTCTTGTGCACCTAGCTTCAGATCTACAGCCCTAACTAGCTGTCTTTGCAAGACATTGGAAAGGATGGTAGACAAGAGGCTCATGTTTTATCTAGAACGAAACAACCTTTTCGATAGGTACCAATGTGGCTTTTGTTCAGCTCGGTCCACTGTCAATCAGCTCGTCCACTTTGAGACTTCCGTACATGAGGCGTTTGTCAACAGGCAACAATATCTTTTCATCTTCTTTGATTTGGAGAAGGCATACGACCCGGTCTGGCACAATGGCACACTGCAGGATTATTCTATCTTGGTTTCCATGGCTGAATGTTGAGTGCTGTAGAGAGTTATCTGGAGCACCATACTTTCTATGCGAGTCTGGGGAAAACTCTCTCTAAAAAGTTTTTCCAGGAAAATGGAGTCCCTCAAAGGGTGTACTCGGTGTCACTCTTTTTATCGTCAAACTTAATTCCATTGGCCGTGCAATTCCTCCTTCAGTGCAATATTCTTTATATGTTGATATACAGATCTCCGTTTCATACTGTAATCCTTCAATTTGTTAATGTCAGGTCCAACTTGCGGTTAATAACTTGGTCAGGTGGGCTGATACAAATAGTTTTAAATTTTCTCCCGAAAAAACAGCGTCCAAAAACCTACTTGCATCAAGCGTGGCTCTCGCCGATTCCTTTAGCCTCATTGCCACATGCCTCAACCCCCCCAGCCCGCAGGCGTAGCTCTAAAAAGCCGTCAAAGAAAGGAACGCCACAGACAACCGTTGGAGGGAAGAAAAAAAAAAAAAAGTGACGCCGTGGCGACACTTTTTTTTTTTTTTACCTTGTTTTTGTTGGCATCGCCTCCGTTGTAGAGGGAGAGGGAAAGTAAAAGAGAATGTGCATTGAAAAGAAGCCAACTGTCAAGGGGAGCCTTGCAAAGAAGCGCACTATCGGTTCAGCCTACTCATGCCGACGCTCTTTGAAGGGAGAGAGGGAAGCGCTGCGGCTTTAGATCTAGGTGGCGTTGGAAGCAGACGGAATGCTTCAGAGGAGAGGGGGAAACCTCCTAGTCTCTTTAGCATTTCGTCTGCTTCCTCCTCCTTGGCCCTTCCTTTCCCTCGCCCAACCTTTTCGAGTTGCAACGGACTATGGTGCGTTCACAGCCGAGTGAGTTGCTGGAGCCTATGGGAGTGGCTACTCTTTACGTTACACTTTATTACTTTATGGCGAACTAGCCTCGTTTAGTGCACTTCTTGCCAAGCAGCTGTGCATTGTAAGGAAGCAATGCTCGCGCAGCCCGCGAGCTCTGTGGGTATTGCTTCCCCGCAGTGCACCAGTGCTCGGTGAGAAGCACACTCAACGGAGCTAACCCGCTGCAATCAACACTTTGAAAAGTACACTATTGTAGTTTCCTCAAAGTGAATACAGAGTAGCATATTATTCGGAACTACTATTGAAATATTCACACAACACTACTCGTTTCTGTTGATGAGAAAGCGTTTATTAGCACACACAAATGAGCACCAACCACACCTTCAAAGTTGTTCAAACTACTGTCTATCTTTGGTACTGAATGAGCTCTGCAACATAGTGCATGCACAGTTTGATATTTTGTAGTGTTTGCTACGTCGCATGCAATCGAGAAAGCGTAAGATAAAAGCGAAAGATTTATTGAAAAACAAATGTTATGCACACAACTCAACTGTGAGGTACAAGTTCATCCTACAGCCTGCAGACATAAATATGCTAGCTCTACAGCAGATTGTTGGAACAACTAATGCTACACACTACAAAAGTATGTGTGCTTAGATCCTTGCAGAGAAAAAACGTTCAGCCTTCCCACTCTTGTGAAGAAGAAAGACCAGCGGAGCTGTACTCAATACTGTGTGCTTCTTCTTCGTCGTCTGTTTTTCACGCTGTGTCCTACGATGAAATCCCACCAACGCGCCCAACTATCCATTCTTCTATTATAGACCCTTTGCAGCAGCTGTGCATGGACGCCACCATAACTGACCTTCCGTTTTTGTTTCCTCTTATTCCGTTTATTTCACTTCATCATTACCATAGCAGGCCAGGTTATTGCCATATTAGACTCAACTGTGTTCTAAAGCATCGGCCTTTGTAGAGGATCGTCAACTACCGTTTCAGTGGCTCAGCATTTCGGTAAGACAAGAGAAGGTCAGCAATGGCGGCTGTAATTTGGCGTGTGTGTAAAGCGTCTATAGCTGGAAAGGTTGCCGCCATCTACGAGCGACGGCGGAAACCATACTGGTTGTGTGCTTGCCGCTGTCGCTTGTAGATGGCGGTAGCTGTCCAGGTAGGTTTGTGTAGACATACCAAACACGATCCTGGGGAACCTAAACCTTAAAAGCTCCGCTGTAAAAAAAGATTGCCTTTCTGAGGGGAAGCAGTTTATTTCTCAGTCAGAAATGTAATCTGGTACAATCCAACTTCTCACTTTCATCAGTGGACACAACGGAATGTGTTAGCTATTAGGAACATTCAGTGCCTCTTGGCACAACTATCATTGGACAAGTCCAGCACAAAGCAGACAAGCTTCTGAGCAAGAATTGGCAGCGCCACTTTCAAGATATTTGTGGCACATCTTAATCTTGGAATGATAATAGAGGAGGTACTGCTGATGTCTCATTCTCTATATTGCACGCCCTGCACAGATGCGTGCCATATCTTCTAGGAACTCTCCCTTTGATGTGATGGGGATGGACAGGAGCAGGCGAAATTCCTATCGCTGTTGGAGAATGTGACACTTAGTTTCTTCTCATTCTCAGTTTCTTTGATCTAGCCTTGTGTTCAGGTCTGTACCTCAGGTGGTGATGACTTCTTTGCTTCGCTTTCTGCCGTGACGAAATGAGGAAGCACAATGTTACTAAAAGCGGCGCTACTGTTTACAACACTGAGCTAGTTGCCTTGTCAGTATCGCCAGACGGGCCTCATTCATCCATTCTAACGTGGCTTGTCTAGCGTTAAGTAGCAATACTGAGTAGCTCCTTCCAACACTGAAATACATGTGAATATTGAAAATGCTCGAGTATTAGTGTATTGGATTCAAACTCTGAATCACAAAGTAAGACTTAGACATTTATCTCATGTTTTCAAAGATTTAATGTAGACACCATCACAAGTCATGTAGAGCTATTAAACACAACATTAAATAAATGTATCTCAGGGTACTTCAATTAATTCAGATAATTTGGGAAGGTCTCGGCAAAATGTTCTGGGCAGTGGCAATATATGCTCGCAGACACTTGCACCTACCGCAAAGGTTTCGAAGAACGCTGCTTTTCTGAATGCTTGAGCCTCAGCCACTGTTCCAGCTTCTGAAAGTAAAGAAAAAACTAATTTAAAAACAGGAAATGAAGGCATTGTAAACATGGTAGGACCTTTTACATGCTAAATACAAGCTGCAGAATGCTGCTAATGATTCAATGTTGATTCGGCATAGAAAGATTCCAGTTTGTCTTGCATTTCCCCCCACTAAAAGGCAGAATATCATCTCCTTCATTTGACAGCAAAATGTACTGCAATTATTCTTGAAGTGAGAGCAAAAACACCTCTTACCTCTTTGCGTTCCATCAAAATGGACAGGTCTTGGGATGGCGGAGGGCCCTGCAAAGATACAAAAAATAACTTAACGGGACACTGACAGGGTTTTTATGCTTGCCGAGGTTTTTATTTGAACTTCACCTATAAGAGCCCAACTACCCAGAACATAATTTCCAGCTCAAAATTCGTTTTCTTTCTGCCTGAAAACGGCCAGTCGAGAATTGGCCGGTTTCAGTCATGCTCACTTTCTTTTTTGTGGTCAAGTGGTGTTCAAACTATGTGTTATATTTAAACTATGTGATTAAACTATGTATTTATACTATGTGTTAAATTCGTAGGTCATCTAAGGCACACATTCAATACTAAAAATAGAAAAGAATATGAATCCATTTTTGCGGCTTCCAATAAGTTGCAATTACGTTCATCAAAAAAAAAAAGTTCCACAGATTACAGGAAGTGCATGTACACGTCATTCTCAATATGGCGACGTACCATGGGCCGGACGACGCAATGGGGGCGCATGACGGACCAACATTGCGACGGATGTGGGGCCGCTACTTCGGAACCGTCGCTCGCGGTACCGGCCAATCGATCTTCAAGCGCAGAACATTGAGTGGAAGGGATATAAGTGCGAAACAATCGCACGACAAACGGTGCATGCAACTTTGTCATCTGCTTCACATGCCGGAGAAGTGGAGAAAAAAAAAAGTGGTCGGCTATGAGCCTCCGTGCTCGTGTTTCGCTTTCGAGCAGTGGAGTTTCCTGGCTTTATTAAAAATATATGTGGCTCTGCAGCAAAATATTGATTGGGTAGTCTTCTGGCACCATATTAACGTGCCTGGCAAAATATAAAAAAAAAAATTTTGGGAGGTGCCAGTGTTCCTTTAATGAAATAGTCCCAGTGATTAATACAGAATGCAACTTTTGTAGAAGGCTACAGCATGTTTTCACTTTGCCACAATGCCTGAGGCATAGAGCCCCCAAAGGGATGGAAAGAACTTTCTTCATTTGAATTTTCTCAAGCATAGCCGGGCAGGGAGGTAGAAATGAAAGGCATTTCTACCCAACCGCACCCCGATTCGAAGTATAGCAAAATGGACAATGCAGCAAGATTCTAAAGCATTTGTGTTCGAGTCTTATTTTAGTGGTGCCTTTTCATAAGCAGACGTTGCATGTCACAAAGACCGTGACGTCCACAGACCTGCCTTCGTCTTTGAGCACTGCAACCGCGGATAATAGAAAGTTTTAGACCAACCACGTCTGAAATTTTTACATTTCGGCTCACAATAATGCCTTACCTCGTGTGAATCTGAATGTGTGGGAAACTGCTCCGTGATGCCAGTTTCCTAGAGAGGAAGATTATGCATTTGAATTTGTTTTTCAGAGTTTCCATCCATGGTTACCACAAGATGTGTCAGAACCTTGGTGAACTCTTCTATGGGGTCACACGCACATAGTCCGCAAAAAACGTGGCAGATTAAATACAGGGTGTTTCTGCGAAAGCTTTAAAAAAATCCTCAAAAATATGCTGTTCGAGATGAAAAGAAACTCTGTGGGAACAAACTACCAGCCTTGGCAGACGTCAAGGATTGCAAAAACATACTAATTATCAAGGTAACTAACAAATTTACTAATTAACTTTTAATTATTGAAAATAAACACATGGTTTCACTGAGAAACTTACTAAGCATTATAAAAAATGACTAGATAAACTTTTTAGAAAGTTATAGGGCAGCTGGGTCAGCATTTTATGGCATTCTGAAGGAACGCTCAGTTTAGTCGCGTTTCTAAGTTGCGATTTCTTATCGGAGCGCATCCTTGCACCAGCGGTCCTGCTCCCCGATGGTCACTGCGCGAGGCCACCGTCTAGCCTCCCTCGTAGAATGGAGGGAAGTATGGTGCACGTGCGTTGCACGTCTCAGCCACTGGGGAGCAGAACTGCGGGCGCAGAGATGTGCTCCGATAAGAAACCAAAACCTATAAGCGCGTCCAAATTGAGCATTCTTATGAATCGCCGTAAAATGTCTGCCCTGCCTTACATTTTTCTAAAAAGAGTTGATTAAGTGGTTTTCGATGATGCTTAACAAGTTTCTCAGTAGAACCCTATGTTTATTTTCACTAATTAAAAAATTAACTAGTAAATTTTAGCCAACTATCTTGCTAATTTGTATGTTTTTGCAATCTTTGATGTCCACCAAGGCTGGTGGTTTGTTCCCAGAAAGAGGTTATTTTTATCTCGAACAGCAGTTTTTTAGGTATTTTTGAAAGCTTTCACAAGAACACCTTGCACGCATAGGGTGCACACAGTAGATCTTGGACTGGGGTGTTCAGTTTTACTCCGTGAAATTTCAAGGTGTAGTTCTCTTTTTGTAAAAGATGCAAACAACAATTACTTGCCAAAGTTGACGGTGGACGTGTTAGCAGACGACCGAATTAGCAATGAATGTGTTGTAACTTGTGGCGCCATCTCCCAATAGGTGCAGCGAGCAGGAGACACTCTGTTGTCTGTTTGCTCAGTCTATCGGGAGACGGCGCCATGAGTTATATTCGTCGCCAATTCGGTCGTCTGCAAACACATTCGCCGTCGACTTTGGCATGTATGTTGGTCTAATATTTTACAGGAGGAGAGCTACGCCTTGGTTTCACAAGGTAAAAACCGACCAGCTCCATGCACATTTTGGCCAGTTAGAGCTTTCTATGTGCAGGGGTCGATTCTTCTGGCTCGTTTTACAGCACGAGATCCTATGTGCACATCCTAAAATTTGGAAAACTTACAACGCCGGCTTTGGTGGATGTCCCCGCCCCAGGAATCCCTTTCTGGATGCAAGTGTATAAGTGCCGGTCGGACCCAGGCAGTTCCGCATATTCAATCTGTAGAGAACGAGGCACGTCAATGCCTTCAGCGGTGCAGGAGTCCATGCAGCTGTCAGTTGGAGATGGTTTTACATGTTCAATCTGAAACAGGAGAATGAAAAGCCCAGTTCGTATCAACTTCTTTGTGGGTACCCCAACAAAAAGCAGAGCTGCTTTGTTTGTTTCATCTCCAGCTATTACAGCAATGGCCACGGATGCAGGTATATAACTGGCCAAAGCCAATTGTATGGCTATGTGCATATAGCTGTATCAGCTTTTATTTATAATGAGAGCAATGAGATCGAGAGCTTTCTCAAACAAAAAAACGAGGGTATGAAGTAACTGGTGCAGGTAAATGTTAAACATTGTGATTTTACCCAAGCCTTCATTAAAATTAGCATGTTTAGCTCTCTCGGCTGCTAATTGGATGCATCAGGTTCTGCTGGGTGAGCTTTCTTGACAAAAGCCCACTCGTGAGTCCACAATCAGCCATATTTTGTGGTAGCTTTTCACCCGTACACCCGTAAAAAAGATCTTAATTGCGTCCACTGTTTTTTGGTTTTTTTTCAAGCTTTTTATTTACTGGTAGATTTTAGCGACTGTATGGCAACAAAACAACTCAAAACTTTCTGTATGGGTAGTCGATTGTCCCACCCCCTTCATAAAATAGCAGAAAGTCACAATTCACCCTCGCGTTCGATCCCGTCTCTCACGGGATGCAATTTCTAGCAGAAAACCTACTTTTTCTTTTTCGGTAGCAGACGATTCTGTTTTCTTGGTAGCAGACAACGGGGAATCATAGCAGACAATTCCCCGTCGTCTGCTTTTGCACCTCGTCTGCCTCACCTGAGCGATGCATGATTGGAAGGCATCCTAGCTGGTGCACGCTCATGACATGACGTGCGGCACTGCAAAAGGTGTTTCCTGATTTTCTTTTGCATTGAAGGGACTTCATCAAAACTTATGTAAAATATTCTTTCGAAAAACCGACCTAAGCAGTACAATTTGGTGTTTTGCTGCCCTGTTTGAACGTGTGAGAAAGTGTTGATTATGTATTTGCACTAACTGTCGTGCAGTACTGCACTGAAAGAGTTGGGCCATCCGGCAGAATGAAAGAACTAAAAATTCGTCGAAAAAGTGTAGAGAATAGAGAGAGAGAGAGAGAGAGAGAGAGAGAAAAAACTTCTGCGCGTGCGCAGTGCCCACAGATGCATCGCATATCGTATGACGTCACGAACCAACTCGATCAGTCATTTACGGACGACGCTCCTGTGACGTGAGCTTCTTATTACTCTTATGTGGCACAAGCAGCTCATCACATTCGGAGCAGAAACTATGCTGATGAAGTCGCAAGTTACACTTACCCATTCTTGATTGAATACGGAGGGAACCACGCGTTCCCGAAGTCGAACGCACACCAGTGACGTCCGATCAAAGTCTTCGGGGCGAAAATGCTTGGAGCAGATCTGTCCCCATTTTTTCGGTTGCCAGTCGCTGCCTCTTCCTACAGCCCCGAGCCACTTTGCACGCAGTCCTGGGTCCTTAGGAAAGCTAGATAAAGAATCGAGAAGTAACGTCAGTCACTTTCGGTTTCAACCCTTTGCTAGTCACTTACGCATGGAAAGATACTCCGGGTTCTTTGTAAAAGGAATGGGACCTGCAGTACTTTGCAGAACACCTCGGCATCTTGCACTCTTCGATAAGTCGTAAATGAGCGTCAAGCGTGCGAAAACAAAACTTAGGTAGCTTTGGCTTGCCTACAAGACTCAGCTGGTGGTTGGCATTAAAATGGCGATTCGCGCATTTTCTTTTCCGCTTTTTGTGCCATTTTTTTTTAGGTTGTTGCATGACGGCCGTTGACTAACTAACTTGCATAAATTAGCGTAATTAAAGGTACAGTTTTCAGCTGTATTTAAGCGAAATGCTTAGACGTTTACATTGTGGACATTTAGAACAATGTTTAAAAATTGTAATCCAACAAGCCATGAAGTCGTAGCAGTCGTAGCGCTTTCGACATCACGCAATGGTTCTTGGTTCGTTCTGATTTTCTGGCCAGGAAGCTAGAAAGCCAGAAACCAGTCAATATTTGCCTAAATTAAGTTCTCTGTGAAATTCACAAGCCCTAATTGTCAAATATGGGGAAGCGACAGCACCAAAAGGACAAACTCTACCTCACCACGACAGAGTGGTCGACCATCTACGGTGGGCGACGCACGGCGAGTCGTGAGGGCGAATCTGCCGAATTCAAAAGACTGCCCTTCGATCACTGCGCGCTGTCGCTACAGCCTTTCGAGCACCCGCTATGCACGCCCGAAGGCGTCATATACGACATTATGAACATCGTGCCGTTCATCAAAAAGTACGGCATCGATCCGGCCACCGGAAAGCCCATCGAAGCCAAGAAACTGGTACGCCTCAACTTCGTCAAGAACTCGGAAGGCAAGTACCACTGTCCGGTCCTCTACAAGGTGTTCACCGAAAACTCGCACATCGTCGCCATCAAACCTACGGGCAATGTCTTCTCGTACGAAGCTGTCGATCAGCTCAATCTGCGCGCCAAGAACTTCAAGGACCTGCTGACGGACGAACCGTTCACTCGGCAGGACATCATCACCTTGCAAGACCCTGGAAACCTGGAAAAATTCAACGTCTCCCGCTTTCATCACCTCAAGCACAACCTCAAGGTTGTGGATCCCGAAGAGGAGAGGTTGAAGTCCGACCCCAAATACACACTGAGGGTGGTTAGCTCCGAAACGCGGTCCATCCTGGACACACTCGACAAAGAGTATAAACCAGCCGAGAAAACGGAGAAGGTCGTCAAGAAGGCAGACAAATTCAATGCCGCCCACTACTCGACCGGAGCGGTGGCGGCCTCTTTCACTTCAACTGTCATGGAGCCGACCACGCAGCACGAGCCGGCCATCTTGGCAGACGACGTTGTCCGCTACTCCATGGTGAAGAAGAAAGGCTACATCCAGCTGCAGACGACGCACGGTAACCTCAATCTGGAGCTCTTCTGCGACATGGTACCCAAGACGTGCGAGAACTTCCTCGGCCTTTGCAAGAAGGGCTACTATGACGGAACCAAGTTCCACCGGTCCATACGCCATTTCATGGTCCAGGGAGGAGATCCGACGGGCACGGGAAAGGGCGGGGAGTCCCTTTGGGGAAAACCGTTTCGGGACGAGTTTAAGCCTAACCTCGTGCATCAGGGCAGGGGGATGCTCAGTATGGCCAACGAGGGACCCGACATGAACAAGTCGCAATTCTTCATCACGTACCGTTCCTGCCGGCACCTGGACTCGAAGCACTCCGTCTTTGGGAAGCTTGTCGGAGGACTCGAGGCGCTGAACGCCATTGAGTCGGTGGAGACGGACAACAAGGACAGGCCGATCGAGGATATCGTTCTGCTGAGGGCAGTGGTCTTCGTCGACCCTTACGAAGAGGTCGACGAGGAACTCCGTAAGAAGAGGGAGGAGGAGAGGACGAAGCAGGAGGTGCACGAGTCGGGGGAAAAGCGGAAGGCCAAGAGGGTGTTGAAGGAGTTCCACAAGGGCGTCGGCAAGTACATCGATCCCGAGGAAGCCAAGAAGAGCCAGGAAGTGGTGGCTGAGCTACCCGAAAAGAAGAAGAAGGTTGTGTCGGGAAAGTTTGGAGACTTCTCCGGTTGGTGACGACGGATTCCGAGGGCTGTTAGTATCTTTCGATTCGTTTTCGCAAAACTACAATTTTTGGAACGCGTCTTTGACTGATGTTTTTGGCGTCCCGTCCCACCCGTGCATTGAAAGCGGTCCCGTGGCAACAAATGGCGTCGCGGAGGCTAGCGCGTCATGTTGTCAGATGTATATGTGATCCTGGCGGTTGGTGCCAAGGGTCCTGGCAGAAAGTGTAAGCGAACACGGGTGTTGCAGTCGTCACAGAGTCCCGACACCTGGCTGCCGAAGTTTCCATGGACTGTTAAACTGTAGTGCGATTTGCAGCAGAACAGGCGTCTGCTACACCCGCCACCACCACTGCTGTGACACGAACAGGATCGCAGGCGGAGACAGCGCAACACTCAAGCGACATCACTGGGCAGACATAGAGGATCGGACACGCATTGCAGGCACCACATCGCAACGAACGTGTTGTTTGCTTTTCTTTTGGACTTCGAGGAAAGAAGTCCAAAAGCCCTCAAGTACATTGCGCATCTAAATTGTGCAGGACTGCCCCGATGCGACAGGTGTTCCTCTGATGTAATGGGACAAACCCGACAGTTGCTGGGAAACAAATGTCATCAAAAATGAAAATATTGGTGATTACAGAAGTGACGATTTGTGAAGTTCTTTTTATGGCCTGACAAAAGGCGATCATTTTTTTTTTTTTGATGAAAAGTGTTTTTATGCTTACCGTAATATCCCGAGTCATCGCCCATCCCCAAGCCATCGCCCACCCTATTTTTCGGGCCAATATCGATTTCCGAAAAAATACCGAGTCATCGCCCACCCGTTCAAATACCCCAGCGCGGACTCCGCGATCCGCGAACACTCATCCTACCCGAATGACGCGGCCGCGGACCTTACAGTTGGAGGACGTCTGTGACAAAGTAAAACGAAGGAGGGAAAGACACTTCTTTTTGTTTACGCATTTCCTCCGTGAGCGACCCCAAAGTGGTCGTGTATCCGTGCGAAAAGAAAACGATGGAGATAACAAAATAAGAGTTTGTTAATGTAACCGCGGAGTGTTAGGTCAAAGTCTGTCTCCGCCGAAGGTCACCGCGAACCCGCTCCTTCTTCCCGCCCGTCGCGACCGCGGTTGTGCAATATTTTAAGCAAAGCCAATACGTAAATAAAGCTTTGCTGGAACGCCCTACACAGGCGTTTGCAGAGCGTCCCAACCGTGCATTGATAGCCCGCCGTGCACGTATGTACGCACCAAACAAGAAAGTTGCGCAAGAGCTTGCGATTGACAAGGCGCCCGACTTGGCCCGACGCCAAAGTATTTGCCAACGCGACCGCCGGCTTTCCCGCTTTCCCAGCATTGCTCTTGGTCGCTTCTTTGGTACGCTCGCTATGCAGGCAACGCGTATGCAGGCAACGGACTTCGCTATAGTAAAATATTCTTTCGTGAGCATTTTTTTCTATAAAACAAGGAAACTAAATCGAGTTTTGAGTTTGATGTATCTCTTGTGCATCAGCGCTAGATACGCAGAGAAGAATAGGCGGTTTTTTCCGCTTTTTTTCAAGTGTTTGTGCTCACCCACCGAGACATGGCCCACCCCACTTTTTTTATGAATTTCAGGCGGTAGGGGGGTGGGCGATGACTCGGGATATTACGGCATGTTTTTTTTTCTTTTGTAGGCCTGAACATTGGGGTCTACCGACTGAAACGGAAACTGAAGCGTTTATTGAGTTGCCATGAGCGTCATCACAATTACATAACTCTCAAGACATGTTCTTTAATGTGCATGACTGTAAATAAAGCTGCGTTTCAAGTCTTCAGCCCTTGTGGTGGAAGTTCAAGGTTCAACTTGTGCGATGAAAGTTCAAGGTAGACCCTTTCTTGGACGCAATGTTAGATGCCCTCAATGTTTTTTTTCAAACCGGAGGTTCCAAGAATAAGCCAGGGAGTTCGAAATGTGAAACTTATTGCATTAAAAATTCAGAAATTTTTGAACTTTTTGCTCTAAGAAGCTTAATTGCTTTAGAACTTTCAAACTTTTTGTTAGAAATTTATCTATTTTCTTACTTGCCACACTAAGTAATTCAATGATTTTCCAACTTTTGAACATGCTAAATTCTAAAGTTTGACAAACTTATGAACAAAATTCTGAATCAAAAATGCGTCTAAAGGTGCAAGGCATTCGTATCGTGCATAAATATTGCATGGAGTGCAGTGGAAATTGTACTGGAATTTTACATAGCGAATCATGCCGCCAACAAATCGCTTTTAAAGCGCCGAATAATCGCTTTGTGGAGTCCTCGGCGCTTAAACCTCATACCTAAGAGTTTTCCTCTGGCTTCTGTACAGAAACTCTAGTGTACAACTCCATTAGTTGTCCTCGAGTAAATTACGGAGCCTGCTCTGCAGGGTGGAAATTCAACCGAAGCTCTTCACTGGGGCGTCTTTCATAACCAGAGGTATCCAAACTTTTCGGGAGATGGGGAGGCGGGTAAGGTTTTCCACCCTTTCCATTAAATTTCTGAAATATATGATTGGGCAATTGCCCCCCCCCCCCCAAATTCAAACACCACTCTTCATAACTTTAGTTGTTTCTGAACGCCGATTCCCTCGATCTATTCAGGCACGCGGCTCGATCTGCACTTGCTCCATTATCATTGGCAACGGGTTGCTTTTTAGAGTAGCCAGAGCCACTAGAAACGTTCGGGAAGCCTAGATGCCTTTACGTGCACACGTCATGCTGTATATTTTGTTGTTTCATGCCTGCATCGACTGGATTACTACTTGTTTGCAATAAGTAGGAAGAACATGTTAACCGGGTCGCCTTGGGAGTTTATTGAAGACTTGTCCAAGTTCAAAGCTTGTTTCATGAGTTACAATAAATAAGTAGCACCGTAAGTAAAACAGTATAATCGGAAGAGAGAATTTCTGGCATAGAAATATGCAATTTCAGTTGAATTTTTGGCACATTTTGCAATTTGGTTAGACGAAGCCATGTAAATGTTATTCGAAATTGCAGAATTCTATTCCCATCCACAAGCATTGAAGTCTTCGATTTTTTCAAACTTGTAACTCAAGAAAATTTTTTACCTGATCCATCAAGAAATTCAAAATCTTCAAACTTACTTTCAGAAACCCTGATAATTAATTTTTCGAATTTGAACTTTAGCGAGGTTCTAAAGTTGCAAACTACTCAAATTCGAACCTTAACGAGGTTCAAAAGGTTGAAAACCTTTTGAACTTGAACCTTGGAACGTTTGCAGCATCTCTACTTATTTGTACTTGTTTGCAAAGTTGTTACAACTGACAGCTATGAAATTGTTTATTGTCCCATCAAATGCGCTCCTTTTCCAACGGGTGCTATTGTTTGTAAAATAAATTATTCTTGCACAGATTTGTGCATTTTTCCACTTAAGCAGTTTCTTGCAAGAATATGAGGCATCCTTGAAACTGTGAGTGTATAATTGGAGCTCATTTTGTAAACCTTCTCGGTGGACTGAATTCATGCAGGTTCAGCTAGAAGATTTAAGGCTGGTGAAGGGATTTATGTAAAGCATCAATTAAACCAATATATTCTAGGTAGGCTGTGCACTCACTGGTTTTAACCGAAAAAAGCGGGTAAACATCAGGTGGTGACAAAAATACAGAACCGATTACACCCAAAAACACCAGTGGCTGAATATTTTCGCTCCGATTAAACCCCAAAACAACGGTCGTTGAATGTTTCCACTCTAGAGACAGCACTTTTTTTCTAAACTCCTCCCCTTAAAGGGGCACTGAAGTCGATTCTCAGATAGTCCTTTTTTGTGGCGACAACTCAATCTATACATGATTGAAAACCTGAGACTGTGGTTTGAAAAACAGAAAATCGTGAAGTAGAAAGAAAAAAAAAACAGACAACGTCTCAGACGTTGTCCGAGACTCTTTGAGACGTTGTCTGTACCTTTTTCTTTCTACTTCACGATTTTCTGTTTTTCAAACCAGTCTAAGGTTTTCAATCATCATGTATAACTTGCACCAGCTCGCCTGCACTTTAACCGTTTTTTCATTAACTCAATCTAGATGCTTTAAACATCTCAACAAACCCGAAATTACAATCGTGCATAGCTCATTTCTTTGTGTTCAAAGATCGCAACAGGCCCTTTTTGGGAAAAATTTTCTTCCTAGTGAAGTGGTTGACAAAGGGCGCTTGTCGGCGAGTTGCAAGCGATGGCTTCACCCGTGTTGAAGAGGAGTCTTATCCAAATGTACCATTGAGACTCTCTTCAAAACAAGTTATAATAAAATCATTCAGAATTTGCCCGAGTGTTAGGGCTTTCACTGGTCCACACAATGTAGTTGTAAGAAAAAAAGAGTCCACATGTTTTTCTATTGCCTTGAGATGAATAGGCACTTTTGCAATATAGGACTTCGTATATGTGGGAACTAACAGATTTTAAACAATATAAGATCAAAAAGACCTCTTCAAAATCTTCAGTGCCCTTCAAAGTTTCGTCAAACGTGTTATCTTGTGAATAATGAATTTTCTCTCACGATATTCAGCGTCTTTAGCCTCGTCAGCAGTCGTCCAACCAAGATACACTAAAAAACACCGAAATCTTAGTCGTCTAACCAAGATTTCGGTGTTTAAAAAATAAACACCGAAAAACATTCATCTATTTTTTACATTAATAAACACTGAATATACACAGCCTAATCAGATAAAGAATTTCAGTTCATACTCTTAAAAATGCAATTTAATTGTGATTGCATTAGTTATAATGCTTCGGTAGCAACTGAAAGCAACTGGCATCGTCCGTTTTTATGTACACATGCACGACCAGTCAGCTCAAACACAAAATTGCTCACTTTCCCCCATTTGTTTTGTCGTTAACAGGCAAACCACCACTGAAAATAAGAGTGGTGAAATGCAGGAACATGCAGCACCAACTTCGGTGAAAGTATGGTGTTCGGCAGTAACCAGCATGACTAAAATATCCGAAAGTGCCAATGTCGTATATAGTTCCTTGTGTTTTGCGACGACATTCTAAAAAAATGTATATAGTATGCACAATGTGGAAATGGGCTTCATCCCCATGTCACAGGTCTGCAAACCGATTCGTCAACAGCACCACCGACTCCTCAGACTCTTCTCCGTCGGTATGTTTGTCGCTGACGTTGCGCTTCTTCTTCTTCTTCTTCCTAGATGGCGCAGCTCTTCGCTCAAAACAGCAGTCTGGCAGAATGCTGCGGAACTCTTTGTAAAATCCCGAAAACGCAACTTCGAGAGGAGAACCCCGTCCGAGGTACTCGGCTATGAAGAGGTCTGGCTTGGGTCGCGTGTCCAGTTCTTTGGTGAAGTTGTAGAGGAAAGTGCCGTTGAACGACCGATGGAACTGTGCGTCACTGTACGGCCGAAGGAGCACCCTGTTGATCGACCTCGCAAACATCAGGCACGTCTGTAGCTGGCAGCACGAATAAACGAGGTCGGCGTCAAAGTGCCGCGCGTGGTTGTGCGTGGGGCGGCTCCAAAACTTTGAGAAGTTCTTGCAGGTCTCGTCGATGACGACCTGCGTCATCTGCTCGTCCTGCACACCGAGTAAGACTTCCTGAATGTGTATGGGATTTGGGTCATCTGATGTAGACCTCGGTTTGCCGCAGACTTTCTTTGAGGACTGGGTTGCTTGTGGAAGTAACCGCAGGAGAACCGTGTTCAGCAGCAACGAACGGAGCAGGTTTTCGTTGGTCGGCGAACACGCGTGTTGCAGCCAGTAGCTGACGACCGCCAGCATGATGTGCAAGGGCTCTGGGTATTTTAGCGCGCAGGCGTCGAACTCGAAGATGCAGTCAAACAGCCTGCGCCTGGTCAAAACGTCCAGCTCCTCGATTTTATGTAACTTCGGCAGACGTCCAAAACGAGAAACTTCGTACGATGGCCGTTCGAGACGCCTGACCATGTTTTTGCCCTCCCTGTCGAACTCCTCAACGGCCACATCCGAACCTTCCTCAGCAGCCAAAACGAGGCCATAAAGTGTCTTCCGCAGCGGAAGCGAACAGGCGTAGCTGCTTGGCATCTCGAAGCAGTCTATCTGAGTGAGATGAAACACCTTGTGCACAATGGCGACGTTGAGAAGGTACGGGCTCAGCACGCCGGAAAAGAACTGCTCCGCAAACCACCGTGGAAATGGCACTCCCGACGAATTGAGCAGTTCGAGCTGGCTGCCGTCTTGGAGGTTCCTCACGAACGACGAGCTGCGGGCTCCGTAGCGTATCACTGCGTCGCGGATCGACTTCTCCGCTTCGTCGCGGACTCCGGACTTCAGCGTGACCAGCACTTGTGAGATTGTGCCTTCGACACTTGTGGCCATCTGCAACCAGTGCAGGAGCCCGATCATGTTGGTGTGTCGCTTGCTGATCTTCAACTTCCGTTTGGACAGCTTCGGGAGCTTGATTCTGCCGAGAAAGTTTTCGAATGTGCTTCCGTTGACAAAGTCGTTACCCAGCAGGGTCGCAAAGAGGGGCAGCAGACAGCGGTCAAAGCCCGGGAAGTGAGCTAGTAAGTGGTCTATGTGGTACCACCGGCAGGAGAGAGCGCTCACTTTCGCGTCACCAACAGCAATTGTCGAGGGAACGTTGGCGATAGAATCGAGTCGGATGAAGCCCCCTGCAATGTCAAAGATGTAGAAGTCGCTGTCCTGGCTGGCAACTGGGCATCCAAAGTGGTTTGCGATAGCGGTTATCTCTTCGTCTGCTTCGGAGCTGCACTGCATGACGGGAATGCCAAGCTCCCGAACGACATCCTTGAAGACCTGTAAGGGATGAGAAGATGGTTCATAAAACACGTGCAGGCACCCTGTATGTCTGTTGTGGATGACCAACACACAACAAGCAGAGGCGATTAGATCTGGCATGCATTGTTACACAGCATGTCGTCATACATATTATGGCTAAAGCTTTTTATTTTATTTGGAGGTTAAGACCTGGAGCAGAGGCTTATCCTTGACATCCTTCTGAATATACAACACCATTTGCAACGAATTAGCTATTTTGAGTGACTTATCCACAAAGTATGGAAGATCTGTTACCTAGAACCATCTCTGTAAAAACTTGGGAAAATGCAGCATGAGCAACAGGTTTTGATACCAGGAAAATAGTGTCATCTGCTACCAACAGTTAGTTCTGGCACGCACTAAGCTTGTTACTTTAGGGAAGGGGGGTGGGGGAAGGGGAGGGGGAGGAATGACAAAATAACTTCTCCGTACATCATGAGCCAGAATGGGCAATATCTTCTGGTTGGCTGCTCCAGTTCGTGCGATGGCTTTGGCGGTGGTTAGGCGGTCCTGGAGGCGGCGTTGGCATGTCTTGAGCTTCCTGTCCGAGACGTCGTGGCCCCCGTCAAACACGAGGATGACCTCGACATTGCAAGTCTTGAAGATGCCAAAATAATTTCTGATTGCCGCTGCATACCTGGAAATTTAATCAACAGAAAGCCTCAGACACATTTAAAGCATATATAATACTGTTCTGCGAATGTCGTTCAGATGTTCAGAGAATCATCTTCTTGTCAGAGGCAGTTAAACAAAAAAATATGGCACTGTCGTAACGCCTTGACTGTCGCCATCAGTGATCGAAACCCATTGATCCATGCGATAACACGTGTTCCATACCTGTCATAATCGCCGCCATAAACACATTCTAGATGTGAGCTGTAGTACAGCATGTAAATCAGATTGTTGCCGTCGATGACCAACTTGGTGTCGTGAAGATTCTTCCATTCCGAAAGATCGGGATTCAGGTTGAAGAAGGAGCTTAAACCACGAACTCCCATAACCACCGGTCAACCTGCAGAATCATACGCATTGCCCTGTGCGTTTGTTTAAGTTACTCACCAAACCCTCGTGACTAACACTTAGCCACACTTCCTCTTCCAAACACAACTAGGCGCAATTCGCGCGTCACGGAGTTTTCGTACGGCTGAAGTAACCAACGCAACTCTAGGGCTTTACTTCTATGCGCCACCGCCATCCAAGCGAGCGCCAATAAAGCGAGCCATTTGAAAGGGTCTTTCAGCTGGAGGTGGCTTGAGGTCACTGTGAGCCATGGCGGGAAACTCGCGAAAGACTTCGAAGAACTTTAAAGGTGAGTTGAACATGTTCCAAGGGGATTAAATACCGTGTAACTAGATTTACAAGCGTGAAATTTTACGCGAACGTTTCCTTCGTAGGAAGGGGTTCAAAGCGGCCGAGTGACGGGCCACTTTTCTTCGAAGAACACACGTCCGAGATCACAGTCCGTTCTCGCAAAGGTGAGAGCATACGAAAAAGGGCCGCTATAATCCCCAAAGATCGGAACAGCTGTGAAGTCTCGTCAGTCTGTAAGTGATATATCAAAAGCCCTTTTACGAAACATTATTCAAGGTCGCTCCATCACCTCCGTGAGCATCGTAGACGAAGATGAAGAATACAAGAGTGGCCTGTCATTTTGCAAGCTTGCCAAGCAGTCTGGGCTCACGCTGTACTCGGGGAAAAAGTCCAACGTTCTCAGTAAGTCGAACTCTCTACTTGTTTGCGGCGTAAATGTGTGCGTTGCACTTTGAACTATTACTGCTAGGACCACAAAGTTGCAACGAGTTGATGGCCTAGTTGGTTAAAGGAATTCAAAGACAGAGTTGCTGTTGCTAAAAAAAAACAAAAACAAAACTTGTTGTTGTCCTAGAGTTGACTTTATCCAACAAAGTTTTTGTTGGCCAGAAAACTTGTTGGCCGTGTTTGGGAAAAGAAAAGAGAACACGTGGCCAACCAAATCGTCATCTAGTCAACTGCCATCAATATGATTGGCTGCTGATTGGGCAGGTTTCAGAGGCCAGTCATTGTCTTATACACAGCCTGTTCTGGTGAGAGCGTCGACCAGTGCGTTGACATGGTCTGTCTTCATCTACGACTCTGTGTTATTTTTTTCAAGCTGTGGATCAAACAAAGTTCAACAAGGACTTTATTCAACACATGAAAGCTCGACCTGACTACCCCCAGGTATATGTTTCCTTGCAAGAGCTATATATTAAAAATATGTATACTTTATGTTTGTTGTTTCTCTCGTTTTACCGCAGGTTGTGGAGAACCTCATAACCGAAATCAAGGACTACCTTGAAGACGATGATAGGTAAGTGCCACCGGAAATGAATGTTTGTAAAGTTCTTCCTTACATTTACATAACAGGCAACTCCAGTCAATATTTTTTTTAATTTGGGATCATAGCTGTTTTCAGCTAAAGCAGTGTTTTGGAATTAAAAGGTGTAATTTTTTTGTCGATATTGTGTGTAGTTTAATGAATATCACGGCTCAAAGTTTGGTTTTGGGCATCTATGGCGAAACCGAAACTATCTGCTAGAGGGATGGCAATACTAATCATCAGCCAAACGGCCGCGACATGACGTCCTAAGAGTGCTGCGATATGCGATACAACCAATCGACTGCAGTTCCACTGCGACGTGACGTCACAAGGGTGCTGCGCTAGTGTCGCTTGACTAAAAGCTAACCCACTTGCCGCCCGCTAAAGAGCAACTGGTCACATCTTTAAAATAGATTTTAGTGGAGTACGAGGCCTCACTTTGACGTTACATTTTCGGCTGTGATCATATTTCGTGCCACTAAAGTGATACCAGTTATTTCTGTTGGTTTCGTTTTCGACTAGAGTTGCCCTTTAACATTGCTAACTATCTACTAATTTTTGGCTGAACAATGCTTGAGGAAAAAAACACCTTGAGTGCTCCCATGCAGGTTTCAGTTTTGATTTTCTCCCTACCTCTTCCAACTGGGCTGTCGGTTTTATTTTTGCTTGTAGAGGAATGTTTGTGTCTTGTAATAACACCGATGGCATGTGGAAAGTTTTGTTCAGAAAACTTCTGTCTCGGGGTTTGCTCCTTTGTAATTCCAGAAAGGCGAATCCATGTCGTTCAACCTCTCGCTTTGTGGAAAACACGGAGGTCCAGAAATTAATACTAAACTAAATAAGAATGTCCCAGTTTCTAATAAAAAAAAAATGTTGGTTGAGGCCTCTTGAAAAGAGTGACCCCGGGGTGTGAGGCCGGGGTTGCCACTTTGCGTAGTACCTTGTCTCGGAAAATATTAGAGAAAAATATCCTCGGTTGGACGCTTGCAGACAAAGGGACATTGACACCCCCCAAATTTTTATTTTATTTTTCGCCAGGTGATCTATTATGGTGTCAGAAAACGACCCAATCTATATATTGCTACAGCGTAACATATATTTTTAATAAAGTAAAAAAACACAACTGCTCGAAACCGAAACCAAGACCAGACTGGGGAGGAAGAAGAAATATAGAGGACAAGAAAGATACCAAAAATCACGTAACTGTGCAACTTTTTTTTCTTTTTTTTTTTTCAATTAACATATTTGCAATTTTTTAAAAGCCACAAAAAATGGGTATCATATTTCCTGTCTATTTTTTTAGTATTGAGTGTGTGCCTTTGATGACCCACGACTTTGATTATCCTTGGTGGTTGTGTCTAAACCATAGAAAACGGCACGTGACCATGAAGAAGAAAGTGAGCGCGACTCAAACCTGCCAATTCTTAATCAAGATTTTCGGCTAGAAAAAAAAAAAAAAAGAATTTCGAGCCGCGAATTGTCTTGTGGGTAATTGGGCTCTCGTATGTCAGGTACGAATAAAAACTTTGGCGAGCATAAATATTAGCGGAAAACAAACAGCACAAGGACAAGGACAGAGTAGAAGGCGGTAGACACACACAGCGCTGTGTGTGTCTACCGCCTTCTACTCTGTCCTTGTCCTTGCGCTGTTTGTTTTCCGCTAATATGAATGAACAACTAGCCCAATCGTCAACACTACTGAGCATAAATACCCTGTCAGTGCCTCTATAATTTTGATCCCACAGATCAGTGTGTCTTCAATAAATAAATATACCTCATAAAAGCATGCTACAGTTCTCCATGCCACCAAAATTTGCGTTCGACATGCACCATATGACAGCACCACATGGTGGTCATTTGAAGCTTCACTAAATATCGGCATTTCAGAAAGTTTCTTTTGTGCCTGACTGAGAAAGCTCCCCTTCGCTTTTAGGCAAACTGTCACACTTCGATTTAATCGCCTGCTGCTCTCGACTTCCTGTTCTGTCGAATGATCCCGACCTTCGCTTTCGTCTTTTCCTTATACAGAATGAAGCTTGCACTCACTCCTACCAACCTGACTGGCAGTGGGTGAGTACTCACGTTTGAAGAGTCATTTGCCAGCGTACCGACGTTAGCAGACTTGGTTAAGCAACTTTTATAGTTGGAATGCCATCTGCTGCGATGGTTGACCTGTCTGTGAATTGCCAATGATATTTCAAAAAGCTGCCGAATCATTGTGTTTACAGCGGAAGAATGGTGCGGCAGGACAGCATCTTCCGCCTCTTGCTTCGAGTTCCGCCACTTCAGGTTGGTCTTTGCCTCGCCGTTTTACTGAGATCGTAAACATCTAGTATAAATAAATCGCATGAAACGAATCGCACTATGCGGAATGGTACGACCACGTGGTGCGGCTCATTCGTGCGAATGAGCCACGTGGATGAATTGTATGCACTCCGGTTGCACGAGCGAGACATAGTAATCAACGTTTTAGTCGTACAAGAAATTGGTTTCCCATGGGGCTTTACGCCGTTCACACTTGTCTTCGTTGATTTGCAGCGGAAGCTCAGCGAGTACCTCCTGGAGAAAATGGTTGAGACTGTTGTTACAGACGAGTGAGTGAGAGCCTACCGGGCTGTAGTCTTTTTGCGGCACGTGTGTCAAAACCTCCGGATCTCGCATCTAAAGTTTATTTGGGCCATCGTGGTGACTTATCTCCGTTGCAATGGCTTGGTGGCGCGTTAATATTAATGCTCGCCCCGAAATATTCTAGCACGCCTGACAACACTTACCACGTCCAAGTTCTGAACCAGTTCAGGTGGCTCGACGGCTTGGTTGGTACCAAGGTGAGCTTTACTCCACATCTAAGACTTGTTAGGAACTTAGTATTCATTAATACTCGAAAATATGCGATGCATACCTTTGTGTCAAAGCGGTCGGCCGAGCAGAGTGGCACTATCTACAGTGTGTCCCCCTAAAAACTTTTAGTATTTTTTTTTTTTCACCCCAAAAATAAATTATGCAACACCGAACGCTCGTTCTCAACCCAAACCTAGCGCCAGCGATTTGAGCCGGATGCCAAAATGTCAGAACTAGCCGTTATTTCATTCAAATGTTGTGCGATTTTCTGTAAATCGCTTTCCGTTTTCGGGAAATGAAATTCAGCTCCATGTATTCCAGAGCTCCTTCGGCCACCATTTTCCCATTGAAAATCTTAGAAAATCGCTTATAACTTTTGAATGAGATAACAATTAGTTCGGAAAATTTGGCATCTGGTTCGAAAATGAGCATTCAGTAATGCATATTTTTTTGTGATGAAAAAAAAAAAAAAAAAAAAAAAAAAAATCCATAAATATTTTTTTGGGGGCGGGGGGGGTTAAAGTTAAAGTTTATCTAGTTTATGTTAATTAGAGAATCTGGAATTGGGTTATATAGCATTGTATCTGTAAATACTGGAATGTAAATAAGAGGAGCGAACAAAAGATCTCATGCATGTCCGATCGGTGTTTTCAGTCTTGTGCTGCGGTCCTGGCGTATCCAAACCTGTTATGTTTGTGCTCTTATTAATTCTGGGCAATGTGCAGGAGTTTGCAGACAAGGTCTTCGAAGTGCTTCCGGTCGTCCCCTTGCATGTTCGCAAGGACGTGGTGTCGGCGTTGCCAGACATCCTCGAGGACTCGGAGCATGTCAATGCTGCGCTTAAACTGGGGTGAGTCGCCCACGTTGGCTTGGATCGCATCGAAGGCTAGTTGAAGTTCAGTGGAACAGTCGGCTGTCAAATCGTCACGCAAGCTTGCGTTGGGTGCTTGGTCGACGCGGCGGACACACCAGACATTAATGCCTATACAGGTTCAACCAGGAACTGTATGCAGTGTTGATGAAGGTATGAATTTCATAGGATTAACAAGCACCGTGTTTGTTCCCTCAAGTGCTCATTCCACCCTAGGCAGTTTAGCATTGTGCTCGTGTACCTTCCTTGACGCTCAACACAACTCGGGAGGAGAGCAGAGGGCTTTGTGCTTAGTCACAAAGCATTGCGACATGTTACAGCCTGTCAGCAACGGGATGAAAGCAGCAGGGAGGTTCTTCAGCTCTGCCGCCTTCAGCGCAAGCTTCCTACGCCTTGGCATCTTGTGAGCCTTGAGCATGCAAAGTAGGATGGAAAGCAACTCATCTTGTCAATATCAGCGCTGAGCGCAAGTTCGTCTGCTTCTTGCGCGGGGGTTGCAGGGACGTCAGAATGCCGAGCACCGATTGGCTCTGATTGGAAGGATATGCTAGCTGCTTCGAAGTCTACCCACTATCCTTCCAATGGGAGCCAATCACAGCTCGGCGTTTTGAGGTCGGCACAACCCCTGTGCGAGAAGCAGACAAACTTGCGCTCCGCACAGAAGCCGTTCACTACACTTTTTTCTCGAATGACCCGAAGGAACTGCTCAATTTTTTTAACGAAAATGTACAAAGGCTCGAACGAATACAAACGTCTCTTTCAGAACGCTGCTTACGGAGGACAAGGAACTGAGCTTGACCATTCTGGAGACTCTGAGTAACCTCAACGTTGATGCCGACATGGTGTCTGAGGTGGGCTCTCTCTCTTGAGCGGTGCTTGTCCTTTGCTGTTGGGGTGTTCAGTCTACTAAACTCGCGTGAAAAGATAACGATGGAGGGATCATTAAGCATCTTCTGCGGTCCTTCACCAGATTCGGAGCACCGTGATGGGGACCTTGAAGTCAGCCGAGCTCTCCCAACTGCCCATGATCGTCCGGTTCGTCCTCAGCAGCGTGTCCTCTCAGGAGGCACTGCAGGTGGGGATAAGAGCACCGTCTGTTTTGGGTGGGGGACGGGGTTACCTTTCTTTGCGAAAAAGTTAATAATATTTTAAAACCTAACAATGCCGATAGAGTGTATATCAACTGTTTATAATAAGGAAAAGAAATAAGTAACAATGCCAATAGAGCGTTTATAAGTGTTTGCAACAAAGAGGGAATAATTAAGTTGCCCTCCTGCCGCAGGTTGTGTCTCAGCTCCGAGCCAACCTGGACTTCCGAACCATCCTTCCGGCCGCACTTTCTTCAACCCAGAAGACCTTCAGGTTTGTTGGTAGAGTAAAGTTTCTTCACAATGGTGCCGTGGGCCTACCAAACTCTGGGGATGGGAGAGGGGTCGCTCGGTAAATTCTGCCCTAACGTTCGCGCCCGAACGTGCATCTGCCACATTGGTCTACAATGTTTAGCCATATGCTATAGATGGGTTTCCGGGTTTTCGCGGTTTGATTCGCTTTGAATTCGGTGGGGTGTTTTTTTTCGTGGTTTGTTTTTTCCCACCGATTCATTGTTTTCCTACGTAAGTTCTCCGTGTTGGACAAAAAAAGATCTGTGTTTTTCGAGACTTGTGCTGAAGAAAACAGGACAAGTGGAACTCACCAACCTCCAGGGAACATGTGCATAGACTAAAAATTCATGGCAAATTGCTAGGCAATTGTGTTGCATACGTGAAGCTTTTCAGCATCACAAATGTTTAGCGATACTCCGAGTTTCCAGACGCCAGGCGCCTACGTTCATGGCGCTCTTTATCAGATATCTTTTTGACGTATACCATGTGTGCACTTGATGGTTGTTCCTAGAATGAAGCCATACTACCGCTGATCGGGCTGATAAATCTGGCGATCTTCCACAGCCTTCCACATTCTCTAGCTTCTCTCCCTCAGTGCGCACAGATGGTGGAGCTCCTCCTCGCCCACCCTTCTGGTCACATGACCTCCCAGTTGACCAGTCAGCGTCGAGGACCTCACTCCTCCTCTCCCACCCATGAACCAATCACTTTTATCTGGACTTCAAGAAATTCCGAACACCTAGCCAAAGAATGTTTTGTGTTAATACTTGAAAATGTTCCCATTACCGGGGAAGGAAACTAAAGAAGGGGTTTGGTTTTTTAAAGGCTGACCTGCAAAACATTTGTCAAACGGTAAAAATCCTCGCTAGCCTTTCTATTTCCCCCTCTCCCACTCTTAACTTGAGGGCAGGGGGGGGCTAACTTGTATTCCGTATCAGCATAGGGTAAAACTGCATTTCTTCCCTGTGAAGATAGGGTATTGTTTTGGTGAATTATAGCTCCAATTCAGCGTATTAAGTTTTTTATTTTTTATTTTTTTATTTTGATAGAACCGGTTTGGGGGTTATTTTTCGGGCATTTTTCAAGATATACTGAAAATATGGAAGCCTAACTATGGCCGACCCGATTTGCCATCCTTGCGTAATTTCTCTATGATTCCAAATAAACCTATGTTTGCCAGGAAATCTGATTGCAATGGATGTTCACAATTGGGTTTTTCGGAGTGCAGCATGGAAAACGACTACGAACTCCTGACCATGACCGAGATCAAGAATGCGGTTCAGCTACAGCTGTTTCTGGGGGACGCCTGGGCTAAGGTGAGGTAGCCGCAAACGTAAGCAATATTACAGCTTCAGCTGCCCGACCATGTTTCTTTCTCTAAAGTCACCCTTTCTCGAAATGGAGTTAATCTTTCCGAATTTCAGGCCGTGGAGCGCGTCAAGGTGGCAGCAGACCACAAGGTGAGAGATCAATTTTCTAAGCTGTCCGGTGATCCTGAGATGGTGCCTGAGTAGGCAGCTGTTTGAGTTTGTTGTGAACTGTTTCTTTGTGGGTTTGCTAAAATAGACAGTTGGTTTGCTTTGTAAGAGCTGATGCAACATAATTGAGGCTGACAGCCTAGACAATTCGGAAGATGTGTACCCTCTGTCTTTCAAATTAACCAATTTTTTCTTTCTCGTACGATAGTATCCTATTTACGATAATCGTCAATAAGGTTACTTTTGCCTTCAATCATCCCAGCATAATAAAGCAACTTACCTATAGGTACTGACAGTCAGAACGGTAGGACATGTTTTTCTAACGCCCGTTCTCCAGCACGTGCTTTGTCACTTCCGACATGCTTTTTACCCTGAGCACGCGCTCAAAATCCACGAGACGCCGAAGCACTTTCAAAGGTGGAGAGCCTGCATTGGACGTGGGACTACGGAAGCTCCTTACCATTCTCACCTTGTCAGTTGCAGTAGGCTCGCAGTAATTAAAACCCTGATATTTCATACATCTGGTTAATTCAAACAAATTTCTAAATTTGGGTGGTCCCGCTACGTTTTTAGTGTATTTATAAGCCGCTTAATTCGAACGGCGTTTTCGTGCAAGTCATACTTGTTCTTGTGGCCCCGTTGAGTGCGCTTCTTTACGAGCACCGGTGTACTGTGGAGCAGCAATACCCGCGGAGCTCGCTTCGGCGGGTGTTGTTTCTCTGCAGTGCACCGGTGCTCTGCGAGAAGCGCACTCAACGGGGCTAAAGCAGGGGACACGTGAGCAATGAAAACGGGCGCCACGCGGCAGTTTCCATATCACCTTGCGCCGAGGCTGTGACGTGGTGGCGTGGCATAGGTCCACGTCATAGCGTCTGCGCAATTTGCTATGAAAATTGTTGCGCAATGCTTGTTTTTCTCACTCGTGTGTCCTCTGCTTAATATTCCACTATCGGCAGCTTTTTGTTTTGGCTAGATGAACGAGCTTAATTTTGTTTTGAGGTTTCATGTGTTGTTTAAACAGTTCACAAAAGACAACATTTTTGAGGGATGAACAAACCTATGTCATACATTTTAGTGATGTTTTATGTGTGCATACCTGCTTATGACTAGTAGGCCTGTGTAGAGCAAATCGTCAAATATCGGCTTTGTATGTGTAGCCATTCATATGGCAAGTCCTAATTTTATCTTGCATCTTATTTAAATGAATTTCAGATAATTCAAACAGAAGTTGTGGCTTTCTGGAGTTTTGATTAATGAGTCTACTGTAATATAGTACGCTGAAATAAGAAATGGCACAGGAGTGAGTTGCTGATAAATATATACTGGAAAATCATATAGACGGGAGAAGAAAATAAAAGGGACAGAATTTAGACGCTACTGCGGTCGTCCCCTTATTTGTTTCCACAACTCCGGGTTTTTCGGTACGGTACCTAGTAAACTTGCTTACCTAGATTTGACTGCCCTCCTTGTAAAGCAGTTGAAGAAGTGGAGCAAGGCACACAGTGTGCTGCGAAAAGGTTGCAAATGACGACATCTGCGGTTTTCTGCTCGCAGCCCCTGGACCTGCTCTTCCTCCTGCTGCTGCACAATGTATCGCCGAAACCGAAGACAGTCGAGGCCCTGCTTCGAGGGAAGGTTCGCTGCGGGCAGTTCACGCCGGCTTTGCTCGATGCCACCTTCGCCACTCATGCTCAGGTGACGCGTCCAGACTCGAAGTTGAGGTGCTGTTTGATTATTTGGACGTTTTCGGCCGAACTGTTACTCACCCCATAGAGTTAATGTATAACATTGAACGAAATTTCTTATGCCATAAAGCTTATTGCTCAATATTTTGGACGTCATTTGCGTGCTTTCCCCAATTTATAGCTACAAAACAGCTGCCGTGAGCTTAGTCGCTGCCATTTTGGTTGTTTTGATTTTGCCCTATAACCTCCATACCATGTCCTATGCAATGAACAAGCTGGGTTGAGGCTATAGTCCGGTTTTCCGGTTCCACTATAGCCAACATGGCCGCCGTCTGCCCATTTGTATGGTCCTTGCAGTTCTTCTCGTGGTCCGTGTTTTTCGAGTGTGACCGCGAGAAGAGCAGCCGTCTTCCGTTCTTGTGGTCTTTGAGTGCGAAGGTTTTTTTGCGGATAAGCTTAGTATTGAAGCAAGCTTAATGGACTAAAGGTTGTCTCTAAATAGTTCCAAATGGCACCAACAAAGGTGCTGACAAAGCGCAGCACCGTGATCAAACAGATCAACAAACAAATGAAAAGTGAACAATATTAGCGGAAGTTGCAAGAGAACTTAAAATTGACATCAAGCAACTGGAAAGTGGCTAATACGCAACGGAATATGCACGGAAATTTGATATCTTGCCTGAAATCGGTTTTTTGGACCGCTTGATCATTCGGACAATTTCGGGATCCCCTCCGTGTCCGAAAAATCGGTCGGCGGCTGTACGCACATATTATGAGAGACTGAAAGCACAAGTTTGCAGCGCATTCTGTGCGCTTGATTGAGTGAGCCGGCAATAATGGTCGTACAGAAAGACGACGAACGTCATGTTGTCACATTTTCGGCACTGCCTTACTGGCCCTGTCGTCTTTATAGCCAATAACGGTCACACAAAGGGACGACAAATGCCGTGTCATTTTTTTTACACTGCCCGTTTGACTTGCAGGTTTGCCTGCACCATTTTGTATGATGAAGCAAACTACAATAGAGTCTCCATCAATGAAACTTGCTTGTCTTCTGATAACTCTAATTTCTGGTAACTGGATGGATGAATTGCTCTACTCTTTATAATGGGCGGTAGCTTACGCCACCTAGCTTAAAAATATGATTCCTCCCCTTCTAAGCCAGAGCATTTTTGTAACTACGACCAGGCCGGGGGATAATCACCAGAATTTTCTTTAACAGATCAAACAAAATTGCTACCCCCCTCTCCCCCCACCTTCTCCCAACAGCGAAGGAGTCACTGATTCCGCTAAGCGGAACAGTCTTGCCCGGTCCCTCAGAGTTATTTCTGAGAGCCCACTCGCATATTCAGTCTTCATTACCGAAGAACTTGGAACTACCTAGTGACATCATGGGGGCTCTGAAGTGTTACGTAGTATTTCTGTCTCACTTGTCATTTCGTGCGCACGTCCGGTTCGTACCAACTAGTCCATCCACTTGTGAATTCGTAATTTGTGCGTTCGGCTCGGAGGCGTGAACTTGTCGGCGCGGTGGCGGCAGGTGGTGACGTCGTACAGTTCCACCGTGCTGCACCTGGCCCAAGTGCTCCTCTGGAGTCCCGAGCCCCAGGTGCTCAAGTTTGGTGCTCATCTCTACCAGCACATGTTTGTCTGCTTCGAGGGAAGCACCCGACAGGTATGCGGAAACGTTAGGGAAACAGAACGTAGTCCTACGTATAGAGCCATTAAGTCGGCCACACTTTAGAGCAGGGGTTCCGAAACTTCTCAACCTCGAGGAACCCTTTTCGAGGCTCCTCTCTCTGAGTTCCCCATATTATCAGACATATTCAGTTTCGCTCCAGAGTAAAATTATACTTTACAAGACTCACCTGCACCAAACATTGTTTCGTTTCCCGTACTGTCGCATGTCGTCGCGCGTCGTTATGATGGGAACCTACCATGAGTAAGATTTTAAAGCAAGGCTTTGCTAAAGGGGGTTTTAATTTGTGCGGAACTAGCTTTCGGTGAAATGCTTAGGTCACCTCACGAGGCTGAAGTCGTGTGATCGCTGAAAGGTGTTCGGTCGGCGACGGAAGGTAGGCGGGGTCTACGACATTCGGGGCGACGTTTTGACTTGCTTTCAGGAGGCCGTGGTGAACCTGGTGACTCATGTCGGAAGCGGGGTGCAAGCGCAGATGAACGCCGCGCTCGACTGCCTCGTCGACCTTGCCCACCGGCATACTGTGCTAATGGCACCTTTTGGCGCTTTCTTCAAGGCATGTCCCGAAATGTTTTTCTTTACTTCAGTATTGATCCAGTGCCGGCAAAGCTAATGAGACGACGTGTCGCATTGATTGGGTAATAAGAATGGCTAATATTATCTTGGAAGTGATCGTCCTACGATTTTCAGTGTCTAGTGATCTCACAATCTAATTGGTTGTGTTTTGATTGTAAATATAATTAAAATTTTAATTGATCTTTTTTTTTTTTTTGTGACATTGCAAAGAAGTGTTATATGCTGTCCAGCTTGTCTTATGCTATTTGTACGTTCTTTACTTTTAGATCTCGAGAAAATGAGTTGTTATTAAGATTGCCGTTACAGATGCAGAAGGATTCAGATGAGTGAACACATAATTGATAGTGTACTTGAAGCGTTTGTGTCCCGTAGTGTCGCATGATGGTGGGCATTTGTAATGCAGGGGATGCTGGATTTTCTGCGCAACCTGTCCCTGTGCCAGATTCGAACGCTCTTCTTAGTGATTGCGCTCATTGCCTACCAGGGTGGCCAACAAGGTGCCATGTTTCAGGTAGGACTCAGCCTCATATGCCTTTTTATTGTCCAAACTCTAGCTTGAATTAAACTTTCAATTTGTGGAAACTTTGCAGGGGATGGGGATGTGAATGTGCCAAGTCACAGTTGCAATTCGTGTGGTCGGGTGGGAGATAATTTTAAGCAATAACGAAGAGTGTAAGCTCACAGCTGGTGGTTGTTACATGTCGTATAGCTGGTTGATTTGAAACTATGTTTCGGTCTCGGGCTCGAGTTTGACCTTGAAGAAGGCTCTGGATGCAGAACAAACTTAAGGAGGGACATGGGCCTAAATTTAAAATTTCTTTTGACAAAAAGTTTACTTTTCAATTTTGAGGTTTTCGGTTTTAGAAACCAATTATACACCCTTACACAAAATTTGATAACCTTATGCCAAATAGTTGCATTGATATGAAATATTTTGAACACACTGTGAGGCAGTAACAAAGTGAAGGAGTTCAATGTTTGAATGCAATTTTCTCAGTTCCACCTTTTGCTGCAAATTTCATACGAAGGAATTTTTTGTTCTAAGGTAAAAGTATTCTGATACGCACCACGATCAAGATGTTTCTGAACTGACATTTACTGGGGAATCGGGCTACCTACTTTATTTTGTTTTAAGTTAAGGTCCTCGTTGAGAAAAAAAACTATGTTTTCAAAAATTGACTTAGGACAGATATGCATCTCATATTTTAAGGTAATCACTCTTCCTGAAATATTAACATTTTAGTTATGAAAACTAGATAGCCCTTAAGCCCCCCCCCCCCCCCCCCCCCCCTCTTATATTCAAGCAGTCAGAATGGTGCTTAATAGCTTCATTTGCATATCATAGATTTTTTAACGAAGAGTGAAACATCTTCTCATGAGGGTATGTAAATTTGTCCTAGAGAGCTGAAAGTTTGCACAGTACACCTACATCTGACAATAAATCTCCCCTGCAAATTTCATTCTGATCACTTGAGTAGTTCAGAAGTTAAATCTCTAGCCAATGTCCCCCCTTAACACTTTCTTGTGTGTTTTACACTTTAGTAGCACTGTAAGGATGTTAAATAAATTATTAAACCACTTCTACTTTAATCTTGTTCTGACACTTTAGTGTTTTACTTGATTTGCTTCAATTATGCTACATTTGAAAGTGGAGAACGAAAATACAATTTTATCAGTTTAAGTCCTGCTCGTTTCTGTTTAGCCTTTAGAAATCATTAGTGATGATATTTTAGGGTTGCTGTTGGAGGGGGGCTTATGACGAATGCATTGAAGGGGATGTCATCGCAAAGCCAGCGTCACCTCTATGAAAGCATCTCTCTCTTGTCTAGTCTTTCTTCTCGCAGAAAAATATCTTGTTTATTTCACAAGATTCATCACTCTAACCCGGCAGCTCATAGAACATTATTTTCAGAACCATGTTACATATCATCGCGCATAGATGACCAACTAAAATTAGGCATCCCTCATTGTAGCACCTCTATTTTCAATGCTTCTTTTCTTCCCCAGACATCCATTGATTGGAATCACCTTCCGGCATCAATAGTTTTAATACCTGACGGCACTGCTTTTAAAGCGCCGTTCCCACTCTTGCGATTGAGCAAGACCGAGAGAGACCAGACTGGTTTTTAAGCCTTTTGCGACTTCTTAGGACCGGATGCGCTGCAGCGCGGAGCTGGTCCTAAGAGATTGCAACAGGCTTAAAAACCGGTCTGGTCTCTCTCGGTGGTACTCGGTTGCAAGAGTGTGAACGGGCCTTAAACTGCTATTACTATTTTTTTTTATATTATGTTCTTTAGCAATGCTTATACTTTTTTTTGCTTTGTTTATTTTTGTATTGATGCATTTCTTGCCTTGTTTATTGACATTAATGTGTTGTTGCCTTGTTAGCATTGTATTCTTGTATAACTAACCCACTCCTTTCTGTAATGCCTACGGGTCCTAAGAGTTATTGGAGTTATATTTGAGTTACATTGCCAATGGAATATCACATTTATTGACTGTGAACTTCCTTGATGGCAAACATTACTCCTAATTTCATTTCAGGATGAACTGCACATGATGATACGTAAAATGCTGACCCGGTTCTGTCCCAAGTGAGCTTGAATTTATTGTACACCTTCTCCTGTTGACTTTTCCCTGTGATGTTTGCTACCTACTTGCAGCATATGTATATAGACATTTTGTACAAGGTTTTTTTTTTAAGCTTTACAGATTTGTTTAAAAAAAAGACGTGAAAGCTACACTTATGCGGTATGTATAGATGAGTTATGTGGCCAGGGGGACATTGTATAGGGGGCTAATCATAATGATCAGTCAACTAATTAAGTATAATTTGGTAATTAACAATTAAGTTAGTGAAAATATACATATGGTTAAATTAAAGACTTGCTAAGCATCATCGAAAACCAGTAAATCAACCCTTTAGGAAGATATGACAGGGGCAGCATTTTACGGCGTTCTGCAAAAATGCTTGATTTAGACACGTTTCTAGGTTTTGATTTTTTATCGGAGCGCACCTTTGTGCCCGCAATCCTGCTCCCCGGTGGTCGCGGCACGAGGCCATCCCCCTCGCTTTTCTCGCAGGATGGAGAGAAGTAGGGTGCACGTGTGTTGCGCGTCTTAGCCACTGGGGGGGCAGGACCGTGGGCACATAGATGCACTCCAATAAGAAACCGAAACCAAGAAACGCATCCAAATAAAGCGTTTTTACGGAACGCCATAAAATGCTGCCTCTGAATTATATTATTCTAAAAAGAGTTGATTTAGTGGTTTTCAATGAAGCTTAGCAAGTTTTTAATTGGAACAATATTATATTTTGACTAATTAAAAAGTTAATTAACAAATTTTACTTAATTAGCCGACTGATCGTTACGATTAAGTCTCCTATACTGTGTCCCTGTGGCCATGTAACTCGCAGTTACAAACTGCATAAGTGTAGCTTTCACCGCTTTTTTTAAACAAATCTGTAAAGCTTAAAAAAAATCACCCGTATACCATGTCAATAACGGCCAATTTGCCCTAATAATTTAAGGATTAATTGAGTTCTAGATATTCCAATTTGATATGCATTTGATATTTTTGTGGTTGTATACAGCTCTTTCCAGATTGTGCTCACACGGTTGTGGCTCTTTTGTGAGAATTGACGCCAAGTCACTCTTTTTCAGGTCAAAAAGGATAGGTGTTGTCGGAGCCCTGATGACAGTCAAGGCCATGGCAGCATCCAAGTGAGTGATGTGACAGTTTAACCTTTAATCAATCTCATTCACTGTCATTCCCCTTATTGTTTTATAGGAATGATCATTGGTCATACCACTAGCGACTCAAGAATCATTCCTGTTCTCGTGCTGTTAGTGATGCGAGAATTACACCAATTTTCCTCTTCCCGCTTGTGGTCTTGTACTGACTTATACGCTTCACACGACAGAAGACACTGTACCAGTCAGCATCGGTGTCATGGCAATGATAATTGGTCATATTGCTAGTGATACGAGAATCATTCTTGTTTTCATACTGCTAGTCATACGAGCATGACACTTAAATTTCTGGGGCTGCTGGGTTTTGCTAGCAAGGATGGAAGAACAGAGCAGAAAAGGATGACAATCACTACTAAGAGGAGGTTAGAAGGTTGGTGGAAATTATGTAGGGAAAATTGAACAGAGTACAACTAACTAGCAGAGCCGGGGGACAGGCAGGACAGAGGAACATCAGGACCCCTTCCCATGTGGGCCAAAGCCTCAACCCTGTCTCCCAGTGGGTTTGATGTTGGTGTTATGCCGACAAGGTTTGACCAGAGAAAAATCGGAGTTTCCCCAGACGGGGGGGAGCGGAGAAGGTGGGAATCTGAGTGTTTCTAGTTTCCTTGTCCCATCCCCCAAAGGTTGTCTTGGGGATATCCCGCACTGATAATAATTTAAAAAAATGCAGGGAGAAAAAAAAAAAAAAATTAATGTTTTAGTTTTTAGGTTAGGTGGGTCAAGCTACCGTCCGTTATAAGGGGTATGGCCGTTAACATCCATTCATCCATCTGTGCATCCGTTTTCTGTATGTGGACTTGTATTGACTGGCACACCTCGCAGGCCAGAGGACAGCCTCGACCAATCAGCATCAGTATCATCCGCGACGACTCCCCCCGAAACGGTGAAAGAGGCAATCGAACTTCTTGAGCTGGTTCGCTCTTCCACGTCGTCGTCTCCGCGCGCCCTTGCCCTCTTCTACGACGAGCTCAGTCGGATCGTCATCCGCGGTGGGCTTGACAGCCGCATCGAGGTGTGTTGACCGAATCGCTTGTTTTATGCTCCTTATTGCTCCTCCTAATGAGCTCTTTATATGTACTACGTCATCACATTCTGCAAATCCTTGTAAGAGAATTGCGTGGGAATGCCGGCTTCTGGGAGGATGATTGCTTTCTCATTCGACAGTTGTAGCACACTGCAGCTATGGGAATCTATTAGGGAGGGACACTACCTGGGAATGTCAACTTTTATACTGCTCACTCAATCGGCGTGATAATTGCAGGTGGTGTTTGTAGCCATATAAAAGGAGGGCACGCAAAGTTTCAGCCCTGTGAACCAATTTAGTAGGCACAATACCCCCAGAACGTAGCTTTGCATGGAATCTGTTCAATGAATCTATCGTTGAGAAATGGTGTTAATAACCACATATTTTTCTGGTGGAATGCATACTGGAATACCTGTTGCCAGTTACCATGAAAGGAAATTTCAGAACATATGCATTTTTCAGATAGAAAAAAAAAGTATGAAAATTTTTGTCACATTTGCCAAGTTTTGCAAATTATAATTTTTCATAAAAAAGGAACATGAAATTGCAAAATCTAAGCTCATAGTAATCGGCTCTTTAAAACTTTGGCATATAAGCTGCAAGTATTAAGTCTCTATAGTTTCACAGTGGAACAATAGTTTTATTAAGACGGGATTTGCCGCCAAACAGATGAACTTAGAAAAATGCGTTCAAAGTGCTCAAACCTCTACCCTTTCTTTAGCATCGGTGGACCAAAAATAATTTATAAAAAAAATAACTATTCTGTGTAAACATAAAACTTCTTGTGAATACTCTCTAGATGTTGGTGGATGTAAATATGGCATTTTTCAAAATCAACTTTTTTTGCAGAAATGTTTTTTTTTCTAGTTAGTGTCCCCCCTTAATGCTTTCCTTTGAGATGATGACGCATATTTCCCAAAGTTTGAGTTCAAGTGACTTGCAAAGTCTGGTTAGTGTATTGGAGCTTTTAATTACGCAGATTGGAAAGTCTGTAGGCTTTTAGCTGCCCCAGTTCAAAATGCACTAACGTCTAAAAGCTAAAGTACATACTCAAGTAGCGTACCCGATTGGAGGGAATGGTGAACTAAGTACGACATATGTCAGAGGTGCAGTGTCAGTACTCATTTGAGCTGTCTCTATAAGCATTAATGCATTTTTCCCCATTTGTTTTTCAGACATGGATTGGAGACACCATCATAACAGACTTCCAGGACGACTACGTCGTCGACGTCACGCGGGGCGAAAAGGAACCGAGGTGAGTTTTGTCGCACTTCCGATCGCGGCTCACCTTTTCGCTGGTCGCAGCGCTGCGCCGAGCATTACTTCCGAAGTTCATCGTGCTGTTCCTGTCTCTAAAGGGAGCCGTTCCAGCAAGAACTGCTCTTCAGCCTGGACGATCTGCCAGACGGCGCCATTGCGCTGAATCTGTGTCCCCTCCTGCTGAAGGAGAAAAACGAAGTCAAGGGAAAACGAAAGTGAGCGACCGTGTTTTAATCAAATTACTAGTCACGTGCCAATAGTACACTTTGAGTTCGAAGCGATTTTAAGCGAATACTAGCAATTTTGGCCGAATATTTGCGAACTGAATATAGAATAATTTCTTGAGGTCTTTCACTACCGTGCACCACGCTTAAACAAAAATTCAGCTGAACTTGTGAGGCTTGTTTTTATTCATATTAAAAATAGCGCAAAAGAGACGGGACAAAAAGACGAAGAAGCACACAGGACAAACGCTAACTGGCAACTAAACTTTATTGAAAGCTTCCAACTTTGCTATCGCCATGCACGCGCTTAGTCTCGTTCAACAGAGACAGGGCGTAGCGCCAAATCCGCACAATCATACCGCCCACCGCCTGTTCCAAAAGTCAGCAAAACAGCTACATCACCCCGCCGCACAATCCGAACGAGAAGAGAATAGAAAAAACGCCGCGTTAATATTGTCAAGATAGATAGTGTTAATGAAATGGTACTCTTTCTGCTGCATATACACCGATGCGACGCTTATGCAAACGTCTTTGTCACAATCACGTATTTTCGCTGCCTCCAGCAACTCACGTTCCCTCCTTCCTTTGTTTCGTCCCTCCACCTTCGCACCGTCCAGCTTGGGGGAACAACCACAAGCTTGTTTCTAACCTTCCACTTATCCACTTCTAAGCTCAGTTCATTGTAATGTAATTATAGAAACTGTGGCATGTAAACGACAGATTTTGTTGCAGCTATTTTAATCGAAGGGATGCATAAATCTGCTTGCTATATGCAAATACTCTTTCTTCTACTTCAAATTTCACCACAAAAAACAACCAAGAATGATGAATGCAAGCTGACAAGACATCGCTGTTTAGGATATACTCTTGCATGATTGGAGTGAGTTAACCCCGCCACGCTTATCACCCTGCACAGGTGCTTGGTGAGAAGCGCAATCAATGGGGCCAACTTGCCGCAAACAGCACTTCGAAAAGCATGAATGTCGCAGTTCACCTCGAAGTGAATATCAAATAGAGTACTAATCAAACATTCGTGCAACACTACAAAAAATTACTCTTATTTCTTTCGGCGATGCATGAAAAACAGTTGTTGAAATAAGTGTCTTGGTTGTCTTTTTTTTTTCGTTGAAAGTTACTGTGAATTGGTGCGGTCATTCGCGATACCTTGTTTGCAGTGTCATTGTTTGGTTTAAAAGTTTTTCTGTCTCTGAATTTGTCCTTTCTTGTTAGTCTTCGACGCCTCAGGATACAGTTGGGGCATTGGTTTTTCCATATTTTCCCTCTTAGTATGGTAAAACTTAAGCTACAAAAAAAGTTAAGTTTTACTCCATCAGTATCTTACAATATGTCAGTCCTTTGAATACTTGTCGGCATTGTCAGCTTCCATCAACCTTCTTGAATATTTGCCTTGTAGAAGAAGGAAAGCAAAGACTCTCTGCTTTAATGGTATTTGTAACAGAGTGGTATAGAGATGCCTTCCTTGAAATAAGTGTAACATTACGAAAGAGCGTCACAAGAAAACATTATTACAGCCACTAGATTGAGTTGGCTTACATCCCACTAATTATTTATTATTATTAAATAATAATTATACTTAGAAAAATATGTGTATCCTTCCACTGTACACACTGTGTCTTCTGACTTTATCCATAAGATTGAGTTTGGTTTAAATTTTGTAGTGGTGTAGCACGGTTAAACACTGGTTCAATTAAGATTTTTTAATTTTTTTTTAATTGACTTTGCTATTTTATTGAGCGGTTCTTCTGCAACAAGCATTGTGAACATTTCTGGATGCCGACGCCTGCAGGCACATCTCCCTGCTGACGCTGAGCCCGCTGTTCCGTTTGCTTCGTATCACCGAGCAAATGCTCAACGGGGAAACCCTGGAAGGCATCGACGCTCTCCTGGGATGCCCCGTGCGGATGCCCGCATCGAGCGTCTGCGATTCTTTCCACAGCCTGAGCACGGAACACCGTCAAGTCGTGGTGGCGTCTGCGTTTCACTGCGTCAACTGGTTCAGAGAGGTGATGCGAATGCCCTCTCGCTTCGTCATCCTTTCGCTTCGTCGTTGTCATGCTCTCTCGCGTAGTCCGGTTAGGAAACTCTGTCGACTTTTCCATGCAACGCTGTCGGAGTTATCGCGGCTTCCTCAGCGCCGAAGGCCTGACCCGAACGTTCTTCTTCCTTTCCACTTCAGCAGTGCTAACGCCAGATCTAGGCAGGAATAAATTGACTTCCAGCTGACATGGAGTGCAACTCGCGCCCTCTAGCCGACTGGTGGCAGCTGAAAAAATCCGCCTGGTCCAATATTCGATCCCATGACCTCTCCAAGGCTAGCGGAGCGCTCTACCAATTGAGCTAACCAGGAGCTGGCAGTCAGTAGAGCAAACGGATGTTCCGATTGCCGCCAGTCTTGATCGTAGCCACCGCACGGACAATATCTGTCGTTAATGATTTTTTATAATGAGTTTTAGGGGAAGTCTCAGAAGCAGAGAAGATGCGTGAATCTTGTCCACCTTAGGGACTCCCCCTAAAACTCGTTATGTCTAACCATTTCTACGAGGGGAGGTGATAAATTAACTTGTTTCCTTTTTTTAGAGCGCAGCTCTTAGGGGCCCGTTTCCAGCCTGAGCAGCGTCGGCGTCTCCGTCGGCGTCGGCGTAACCGGGGGGGGATGGGGCGTCACGTGACCCCCGAGGTCACGTGACCCCCCCCCCCCCTTCCCCCCAAGATCACGTGATCCCCTCCCCCGAGATCACGTGACCCCCCCGGGGTCACGTGACTACCCGCAGGTGACGTGACCCCCCTCAGTACCCTTCCCTCCTCTTCCTCAAGAGCTGCGCTCCAATTCAGCGTTACAGGGATTTGTAAACGGCTTTCATTTTTCTTTACTTTTATCCTGCTTTTTTTTGGTATTGTGGAAATTGTGCTATTTTGACAGATTTTACAGAAAAATTAACTTGTCGTACACAGAGGGTAATATTGGAGACATCATGTCATAAAGCAGTTAGGCTTGATATTTTTTTTTTTATTTAGATTTTAAATTTGAAGTTGGATGTTCCAGTAACAAAACCTTTCCTCTTAACCCTTTGACGCGGTGATCACAGATTTGAAAGTGTGAACCTAAACGCAGTTTAGGTTCACCTAAACGTGGGAGGTGTTGTTATGAGTTATCTCTTTGGCGAACTATAAGCGTCAAATTCGTACAGTATATAAATTTTCTGGTGCTATTTAAAGCTTTGAAATTAGAAGCTTGGCACGTGCGATACTCTTTGCATTTCGGCTGCTTTGGCGGTAAGTGCCGGCTTTTCCGATTCAGATTTTAAAACGCTTCTCAGAATTGGATTCTGAGGATGAGAGCTTACCACCCGTTGGAGAAGCTCTGTAAAGCACCTCCTGTTCGGAATCTAAAAGCACCGGAATGTCCAAGAAGCGGACAGGTCAAAACGAAACCAAATGGAAGAAAGGTGACAACTTTTCGCCTTCAATATTTTCGCTTGATGCTTCTAATCCTGAATGGCTTGCAAGCACTGTACATGTTCCCACTACAGATACCTGTAAGGAAAAAACCTGTGCATTAAACCTTCCTTTATACCATTCCTTTGGAAACTGAACCCAACCACTAGGAAACATGTTTTGAAGGAAAAAAAGTCGACCGTCAAAGGGTTAACAAAGTCCTCGGTATTCTCGTGTTTCACGGTTTGTGAATTTCCGTTGTGGTGCTATTTTCATTATTTGAGAACTTTACACTTTGCGAAATAGAAGTTTCACTTCGTTTTCGTGAAATTCACTACCCCTCGAAATGCTCCAAGGTTTGCAGAAACGGTTAGTTTCGAGAAACACCAAATTTATTATTTATTTAACAAAACTGTTAGCCTTCACTTGAAGGCCATTTCAGAAGAAGGTGAAACAATGCAAACATCAAAAACGTATACATATTTACACTACTTTAGCCCGCACTATCTTTCAACACTGTCCTGCGGTTGCTGAAGTTGCTGCACATTTAACATATGCCTAATGCTAACATCAGTTTTTCTCTCTTTTTTTAAATTTTAGTGTTAATTTTTATTACCTCTTGTCTCCAGCTTGTGAACGGCTTCTGTGGCCTTCGGAGCGAAGACCCAAGGGCGAAGGTTATTGACAGAATTCGTCGGATCGTCGAGCTTCAGAAGGGCCTCGAGAAATGGCTCCAGGGTTTGCAACTTTCCACACGTCGTCTGCCTTTTCAAAAGCCCTTTCTCGTTCCTTTGTTCCTCGTTAGATTGATTAGATAGGACAGTTTGCTTTAGTGCGGCTGCACACTGTTTGTGAACAAACGTCAGCTTTTCTGCAGAATGTGCAATGTCGAATATAACTTTTTTTTTTTCCTTTTTTAACATCTCGTGACTACAACCTTTTCCGTCAGGTGTCCCGGGATACATCCCTCCCCTCTCGGTGTTTGACACCGAGGACGAGGACACCAAGCCGCCTTCGGTGTCACAGCCGCCTGCCAAAAGGGGGCGCAAGTGAGTTCTCGTATTTTCGTTGGGCCCGCACTCATTTTTCGTAATTGGATATTGTCGCGAATTAAAAATATTTAGTAAGGCTAGCTTGTGCCAGTTACTGAAACAACGAGGAATCTCTGCGTCTTGTGACGGCTTTGAAAGGGTGATTGTCTAGAAGCAGCACGCTAAGTCTGCTTTTGTGCACACACCGTGACCAGGAAAGTTCCAACGCAGAACGTGCCATACTTGCCGCAAATAAACTGGAAGTTCTATAGGAGCACCGATTGGTAAAACGAAGATCTGAGCCGGTAAGGATTGAATCCTGTACCTCCGTGCGTTGGCCGCATGCGCTGCCAACTCTGCCACAGACATAGCAATGTTGTGCGTCGTGCTGTCAATAAATAGACAAAAAAGCCAATTAGAACCGTGCGAGATCTGGAACAGACCACTAGTGCATAATGCGCAGGTGGTAAGACCTCTATAGACTAACAGACTAGTAAAGATATGGGTATAAGGATGTAAAACAAGTATGCTTTGGTTAGTGACACAGGCAGCTCTGTGTCACTAGTGAAGATTTTTTTAGGTGTTTTTAGTAGTATAGATGGAGGTTGTAATGTGCTCTCCAAGAGTGTGGATATCTAATCTGTGCCCGCCGTGTGAGCACGAGATATTCATTACGAGGTATGTAGGAACCTATGGATCCGGGTGCTTGCCTAGGGGACTCGCCGCGTCAACTTTGCCGCATCGCCTTACTGCAGTGTAGAGAAGTTAGCCTTTTGCTGTTGGTGTTTATTTTGTGCTAAACCAAATATAAGATAAAAGGGAAATTTAGTCCTTCATGTCCTGGTGCAATGTGGCGTAATATTGCTAGAATCGAAATGGGAATGGCCCGTTGTAGATTCACTGTTGGCCCGGACTTGTGGGGTGTACAGAAGAGATGATGGGAATGAGGCTTGAGGGTTCTCAGCACAGATTAGCAAGGTCAGGAGAATGTCACTGCCTTATTTGTTTTCGCTTTGACATGACTCGCACTTAAATAAATTTAAAACCATCCAAACCTAGGGGAAAGAAACGCAAAGTGATGTCGGACGACGACGACTCGGATGACGAGGCCGGTCCTTCGAAAAAGGCGACGTCCCCCGCGGAAGCTGAAGATGACGTGAGTCGCAGTGTTTTTGGGCGTTTGGTTCACTGCCAGTTGCAAAACGTGGTTTGACTTGAAATCACAAGTTTTGTCTCTTTTAGAACCGGTGATATCAAAAATAAAGAAAAACTGCAATCCACCTGTGAACTGTTTGTGCAGTATGGAACCCTGCAATCTTTTTCTGAAAGACGCGGTTTTGTTAGTGCTTTAAATGCATCTCTGAAAGTTTCGTTGGTTCTGTCACTTGTTTGTTTTACTTGCTTTCATTGTTTGCCCGCCTACTGTTTGGAAATGACCCAAGGTTGGTATGGCAGTATTTTGTGGCGATGCAATCTCTTACGTATAGATTGCACATCTTTGTGAGTGTGTAACAGATAGTGCCGTTGTTTTTTAAATGTGCATTAACAATGGGTTTTCAATTCTATCGTCTACTTTACTTCTCTACCTTCTAAACTGCCTAGCACAGTGTGAAGCGGCGTTTGCTCGTGCATTAGCCAGCTTATATAGAGACAGCTGGAAATGTTACTGAAATAAAAGGCATTTCTTTTCTTTTCCTTAGTTTTACGCGTTGAATATGCCACAAGCTTTTATGTGGCACATTGCTGCCGGCATGCAATCTATTTCGCGAAGCAGAATAGTGTTGAGAGACGCACGATGAGTGACCCGAAACATCGCAGTTCGTGACACTGGCTCCTTCTAGCATTCTGGCGGGGACCGTTCATTGTTTATTTGTTGCCTACATTGCCCATCGAGCATAAAAGTAAGAACGTCCATACAAACAAATCGCACAGAAGAGCAATGCACAAAATCGAAAAAAGATTAACAATAAAAAAAAAAAACTTTCAGCAATAACATTATTCCTTCCAGAAAACGACCGAGCAGTGGGAAGCTCTATGCATAGTTTGTTGCAGAATAAAAATAGCGAAACAAGCCCCCCCTCCCCCTCTATTCTGAACCGGCAAGAGACTATATACCGGTACATCGGCTCGCACGTTTCAGGCATTAGTGGTTTGGCGGGAAAAATGTAGAGACGAAACGAGTGCCGAGTAAGCGATTGCATGAGTTTGACCGAAGTTTCCCTCGGCGAACATGGCAGGCAGACAGTTCTGGCGAGGATCTGGACTCTGAGGTCGGAAAGGGCAGTGCGACCTCTGCGTCTTGGAGGCCCTTCCTGCGGGAGCTGGACCTGGACGTGTTCGAGGTCCTCGGCGTCGGACTGGAGTGCGGAGAAACTGAGGTTCGCATTTTCCGTTCCCTGCCTGTTGCTCGCTGTGCATGGCGACTGGAGTAAGAGCGAATCGTTGATTTTGGCGAAGGCGAATATTCTACGCTTAAGGGTGGGAAAATTTTTAAGAGATTTTCTTAATGGGGTGCCGCTATCTGCTCAAGAATTTTTCCCAATTTCTACTCCTTGGGAGTTTTGGAGACCCCCTGAACACAATTCTGAAACTTTAACCCCCTTTTGCACCTATGAAAATTTGTATCCTGTCGAGATTGAGTTGTTTGGGTAATTTTTTCTCCACCTTTTGCACTCGTTTTTTCTAAGTATGTATCTGACGGGTACTGAAGTTAGCGCAGCAGTTGATTGGCCATTGATGAATAGCTGATTCGGTAGTCATCATAATATCACACTCTGGGGACAGGGTATGGGATGAAACATTCAATTTGTGACTCATCTCTTTCAGGCACCGTCGTCAAAGCTGACGACTTCGGAGCTTCTCTTTTTGCTCGACGACCTCTGGAGGAAGTTGGACCGTGCTCTGCCCTCAAGTGCTCCCAAGCGCTTCTCTGCATTCAAGGTGCATTTTGACTCCTTTCGCACTTGGCTTGCTTGACTTATAAGCAATATCCGTTTCTGTTGTGCAAAATATGTTTGTTAGTTGAGTGTCTCGTTACAAACTTGCTGACATTTAGAGGGGGCAGTTTTCTCGTAAGTGTTCCTCATAACGTTTTTTTCTAATGCGTAGTATTTATCGTATAAACTCGTTAGAACTAGACTATATACAGTAGGTTCGCTTTAATTCAAACTCGGATATTTCGTACTTCCGGTTAATTCAAACAGATCTGAAAATTTTGGTTGTCCTGCTATGTTTTTAATGTATTTATAAGCCGCTTAATTCGTACGGTGTTTTCTCTTAATTCATACTTTTTTTGTTCTCGCGACCCCGTTGAGTGCGCTTCTTTCCGAGCACCGGTGCACCGCAAAGAAGGAATACCTTGTTTTTGCAAATGTTGCTTCTCCGCAGTGCACCGGTGCTCGGAAAGAAGCGCACTCAACGGGGCTCAAGCGGGCACACATTAGCGGAAAACGGCGTTCACATTATGTGCTTCAAGACTAGCAATGATGACTAAGACGACATCGAGGATGAGAAACAGCTCACTGGCATCATGCTTTCTGGCCTTGAAGCACATAATGTGAACGCCGAGCTGGCGTGCTAGTCTTGATGACGATGTGTGTTTGTCGTGATGACTCATTAGAGGACATAAGAAAGTAATGCCAGCACAGTGCAGCAGTGAGAGTGAAGATGAGGATGAAGAAGGGGATGACCCACTACCAACTGTCACAGCCGCAGAGGCCTTTGAGCACATCGCTCGGCTCCTAAAGTTTCTGTCTTCAAAGGAAGAGTCCCGTAAAGAGCTACTTGCGTTGGCTGGTATTGAAAATTTTGTTTTGAGATCTCATGTGCTGACTAAACAGTCCACAATCGACAACTTTTTTGCCGGATGAATAAACTTAACGTCACAGTTCTTTCACCAATGTGTTATGCCTGTACTTGCTTATAATTAGGCCTGTGTAGAGGAAACTGGCCGAAATCTGCTTTGTATGTGTAGCTATCCATGTAACAAATCGTAATGTTGTCTAGTATCATATTTAGATGAATTTCTGATAATTCAAACTAAAATCTGTGACTTCCTGGAGTTTGAATTAATGAGAGTCTACTACTTTCCGGTGTTTATTTATGTAAAAAATCGGCAGATGCTTCTCGGTGTTTATCTATTTCCAAAACACCGGTGTATTTCGGCGAATCGTCTCGTGCAGACGCTTTAAACTGCTTTTATCGACAAAAAAGAATTGCAACTAGAAACAAACAATGAAGACGTGAAGTGGTTAAACTTTTATTTACGTCTGATAATTTATATTTAATTTACATCTGACAACACTGTCAGATGTAACACTGTAATATATGCTAATGGGAGCAACCAGACAGTACCAAAAGTGCACCATCATGGTGTACGTGTTCTAATATCTCTGAACCAACAACAAACAGAAAAGGTCCATTGACTTGTACTTTTGACGCTCCTTGGTTGACCCCATTAGCTTGCAGCGTCGCCTGCGTCTGGACATAAGCTGAAACGAAGTGTGAAGAAACACCAATGTCAACCCCCCCTCGGACAAGCTTCGACCCGAACATTGTAAAAGTTACTTGAAACCACCCAAATAGGGTCCACAAATGAGGAGAGCAAAAAATGAGTCTGATGAACATCTACATCTATAACTTTTTCAATGGGAAAAAAAAAAAAAAAAAAAAAAAAAACTGCTGCTTGCACGAAAATATTTAAAAACTAATGATTTTTTCAGTTTTAACCGATTTTTTATTTTCTACACTGGCGGATGCTTATTGCCGTTTTTCGGTTAAAACCGGAAAGTATACGGCCTAATTATAACAGACCTTGATAGTGATGAAGATTTTGGTCGGTTGTAAAAGGAGTATGAAGAGAACAGACACTCTTTTTAAAGACTTTGAGGTAGATTTTAACTGGAGTCTGTTGTAACCATTGAGACTGACGGAATGAGGGTGCATACTGGAAAAGAATGGTTTGTTGAAACTTCTGATCTTTGAAAGGAAGGGATTTTTTTATTCAGCTGTACTGATGATCGTGATCACTGCACACTCTCAGTCATACGAGGCTCGCTTGGCGCCGAGTGCAATGGCAGCGGTTCCTGCTACCGAACCAAAGCTACGTTTTGTCCAAAATAATGACTGCTGTCAAAAAGTCTGCTATAATGGAATGGTGATGTACTTTCAGACTTCCTAATATAGTCCATTATATCCGTATGTATGTTATAACTTGTAACAGAGTTTGTAATAAGCAAAGTTAGTTCAATGGAAGATCAATAAGAAGGTTAACCAAACTTCACAAGTTGGTGTGTTATAATCGAAAGTCCGCTGTAACCAGATCTGTTGAAGGTCAGTTATTATGGTTCCTGTGTTTCTGCTCAGATGTAGCCTCGATGGAGTGTGACGTGGCTGACACCGCATGACACTGTGATGCCACGTGACGTAACCTTAAGTCACGTGACTTAATGACATTGCATGAAGTCATGTGACACAATAACATAACATCGAGCCATGTAACATCGTAACATGACATTGTGATGTTGCACAACATCATAATGTTGAGTCACGTGACATTGTGATGTCACATCATGTGGCATCGTGACTTCACTTCACTTGACTTCCCTAATCCTCAGTCTTTTGATGGAATAATAATTATAAGTCTTTATCTTCAGTGGCCCAAAACAACCACAGCTGTCCTCTCTCTGGTGCACTCTATACCGTATTTACTCGCACAATGAACTCACTCGCGTAATGAACGCACCCCCCAAGTCGGCTCTCAAAATTTCGACTTTTTTTTTCACTCGCGTAATAAACGCACCCCAACTCGGATGTCAAAATTTTGACCCCCACCCCCCACGCGCGCGCTGGCGAAATGAACGCACTTTTCTATTCTGGTGCAGCGAGGTCGCGAATGCATAGGCAGCGTGGGCGAACAAAACGCCTTGTAAAAGGCGTTCAAAAAATTCGCGAAGATCCAACGGAAGCAAGAAAAAAAAACATGGAGAGGAGCTTTTTTTTTTTTTTGCACAGCGCAGTCTGGATTTTGGGTTCGCGCGCCGCCGCGCGCAAGGAGTATTTTAAGCGCAGAAGCGCTCTAAGCGAACGAAACAACTTGCGAAAGGCGGCAAAAAAAAAAAAAAAAAAAAAAAAACCACGGAACTAAAAAAAAAACAAAAACAAAGAGGAGCTTTTTTTTTTTTTTTACACAGCGCAGTTAGGTTGGGGGGGTCGCGCAAGGAGGTAAGAAAGAGGAGCGGGGAAGCCCTCTAAGCAAACGAAACAGCTTGGGAAAGGCGGCAAAAAGAGAGAGAAAAAAAAAACCCACGGAACTAAGAGAAAACAAAAACAAAGAGGAGCTTTTTTTTCTTTTTTCCTTTTATTTTTTTTTTTGCACAGCGCAGTCTGGTTACGGGGGGAAGGGGGGGGGGGGGGGGGGTCGTGCGTGTCGCGCGCCGCGCGCAAGGAGATTAGAAAGATAAGCGGGGAGCCCTTGCCTAAGCAACGCCTAAGCAAACAAAACAGCTTGCGAAAGGGGGCAAAAAAAAACAAAAAAAACCAAGGAACTAAAAGAAAAAGAAAAATAATTTTTTTTTTAAGAAACAAAAAAAAAAAGATTTGTTTTTTGCACAGCTTAGTTTGGTTACAGGGTCGGGCGCCGCGCGCAAAGATATAAGAAGTTACTTCGATTTTTCAGGCTAAAAGATACGTTCATTATCCGAGTAAATACGGACGGAAAAATTTTACTTCGCATAATGAACGCCCCCCTCAACTTTGCATCGATTTTTCGGAAAAAAAAGTGCGTTCATTCTGCGAGTAAATACGGTAATCCTGAAAAAATAAAACACTCGTTATCGCAACATAATCACAAAATAAAACAAAATTTACGAGTAAATGACTTACAATTACTAGTAAATTGCAATTAAAAATTACATGGAATGCAAACTTCCAAAATTTGATCGTTGGCGCGTGTGACTCTGAATGGCGCAGGCCAAGGGATCGCGGGACATTGGATTCTCAAACCTCTCGCTCTACCCCGAGTCCGACGTCGCAAAGTTTGCCGTGGGCATCGTGCCCCATCTCTGCTCGCTTCTGGAAGATGCCAGCGCCTACTTCCAGGTACGTCAGGACCTCGACGGTGAAATGGGCACATTGTTGCGGCCGCCGCAAGCATTCACACGACTGCTTCGTTTCCCGTCTAAGCCGAGTCTGCGGTAATGGGCAGGAGGCCAGAAGTCGAACGGCGGTTAAGAGGCAGGCATAGTACGTCTGCGTCAATTAACACATCACTTTTGAAGGTAATCTGTGCATTAGTGAATACTTTCCGACCCGAGTACAGAAAAAACCATAGCTTATTTTTGCCTCTATGCTACGCTACAATTGTTCACTAAGGTTCCTGTTTAGGGCTCTTTAGTGGAGCCACCGAAAGCTCGAGTCAAAGACGAGTATTACGGTAAGGTTACGCCGTCTGACCGCGTCCTCAACAGCACGTGATCTCTCAAAACGACGGGATGGTGGACGCTGCCGGCATGTTCACCGTGGGAGCCAAGGAAATTGCTTCCTGCATGACGCTGCTGCTGTCCTGCTTCAACTCCTTGTTCTCGTGGTGAGCGAGCATCTTGCACTTCGTACAATTGTCGTCGCAGCCACGCGGTTGCCGGCCTGCGTGTTTTGCGTACGTGCCGAGTTTGTTCCGGCAGCGACAGGTGGGTGACATGCTTTTTCAACAGGAACGGTTTTGAAACCGCGGTCGGACGGGACCTACTGCGGGAGGCGTTCCGTTCCATCTCTGGCCGAATCGGAACGACGCAGCTCACGCAGGTCCACGTGTTCGAGTTGGGGAAGTGAGTGGAAATTTACACCGAAGTCCTTTGTTTCCGTTTTCAAAACCGACTCAAAGCCAGCCTTGTGCCAACCTTTTGGTTGATAGCCTCGCGAAATTTCTGGTGGTCGCTGATTTTTCTCGAAATTGGTTTGACACATTAATAGACTCATCTGAACCAGTAACCCTAATCACGAGTCACAATGGTTTTTTGTCACAAAGTTATTGAAGTCTCATATTTGATCTGAGAGGGCCAAGGAGCTCTACTGGCTGTGCTGAATACCTGGTGCCAGATGTTGTAATATAGGGCAATATGAGTGCACTATACAACTTGTTTGCGACCAGTTACAAAAAAATGTAGTCGAGGGAAATGGATGTCAAAGGAAGCTCGCATTAGAAAAACAAAAGGAAAGCACGCTCGAAATACCGCAATTTTAAGACTGCCTGGCAGTTCATAAAATGTGTGACGTGACTCTGCTGGAGAGCGTGGGAAAATATGAATGTCGGTTTTGGCATTGCGCTCATTTGCCATTTTCTCAATGGCTATCTTGAATTTAGAGATAATAGGCGTCATTCTGGGACGAATAAAGCCGGGGTGTTCCGAAGATGTCTTCAGTTTGGGTGGCTTAAGAAACTGCCGGAACTCCCTTTGAAGGGTCGTTTGTGGCCAAGCTGTTGTTTAATATTTGTTACCTTGACCCCGATTTGCTATGACGGACGTATTTTCTGAGGAACGGTGGCCTCCGTATTACCGAGGCACGACCGTCCTGTAAATGAGTTTGTTTGTCCTACTTGGCGCGTCGCAAACGATGCACAAACGTCATTTCGCAAACGAACTTCCTCGATCCCCGCGCCTTGCAGACGCACGTTTTCGTACTTCGCCAAGTTTGCGGAGTCCGTGACAGAGCCGGACGGCGCCACGTCGCTCCTGCGTCTGCTCTGCACGGTGGCCGACCGGGCTGAACTGCGGGCATCGGACGTGAGGGACGTCCGTGGCGTCGCCGACGGCTTCCTGCGCCGCGATTGGCTGTGCCGCCCCACCCCCAACGCGGCCCCCCAGCGACCCCGCGGAAGCCAGTTCAACGAGTCCTTACAGTTCATGCTCAGGTGGGGGACAGCTCTCAGAGGAGAAGGGACGTCGAACTACGCGAATTCTGCTTTTCACTTCACTTCACCATTTTCGAAATAATTGGTGCCACCTGGCGACAAATTTGGTTAGAGCACCGGTTCCTTCACTTTATTTGCACAGCCCTAGGCGAATAGAGGTTTGTTAAATTTGAAAAGTTTCAGAACCTCTGCTTTAAGTGGCATATGCATAGCGTCACAGTACTTACGAAACGCAGCATAAAACAGTCTGCTGTTGTGCAAATATTCAAATTTTCTAATGGTAGTTTCTAATAATATGCTATTCGATATACGCTTCAGGATGAACTGCAATATTCATACTTTTCTTAGTGTTGATCGGGGTGGGCTAGCCCCGTTGAGTGTGCTTCTCACCGAGAACCTGTGCACCGAGGGGAAGCAAGTCCCACGAAGCTAGCGGGCTCCGCAGGTATTGCTTTTCCGCAGTGCACTCAACGGGGCTAACCTTCCACGATTATTCGCGAGTATACATATGCTAGGCAGCGATCTCTTGAGAAGCCCGCATTAATCATTTGCGCGTTTTCTTTTATTTTTTTGGGTCGAATTCGGAATAGAAATACGAATATTTGCATATATAGCAAGCAGACTTATAAATCCCCTCGATTAGAATAGCTGCGACAAATCGTACATGCCACAGTTCATATAGTTCTGTTGAAATTAACTGAGCTTAGAAGTGGACAAGTGCAAGGTTAGGAACAACCTTTATGAGTTCAGCTGAATTTTTGTTCAAGCATGGTGCACGGTAGTGAAAGACTTCGAGACTTCGATATTCAGTTAGAAAATATTTGGCCAAAACCACTATTCGCTTTGAATTCGCTTTAAACTCAAAATCCAATATTTGCACTGGCCTATAGAATGCGTCGGGGCTTTGTAAATATAATTAATTATTTGTTAAGTCGTTTCAGTTTTGACGGCTGGGAGCCGGGATCTAGGAATAGCGTTGCAGACCAGGAAGCGCAGCAACTACGGTGGCGGCCACACGAGCCCCAAAAACTGTGACGCTGTAGCAAGATCTTTGCTCCCAGTGGTCGAAACCGAAACCGCTAAGTCGAAATAATGCATTACTAATTTATTTACAGCAAAACTGTCAGTTTCAGACCTCCTGCCTTTCCTTTAAAGTTGAATTCGTGGTAGCACCGCCGATTTGTGGAAGACAGCGTTTGAGCCCGTTTTCTCGTTTTAGCACGTTCCTGTCCGAGTCGGAGTGCGTCCTGTCCAGCCTGCACGAGATTGCGACGGACTGCCTCCCAAACGTCCTGGAAGACGGAACGTCGGAAGAGGCAGCGGGGGAACAGCCCAAGTCTTTTCCGACACTGGACAAGTGAGAACCTGTTTCGGTTCAATTGAATTTATTTTTACAAGGATTGTCCTTGGTGCAAAAGGCGAACCAGTCGCTTGACAGAGGCACGAAGGCCACTAGCACCGAGCGACTGCAGTGAAAGACAAAACTTTTAGCCATCTGTTAGGATCTAGTTTGTTTGGTCGCATTTCCTCGTTGCGAATGCTTTTTCTCGGCTTTAGGAATGTGCAATAATAACGGCTGTTGGGATCTTGTTTGTACAAAATTTGTTGTTTCTGTTGGGACCCGTGCCCTGTATCTTGGTTGTTGTAGCCTGTTGATAGATGAGTAAAAGAAACTGTCATTCTAATGTATCTCCTATTGCTATGCTTACCTGCTGCTTTTCTGCGTTTGGCCGCAGATCCACGCTGAACGCATACTACAAAACCATGTTTTCCAACCTGACGGAGGCCGTGAGGGACTTGTCCATGAAAGTTCCCAGTGACCAAGAGGTATGTGTGTGGAGAGTGGCTGCTGTCGTTTAAAGTTCCAGTTTTGAGCCAATCTCTTTCAACTGGAGTGAACGCACGTAACAGCCCATCTTTAACTGGCACCATTGAACGGCCGACAAGTCTCGGTGGTGGGACTTGTGAGCTTTCTTTTATCAGCTAGCTTAGAATAAGTGTGTCGTCAATTTGATGTCTGCATTGTTCCGCGTTCCAGGAAAAGCTGAAGCATCTCGAGAAATGGTCTCTGGCCATTACAGTCTTTCAGAAGCTCGTCAGTGTTGTCAAGGTGAGATCACTGATTGCGGCTGTGAGTAGTTTTATAATTGTGCAATCTCCTAAAACGGGACTTAATTTTGCGAGGAATGTCGACACCATTCTCTCTTCCTTTTCAGAAATCCTCGGTGCGAAACAATCTGTCCGTGTGCCTGAAGGTAAACCTCACGTTTTTGTATTTTATATTCATGATACTAATAGAGAAACCTGACCAAAACGTGAGATTCACCAGATATTGTTACTCCAGCCGTTATCCCCTTGTTGGCTATAGGCAAGTGAGTCAAATCTTACCATACTCCTCGAATGTAATTTTTTCCCTCAAAAGTTTGTGTAAAAGTGGTTCTCCTGTTGACAGGCAAAGAGAGGAAGGGAAATATTTCCAGCTTTCCTGACGATTTTGCGGGTTAATTGGCATTGAGTATGACAGATTCCTATCAGAGTTGGGTCGTGTCATCATTGGTTTGTGTCAATAACACAGCAGGACACAGCTCCATTCACTACAAAGTTGCAAGTCCATGAGCATGACAGCTATTCTCTCTTTCTGCACCAATGACCCACTGATTGCAACTAGAGAAGTATAGATTTCAAGGCCTGGAGAATTTAAGATGTTTCCTTGCATGGTCTCAAACACATGTCTCCATGCAACTTTTATAAGGTAATTAAATTATGCAATCGAGACATTTCCAAACTGTATGGACACAATCTAATGCCTCGCAGAGTATGTCCACGATATATAATACTCGTTTATTGTAGATGGTGCTGTTGTAATTGGGTTCAACTGTATGTGCTAGACTGTCTCACAGTTCTTGCGTTAGTATACTGTGTCCAGTTCGTTTGACCTTGGAGTAATGGCAAAGCTTCGCTATGTCGGTTGTCGTCGGCTGAAAGTCTCGTCGTTCAGCATTACCCAGGTTTAAAAAAAATGTTTGAACAACGTCCCAGTTTGGACGCCAGTTCCTGGAATCGTTCCTGCGCAACGGCATGCCTTTGCTGGACTCGCTGTTCAAGTCGCAGCATGGAGATGTCCAGGGCCTTCTCAAGAACCTCCAGCAGAGCACGCGCTACCTGCAGCATATCTGCAGCCATTCCAAGGTGAATGCCACTGCTGAACTCTGCCATTGTGAGACCTCCGGTGACCAAGACAGTTTCGTAACAGAATGAGAGTATGTTGGTTAGACAAGGTTGGATGTATTTTGCGAACGACAGGACCACAGCTGAAGATGCCGAGCCGTGAAAACAAGCTAATAAGTCTCTTAGCAACATGCCGGCTGCTACTCTGCAGCCTTTAGGAGATTTTTCCAAGCTTGAAACTAAGTAAAGACAACTGTTCTGAGGTAATATCCTTTGTGGTTTTGTTTATTGAGGGAAGCCTAAATTTTTGTTTGTTTGACACGTAGAGTTCAGCAGGGTTGGTTTGCAACTAAGGTTCAATATTAAAAAAGTGCTTTGTATTTTCCAAGCTTAAAAAAGAAAAAATGGCATAATGAGGAATCCAGTTTTAGGCATCACTGTTCTGCTTTCGTCGGCTTCCGGTTTCATCAGCTTCCGGTTTGCTCCAATGGTGTCTAGGTTGTGAAGGACGTCGGCCTCACCGGACAAGTTCCGGCGGTCCGCAAGACGTTGGAGCTCTTTGTGTTCCGCGTCAAGGCCATGCTGACCAACAACCGTTGCCAGGATGCATTCTGGGTCGGCAACCTCAAGAACAGGGACCTCAAGGTGAGCTTTGATTTTGGTTGCCCACCCACGGTCGCCACTTAAAGGCTGTCCGATCATTACTAGTTCCTTGCGTTGCACAGCTGCGTTGTAGGAGCAATGCCATAGGGTGCTATGCACTGTGTTCCAGATATAGAATTTAGAGTTTGGTTGTTTGTTTTTTGTAATTTCTGTCATTGCATAATGTTATGCCACGGTCAGTCCTAAACGAAGCATATAGTGAGTGCACTCTTTGTATATTTTGGTATTTTCTTGCATGCCCAGGCATGCCTTTTTTTCTCACGTTATTTGTCTTCTGCGTGTTGTCCCATCACTTCTGTGCTATGCCGTTGGTTCTCTTAAATATGCCCGTTATATATTTAGTTATCAGTTTTGAAATTTGCTTCCGTGCTTCGTTGAAGTTTGATTGCACGCACGTGACCGAAGCTCTTCGAGCAGACTATTCAAGACTCGATTGATGCATCAGTGTGACTCGATTATTTTATTTCAATAAGTGGGGCATTCTCTCATAGCTGAATGAAAGACTGGACTCTGTAACTTGCAGGGAGCCGAGATTCTGTCGCAAACCACAGCGGCGGATTCCGTGGACGAAGCACAGTCCGATGACGCCAGGAGTGGCCACGAATCGGTGAGAGGCTCGATATTTGGTTACCGCAATGCACAACGCATTTTGTTTATTCTGAAGCGTCGGGGTTTTTGCAAGGTATCGACTGGCCATAAAGCCTTGCTCGTATCGGAATATTACTTAATTTTGTAGTCTGATTACTAAAGCGTGGAATGCCTTTTTAGTGGAACTTGCCAATCCCAAAAATTTGTTCATCCGTCTGTACATTTCCTACTAAATCTGGCAGGAAAATTGTGCGATCTGATTTTGCGCAGCCTATGCACCAACTCAGTCTCCATATTAAATTTGGCGGGGATTTTGACGTCGCGTGACCGAAACACCAATTCAATTTCCCGCTAGATTTAGCAGGGAGATTGATGTCGCGTGACCTGTGTACCGAGTCGGTTTTTGCGCTAAATTTAGTGGGGAAACTGACAAAAATGTAGCCTCTTCTAAATGCATTTCAACGATTGACCTGCAAGGTTTTTGCAGATAAAGGTTGCTGCCAATTTTCTTTGATAACTCAAATACATATGTGACACGACCATATTGTTTTCTGCACATTGGGATACAGTATACAGTTTGATCACACTTCTTCAACATAGAAACCTTTGCGAATTCCTGCTGGTGGTTCACTCCCCCGGCCCGGTGATGGTTGCAGGGATGTAGAGGGAAGAAATTAGATATTTAAGTGGGGGAAAAAAAAAAAAATTTCTTCAGGCTAGGTGGTGCAAGATACTGCCTGTTATAAAGAGCATAGTCAATATCATCCATCCATCCACCAGTTCCTCGGGGTCCTTCACAGTTTATGGGTTTCCTTCGTTGTCTCAGGACGCCAGCATCGTCAGCGGCAAAAGCACAGCAGACGACGGAACTGCCCAGGACGCCAGCGAGGACTACTGAAGTGGACTGATTCCCGATCCCCAGTAGTAAGCCATTTTATTATTTTCTACCGCGAATCTATGTGTTACTGAGTGCCTCTCATACGCAAATGTTTAATGTTTACATCGAGAAAGACTCGATGTGCGAGAAAGCTTAGTTGCAAATGATACAAAAAAGCTCCGTGCAAGCGCTTGGCTCCGAAAACCTCCAGTGCTGTTCATGGAAAAAAGCAGAGTTATCATCAAGGCTATTATTTGAACAAGCGGCACTTCAGCGGCTGTTCGATTTGTGTCGTTACTCCCCAGTTGGTTGGAAAACGATTGCTGAGTTAGCACCGATAGCGGTAGTGTTGAGTGAAATAGAAAGAAAACCACTTGTAGTCATTTATTTTGCGAATTATTATTAAATGCCTAAAAACTGCCCGCTCAACCAGCCGATCCAGTGGTTTCGGCCATGCTTGATTTTGCCTTTTGTCGCAAAACGCGTATACGTTTGGCGCTGAAATCGGCATTAGGTAATTTGGCAACAGCTAATCAAGTGGGGAGTGACGACACAAATTTAACAGTCGCTTAAGTCTCAATAATAATTGAGCTTTCTCTGATAGTGCTGCAGGCCTTCTAAGTCAGTATACAGATAGTTTTTTGTGTGTAGCTTCGAACTCAACTGCTAGCGTAATGTGCAATAGGGTCGTGACGAGGAGGGTTCCATTATCTTGCTCTCCGCGTGACTAGTTCAGAGCATCTTTTTTGCCAAATTACCAGCATTGTAATGTGAAATGCTATTAGTATTGTATTCAAAAATAGGTCAGCCTTTTTTTTTTTTTCCGGAAATGTCAAAAATAAAGGGTCGACCTACAATCGTGACAAGAGAATTTCGACCCACATTTGTAGCCAAATTTCGCGATCCTACCGAGCACACAGAGCTAACGAGTCACCCAGCCGGCTTTGCGCCCTCCCCTCCCCTCCATCCCTCTCCCCCTCGCAGACGCGCAGCAATAGGAAACTGAGATTTCGCTTCTTGTTGCTCACAGCGGCTAGTGGCGGCTCGCAGCGGTGCTCGCGCCTTAATATTTGGTCATTCGTCGCTTCATTCGTCTCCACCTTCTTGGGTTTCTTCTTGTCGCCGTTTTGCAACGGTGTCAGCGAGGTATTGTTGCGAATTTGTGAGGGTGTCGACGAAGCTTATGATGACATGTCCGGAAGTTCTGAGGGTGATTAAGTTTTTGGCATCGTGCTGCGAATAAAGGTTTGTTTCATACTTTTCCCAAACTTTATCTGTTCTTTAAAAAAAAGAAAGTTTACCTATACAGTCGAACCTCGATATAACGAACTTCAATGTAACGAAATCTTCGATTTAACGAAGTATTTTATTTTTCATAATTTCTTGCCCATAGACCCCATGTATTTTTAGTCTCTATATAACGAAGTCTAAGTCTATAACGAAGTGCCATTGCCATAGAAGGCAATAAATAAATCAACTCTAAAAAACAACTTCGCAAAAAAATTGTGGTTAAAAAAAAAAATTATGCGCAAACGCGAGCGCTTGATAGGTTACTTAACGGGGACAGGCCTTCCAACGTTCCCAGGCTGCCCGAGGATGCGGCGCCGGTAGCACCGGCGAGGCATGCGGCAAAGCGGATTCCGCGAGGTTGGCCAGAAAATGCCGAGCAAAAAGTTAACACGGCATACCAGCATCACCACTGACATTCACTGATAACCATAGTCCACTCCACTGCACCGCGGGTAGCGCGGGAGCCAACTTCAGCGGGGGAGCGACGTGATGGCGCGACCGCACGGGCAGTGCCATCTAGGAGAAGACCGAAAAGACCGATTATCGTCTTGCGAGCGTGGGCGCAAGCGGCGCAAGCATCACTGTGGGCGCAAGGGTGGCAAGGGGGCAAGTAAACTGTGCGGTGAAGAGTGCTGTGTAGGTTGGAAACATTGGCACCGCCTAAACTGCCTAAACTAAACAGCTTTATTTTTTAACCGGGCGGTTCACTTACGTGCTTGCTGCCATAAGGAAACGTAAAGTTCTTTCTTTGGATGAGAAAGCAAACGTTTTGGACGCCATCCTGAAGAAACTGCCGAGATCACGAGCACTCGGGAAGTGCTCGACGCAATGGACGTCCTGAGGAGGTACACGGCGTCGCATGGGCAGCAGGATGCCGTGCAAGCGCTCTGGGCGCTCGAACGCCGTATGACGCCGCTGCTACTGTCGGACAAGGCGCAAGCAAAACTCGCGGACTACTTCGCCCATAAATAAATGTCATTTTCGGTGAGTTTTCATACCCGTAAAATGTTTCGGAATTTTTTTTCGCATGCTAAAGCCAAATTTCGATTTAGCGAAATTTCAATGTAACGAAGTAAATTGCGAATTTTACCGACTTCGTTACATCGAGGTTCAACTGTATTTGAATTTTCTTCTTTTTCTTATTCTTGATAAGTTTAATATAATGGCATTGACCTATATTCGTGGTCGACTTACATTCGAGTAAATACGTAGTGCGCTTATGGCGTAACTCATTTCATGCACTTAAACCACTAGTGTTCAGAGAAACATATACGAGTACTAGACGTTGGTCGAAACATGCAAAGGTATTTCGTGCAACGAGTAGTCTTTGGGACGGCCGTAAAATATTTGTGAGACATTACGATGGCCTACGGCCACCGAACAATGCGCGTCGAAGAGCAGTTGCTGCCGTTGTCGTGTATTTCTTGCTGTGCCCGTCAGCAACCAAGGGCCTATAACGTGGCACAAATTTGGTATTCTTCAAAAACCTTGATTTATTGGGCATTTTTTAGTCGATAAAGGACAGTGTTATGTATATAGATAATCTGTTGCAGGTTAAGAATAGGCCTTTGCTCTTTTCACTTCAGGAGAGCAAATGCTGGAAAGGAACAAACCGCCAATCACGGCGAGCAGACAGCTTTGTGGGAGGGGCTTGTCCTGCCGTTCTAAACCTACAACAGACCACAGTAATAGTATGCAAGTCTAAGAAGCAACTGATCTTGTATCTTCCGACTTCTTAAGAAGAGCTCAAGTTGCCTCCATTCCCAGCAGGAGCCATATGGAAGGTACCAGGAGGAAGGAACTGGAGAGATGTCTGTGACATGGACTGCAGGCTGCTCTTTATAAAGTGATGCTCCAGAAGACTTCCGAAATTGGCGCCTTGATGAAGGAGGGGCCCTGTTTCCTCGTGGTTTCGGCCACCTTTGTTAACTTCATTTCCTTTCCTGCGAGCCAAGGCGACAACTTGTTGCGGTATCGACAGCGGAGCAGTGTATCCAACTCCCTTAAGTTCTAAAATAAATGTTCTGGACAGACATTACACCATTCTAAGGTTTTCCAGTTAACCAGAGAAGAGGAAAAATGTTTTTCTATTTTTAAATATTTTAGTGCTGGGCTTATTTGGAGTGTCAACCGAACACGGAAATACATTGGCTGTGGCATAGCTTTGATATTAGAAAAAAGGAAACAAAGCCGACGTAGGAATACATTCCCGTAAAATCCCATCCCATTTTTTTGGCTGAATATCCATAACATAATTCTAACGCTTCAACCTCCCCCCAAAAAGTAAAAGAAACAAAAACACATTTAAACCAGTGGGTATAGCTGAGTGTCATCCTTATGTGAGAGCAGCACACATGACCATATTTGTTGTCGATGAAGTTACCTTTTAGCTGATTGCACATAAGTCGTCGACCGATTTTTCGACTTTGCAGGGACCGAAAAAACGTCCAAATACTAGTATAGCAATTAGAAAAATCAGCAGATTAAAAACTTGGCTTTTATTACGTCCAAGTGGGCTTAAAAAAGTCATCAATAGTGCCTTGTTTCCGGTTATGCCTTCGCTTGCATTTGGCTACTTTCTATGAGCTTGAGAATCACTACCTTCTTTCCTAGCGTTACGGTCGTGTACTTTCCCTGCCTCTTAGCGACACTTCGCGGCAGCATAGTCCGAAAACACAATTCACCGAGACGAGATGAGAGGCGTAAGTAAGTCCATGACAGCAGAATGGCGAATGAACAAAACAAAATGACAACAATAATGATGACAATTACACTAGGCTAGAGAAAAGAAAAAAGCCGTAGCATAGCATTACTTAGCAGTACTCAAGTAGCACTGCCAAACCAAGCCAATCCATGTGCAGCCAACATAGAATTTAAAATGGCAGCTTCCGCTGATCGCTCGTCACGATTTTGTCCGAAAAATTTAACTTTCCGACTTCAAGCTGTCCAAAGCATCGGTCGTGAATATGCACTATTTCTATCGGATAGGTCGCGGTTCGTCGTTTAGGTACGAAATATCAAACTAGTCCAAATTATTGGCGTCCGAAAAATTGGTCGGCGACTGCATTGTTTGGGGAATAACAATCAATGTCTCGTCGTTGTGGCAAATTGAAATCTCCAATTTTCTTCAGTGCGTGCCAGCAAACCTTGGATTGGAGACCCCTTTGCATATAAGTTACAGCGTGTGAGGTATTTTGGTGTAGGGTTGTGATGTACTCACCAAATAGTTCCCGAACAGTGTCATCCGGAATGCTTTTCGGAAAACCTGAACAAAGTCAATAGACAAATTCAAATTTCACCCTCACCCTCACCTCACCCCCCCCCCCCCCCCCCCCCCCCCCCGTTGTGCTGGGACAAACGTCTTTTGCAAATGCACAAGCTTCAGGTTTTCTAATCATTAAGACCATCTTTCATTAGCTGACTTCTAATCAAATTGTGCTCAACCTGTTGAGTTCACTCTTTGAAAATTTCTCGACATATTTGTTGCTGATGACTCTCGTCTAAAGTTTTCTAGTTTCGCGAACCCATACGGTAGTAACGGTCTCCCCATTCAATTAGCCTAGTGAACCTTTTAATGCCAATAGTAAAGGGAGCCCTATCTCTTTTAGTTGACCGTGAAGTCCAAAGTTTGTCCAATGAGAACTGACCTGTGTAGCTGTCGTCGTCGTACACGACAGAAAGGAGCGTGTATGTGCTGTCTGGTGACATCAGGGACAGCATGACGCTGATGTACCTGGAAACATTCAGGATAATTTCACCCAAGCTCTTTTTTGTTGTCCTCTTCTGCTTACACTTTGTTCTATCTCAAGTCCAAGCACAGCCGATAGAGTCAGTTGAACACCGTCAAAAACACATTGCCAAGGCATTCTCTCCATGTCATTTCTCTCCATGTGTTTTACCGTTTTACCGTCCGCTAAACCAATCAAGCTCGGGAATGCCCGTTGACTTGCACTTTCAGTATGTGTGTAAGTGTTTGTAATTGTTCGAGCCTTTTCACTGGACTCTCACCTAAGACGAGACAAACGCCCATCCACGGCGAAGAGATAACTGGTGAAAAATATCGGGTGAACGACCTTTGGGGAGCGATAATGAGCGATAAAAATGGTAGCACTGGCTACCAACCACGTGACACGAGAACTGATGCCGCAGATCGCGGACATGACGATTTCGCGTTCGACGTTGCGCGAAACATCCGGTGACTCTGTACGAATTCACGTGTCACAAAAACCGATACTCCATATGGCGATCGGGACAAACTTGGGTTTCGTTGTGCAATAAACATGGAGGAACTCGCTACGAACTCGCTTGTCACGGGAACTGATACCGTAAATCGCGGACACAGCGAGTTTGCTTACTGGTATGATAAACGTGTGAGAGCCCACTACAAAATTGCATATTGAAGAGATTGTTGTTGTCCAATGGGAATCGGGTGTGGGGGATGTTTCGGAATTTTTAACCATATTGGTTTTTAGCCAGAAGAATAGGATGTGCAATCTCTCGGGGGAGTGCGTTCATACAAGATTTCTCGTATTTTACACTCTTGTCCAGATTATCTTGCATTTGTTCTGCCAAACTTGTTTGGTAGGGTTGAAAAACGTTCCCTTTCTCTCTTTTCATGCCATTAGGAAGGATGAGATGCCTCACTTGTACGAAATTCGGGGGGGTGGGGGGGGAGGGGAGAGGGAAGGGACAGAATACTCTATAACGAGAACAAGGGAGAATTTCGGAAAGCTCTATATATTTGCCTTGCTCATTTATAGTCATTGGAAAATAGAAGCATGTTTATCTTCTTTCCAACTGCAGGTCGGCCTTCGACCAAACAACCTTGATAAGAAGAAACACTCAGACGGCTTTTAGCCTGTTTCAACTAAAAGGAGACACTGCCCAGAAAAAAAAAAAATATATATATATATATATATTTCTGCAAAAAAAAAGTTGATTTTGAAAAATTACATTATTTACATCCACCAACATCTAGAGAGTATTCCCAAAAAGTTTAATTTTCACTGCATAGTTAATTTTTTATAAATTATTTTCTGTCCACCAAAGCTAAAGAAAAGATAGGGTTTGGAGCACCTTGAATGCATTTTTCTCTATTCCACTTTTTGGTATAAATTCCATTTTAGTCAATCTATCGTTTGATAATGGCAAAACAGGGAAGACTCATTCTTCCTTTTTCCTGACTGAAATTTAATAAGGAATGCGGCTATGGAACTCTTTTGTCACTTTACGGATGTCTTTTATAAAAAATTTTGACATTTTGTCGAAACACAGAAGACCAAAAAGTTTACCAATTTTGCAGAAGAGAAAATTTATAGAAATAAATTACTTTTTAGAAAAAAACGTTCCATAACCGCACCCTGTAGGCATTCTGCTACATATCTAGTAAATAAAAATCTTGAATATCGTGATAGTTTTCTGATGATAGATTAACTAAACAATGTAGGCGCATTGCTGATGGAAGCTACTCTAATTTCCTTCTCAATTAACCGACACCTGAAATTTTGTTGTGCGCCCTCTAGCATGACCACCAGCCTACCCTGCAAATTTCATTAATTTTAAGACAAGGGTTCAAAAGTTCACCCTCCTAGGGGGTGTGTTAAACAAATAATTAGTCCTTCAGTCGGTTTGGAGGGGTACCCCTGCGGACAATACCAGCTGAAACATCCAATCCGGCCTTTTTTGGCATCTGCGGTCCCAACAAGCTTAATTATCTCATCTGTTCGCAGATGATTGCATCATTTATCATCCAATTACGGGTTCTCTGGATTAGAAAATTTTACAGGACGACATGTATATTAGTATCTCCGAATAGTATGCCACGTGGTTGATGAAAATAAATACAAATGAAACGAAAGCTATAACATTTACCACAAAGTGTCGTTCCACTCACAAACATTGGAAATCATCCTATCGAAAATGTGTCTTCATTTAAATATCTTAGTCTCCATCTTTCATCAGATCTTACCTAGAACACTCACATTCAACATATTACTAACAAAGCGTCAAAAACCCTTGGCTTCCTCAAACAAACTCTCTTCCAGGCAAACACAGAAACAACACTTGTTGCCTACACTGCTTTTGTTAGATCCCAACTCGAGTATGCGTCCATCATTTGACATCCTCACCAATCATATCTGGGAGAGAATATAGAATCACTACAAAACAAAGCCGTTTGTTTCATAGTTCGTGGCTACTCCCGCTTTACTAGTGTAACCGGTCAACCAGAAGGCATCTTGCGTGCCTGTCATTTATTCACAAACTCTACCATAGCTCTTCAGCTTTTAAGGATGTTTTCTTATGGCGAGCTCCCCATAAATCACCCCGTTTAGATCGGATTTGTAAAACTGACCCCATATATGAGCAAACTAACATGTCCAAAAATTCGCCTCTTCTCGTTATTTCGGATTGGAATAGCCTTCCAAAGAAAATTGTGTATGTCAGTGATTGCGAGTCTTTTGTTTTGCCACTGTAAACATGGTGCTGCTTGAGTAGGCGAAGTTGAAATGAAATTTTTGGTCTTGTGTTTTATGCACCTATTCTTATGGTACCTTGTCTATATATATATTTCAATTACTGCTGAAAGTGCCGAAGTGCGTTGAAATGTTATTTGTATGCATTCATTGTATCTTTTTTTTTTTTCCTTGTGTGTGTTGCTGCTTGGTTTTGTGTTTCAAATTACTGTACTGTTGTTCACCCCTATGTAATGCCCGCGAGGGCTTTTAGTGTAGTCCAAAGAATGCGACCCCAACTTCTCATTCCATTCGTAGTTTCGACCACAGCTCCCTGAAAAACTGGCAGATAGGTCAAAGAAGCACGAAGGGCTGTTTCAGCTCGTATATTCTCCGCAGTCGTACATGTGTTCGGATGACAGAACATATGACCAGACAAAGCAATGCACAGTGGAAAAGTTCACTGGTGATTCACTGGTGAATCACCAGTGAATATCTATCTACCAAACTTTTGTGGTCACCATTTCACTAGAGGCTCAAAGCAACTACAGCGCAGTCTAATACATATTAGAACGGTTCCTTTGTCTGCGCAAAGAACAGATCTGGGCTTACCTTAATCTGTCTTCCTTGTTCACTGCTACAAGACCGCCTCGGTCCCAGATGACGTCTACCGGCCCCACAGATTCCCTATAACAAATATATGATCAAAATCTCGGCTGCAGCACAAAGGCACGGCGCAGGTGACAAGAAGTGTCCACGTAAAACTGGTGCAACATTTCAAATATATTCCCCCATCAACATCACAATTATAGGGTTACGTAATGGGTATTTGCATATATCATGCGCAGCACTTAAATTGCTTGATACGTTTATGTGCGGGGTGCACTCGTATGCAAATTTTAACTGTTCTAGGGTGGGGTTGTAGCACTGTTTTAAGGTCTCACTTAAATTTCAAAAACCTAAATTTGCCAGTTTTCAGGAAAAACAGTTCTTCAGAGTGAATTACTCCGAATCATATTTTAAATTGAAAATGCTGAATGTTTTTTGGCTCCGAAGAATGAAACATGTTTTAGCCAGCGGTGGCGCTTTGGGAGAAGGGGGCACTCACTTTTTAAAGTCGAACATGCTGCAGACGAAGATACGTAACCGCTTGTCGTTAGTCTGTAACAAACAAAAATCTAAGCGATTTTTTCAACGATAAGTTGCTCACTTTGGCAAAGGAAGGTGTAAAAAACGTTTTCTTAAAAATGCAGTGTGTCAGACGTTTTTGATGCAGGTAGACTCCACTGGCTGATGCTATTATGAACCCAGTTGCAGGGTAAAGCCCTGGAACTTTTCCACTTTAGCAAAGCGAACGTCGGAGAGGAGCCAAGTCCCCATTCGCCTCGTCTCCGGCGTTTGCTCAGCCAAAGTGGAAAGGGTGAAGGGCTTCGCGGCAGCAGCTTGTCCCGCGTTTCTTAACCTGTAACTGGGTGTTTGCGATTTTCATCACGCGTCTTTGAACCTACTTTCACGGCTTCGTCTTTAGACCGCCAGTCGCTGTGAAAATCTTATTCGTTCAAGAAGGCTGGCAAATGAACCTGCTGCCACAGCTTTCTGTTATAGCCGCTAGGCGCCGTTGATTTCGCTGGAGTCGCCAATAGTGCGAACACGACATTGGCACATTTTCGCATTTTACTTTGAATATATATTATTGGTAGGCACAAAATTTGACCACTTGGGTTTATGTTCCAAACGACCACTTCCCACTGGGCTATGGTTTGATACAGCCTTTCCACGCGTACGGTAAATTTTCTGAGGCACTACATCGTCGGATGTAACCAGTCAATTTACTTAGGCGTTCGTTAGATGAATTTTTTTTATCCATCTGATGGAGGTTTCACGCCACCTCACTGCCACTGATTGGAGGATCAAAAGTTGCGTAGCAAAGTTTGCTACATCAGAAGCAAGATGACATCCACATCACTGCACGCCGATTTCTGCAACATCATTGAACGAGTACCTGTTTGCAAGTAGACGCAGAAAGCGGCGTCACTGTTGTTTTCTGTGCAACATATCCACACTAAGCGCCTCGGCAAATTGTCTATAGTCGGTGACAACTTAAGTAAAGTGGAAGCTTCTCCCACCTCCTCTCACTTTAGCAGAGTGAAGGTAGGAGAGGAGGTGGCCTCCTTTCCAGCATTCGTCTGCTAAAGTGGAAAGAGATTGGAGAGACTTCCACTTTATTCTTAACCTGTCACCAACTATGGTGTCCGTAACTAAGGTGCTCCTGCTAAAGCCATGCCCACAGAATGCACACACCTGGAGAATTTTGCAGTTGATGACGGGGCACGTTGTTTCGACGTAGGAGAGCTTGTTTTCCTCGAAGAACAGGCGCACCGTTTTTTCAACGTACTCCAGTCCGGCAACACGATGCCCATTGTCGTAGAACCTGCGACGGTTGAACAAGCAACAGCCGAACATGTTACTTGATGGGGTTGTGAGAAGAGTCTATTAGACCCTTCCCAAAACCCCACCAAGCGAAATTTCTTGGGCCCAAAACACGCGACTCAATCGGAGTTCTTGCCAAACGGGGACGCAAGTCTCATCCCAAGTAGCACACTTGCTCGGCCCAGGCTTGGGCCAGACTGGCGCAAGCTAGAGCCAACTTGGCTCAAGCCTGTCACAAGCTTGCGCCCAACTGGCCCAACTATGAGCCAGGGAACTGTGCTGCTAGGGATGTCCAATACGCACGTTGAACTATGGCAGGCTCGTACCTATGATTTCTACAGCATCTACTACATGGCGCTCATTTCTGAAAAGGGTCTATGGATGACAATATAGCGTTCTACCCTCCTCTCTCCCATTTTTCCAGATTCAGATATGTAGCGCGCTCAGGGTGTCCCATTACGGCGTGATAGTCTGTCTGCTGTTCGTGCAACTTGCGCATTTGTTTGCGCAACTTGCGCACCCCCATTGCCGTCACGTGATTTTACGCCTCGGTTTCGGCCAGCGACGATATGCGCCCGGCTACCCTCGTCGGCGCGCGCTTTCTGCACATTCTTTGCGTTGCCCGTTGATTGTTGTACAGTGCAATCCACTCATAACGATACCACATATAACGATGTCCTGATTATAACGATCAGGTTCTAGAGTATTTCGACTAGGAACGCTCAGTATCTAGTCCAGATACAACGATAATCGGTTATAACGATTGATTTTTCGGGTTTTCTTAGTATCACTATAAGTGGATTGCACTGTATACTACGACTGTCTTCCTTCCGGAACCATAACCCCAGAACTCGTGCAAACGTTCAAGCGCAACGCTCGGCAGTGCACAGACACAAAGACGACGCGACTTTGCCGGCGGCAGGAGGCGCTTCGAGTTGAGTGGGAGGGGGAAGCCGTTCGCACAACGGACAATTTGAAAAAAAAAAAAAACCACCCCAAAAGGCGGTGCGAGAAGGCGCAATAAATGAGCCTTTTTCAGTAGGCCTCCGTGCGTGCATACATCCTTTCCCCTAGCCTTGCTTCCTGCTTTCGCCATTTTCAGAGGGCACGAGTCCAGACTCAATATTACGAGCAATCAAATTACTTGTAATCGATTACTTTTTGGCATAATTTTGTAATCATTTGATTAGCTTTAGTACAAAGCAATCACTAGAGTAATCTGCTTACTTTTGAAAATACTAAAATTAATCATACCCGTTACGTTTTCCTAGATTTGTACAATTCTCATTACAAGTGATCAAATTAATTGTAATCGGTTACTTTTTAGAGTAGTTATGTAATGATTTGGTTACATTTATTAGAAATTAATCGCAAGAGCAATCTTATTACTTTTGGAAGCTCTAAAATTACTCGTACCCATTACTATTTTTACCTCCCCTTTCTAATGGCGCCTTTTGCATATGTTTCCTACCAAGAAAGTTTCGAACCAAATCTCAGACAGGAGGATGTTTTACCGAAATTGGCGGATAAAGATGATAAGTAGTTCATTAATCGGTGATTCTAATCCAATAGTGGACAGTACAGAAGACCCGTCTTAAAACCGGCAAAGACAAGTCACTTTCAAAATCCAAAGTGTAATCGGAGAAGTAGCAGTTACTTTTTCAAGTAATGACCAATCACTTTTCTTCTAAAGTGATTGAGCAATCTAACACTTTGTAGCCAAAGCATATTGTAATCAATTACTTTTTTGAGTAACGTGTACAAGACTGCTTTTTCCTCTCCCTTTTCTGATGTTTGTAAAAGTTTCCCATCAAGGAACATTCAAACCAAGTTTTCGAGACGAGGGTGGTTTACCAAGGCTAATGGATGAAGGAGATGAGCAGGTTAGTATAACTCGGGTGATTCTAATCCAACAATGAACAGCACAAAAGACCCACTGCTTTCAAACAGGCGGAAAAATCTGTCGTTCTGAAAATGTCAAGTGATTGGAAAAGTAATCGTTACTTTTCCGAGTAACGTCCGATTGCTTTTCTTCTCGGGTGATAGAGTAATGTAATTGAATTCTTTTTAACCAAAGGTAATTGTAATTGTAACCGATTACTTTTTACAGCAAAAGCTGTTAGTGACCCGCTCCCCAATTTTGTAACGGCGCGAGCGTAAACGCCGTCAATTTCCTGGCTAAATTTGGCGGGAAAAGTGATGTTGCGTGACCTGATGTCGCAGCACCTACAGAAGGTTCAGGTTCCCGCTAAATTTAGCGTACAAAATTTACGTTGCGTGACCTAAGCACCAATTCAGTTTCCCCGCTGAATTTAGCGGAAAAATGGATGTCACGTGATGTGACCTATGCGCGAATTCAGTTTCCCCGCTAAATTTAGTGTGAAAATTGATGTCGCGGCACCTACGCACTCCCCGCAAATTTGGTGGAAAAATTGATGTCATGTGACCTACAGGCAAATTCGGGTAATTCAGCGGAAAAATTTCTCTTGCATGACCTATGCACCAAATCAGTTTCCCGCTAAATTTAGCGGAAAAATTGACGTCGCATGACATATGCACCAACTCAGTTTCCCCGCTAAATTTGGCAGAAAAACACATCATGACCTTAAAATCATTCATTCATCAGCAATGTTTCGACGCTAAAGCAACATCATCTCAATATCAGATCACCGTATGACGCACGATCAGTGCAATGTCAATCTATCGTCATCGTCATATAGTCTAATGATCAGCACAGCTCTCGCTGTCTAAATGCATCACATCGTGTGATCGTCGCGCAATTTATTTTCGAGTAACGTAAACAAGACTGGGCACGACCAACATCGTATACACTGTTTATCTCTTCTTTTTTTTTATGCTTTTTTTTTTTTTTTTTAGAGAGAGAAAGTTGGTAGTATGGGGCACAAAGAGCAATGAAAACTGATGCAACGGCACAATGCCAATCTTTTTTGACAGGCAGAGGCATGCTGGGCTGCCCTTCATTTGAAGTTCACAGACAACCTCTTAGACGGCGCTCGGAAAAAAAGGTCCATTATACAAACGTCCGGTATGCTTTCCTCAGCATCTGCTCCGCGACACTGAACGACACGTGACTGCTCGTCTGCGTATCCCCCGTCGTCTGCTAGAGCCTATTCTGTACAGCCAGTTCCAGGCATTCCCTTCGAACCGCGGGCTGCGCTGCACGCCTTGCTAAAGTAGGGAGTCTTCAATCTTTTCTCATTTTCACCATCGTGCATCATCCGGGTGCTCGTTGTTGTCGTACGTCCAAGCACAAAAATAGGTATGATTGTGACGCAATCACTGTGCGTGATTAGTTTAATCGATGATAGCAAATGCTCAGACTTGCGGGGGAAAACAAATGCGGCACTCAAAGTTATCGAGGTGCTCAGATTCATATACGCCGCGTGAGATAACGTAGATCAAAAAGCGACCGAGAAAGAAGAGGAGCTCACCACTTTATTTCGTTGGCCTTGCCGCAGAGCGGAATGAACACCTGGGCGTCCCGTCTGTTGCCCAAGACTTCATCCACGTGCTCGGTCAACAACCTGTGCAATGATAAGCGCATCTGCATCTTTATGCGTTTATTATACTTGCGTTTGCTTTCCTGGAAAAGTGCCCATGGGTTGTCCCCCCCAAAAAATGTAGTGTTTATTTTTTTAATTTTTACCGCAAAAATAAAAGATGCGTTGCCGAACGCTCGTTCTCCACCCAAAGGTAACGTTAGCGGACCGGACCGGAAGTCAAAGTTATGTTATTTTCTTTAACTTTTAACTCGAAAGTGTGGCCCGTTCGCGCCGTTCGGCCGCATGTCTTTGTCGGCCACATTTATACCGTCAGAAATTTCAGAAAATCTCTCGGAATTTTGAATAAGATGATGGTTTGTTCTGAAATTTGGCTTCTAGTTCGGACCGCCAATGGTACATTTGGCAGAAACTGAGCGTTATTCTTCATTCGAGCTTAACTCCTGACGCAGCCGACGTTACGAGGTAATGGCACCAATCGAGCAGCGTTAAAACCGCGAGTCTCTAGGCCTTTCCTGTTTATGATTAGTTCAGCGATAATAAAACACGTACGGAAACATCACGGACGCCATGATGGTGCACTTTTGACCCGGTCTGATTGTTCCTATCAGCTCGTAGCGTTGGCGTGCGTCTGGACTTAAAACGAAGCATAGACATAGTGAAAATTCTTTTTGCAAAAAAGAAAAAAAAAATTGTAAATTGTTTTGGGGGACATTGATTGAAAAACAAACAGTTTCTTTAGATGTTCATTGGCCGGTGCATAAACTTGATCTTCCTACCGCTTGATTTTGCTTGTGTATTCTAGAGGACAACTGCATCTCGTATCTCTTCGACAACTGCTTCTCGTATTTCCACCTTACTGTTAAATGGGCATGCAGATGCTTCTTTGATTGAAAAGCGGGCTCGTGCACATGTGTAGTGCCCACATTTCTCGCGGTGTGACGCAGTTGTTAAACACCTGTCTAAACTAGACACAGCAAATGCCGTGTCTAGTTTAGACAAGTGTCTAAACCAGACATGGCAAAAAAAAAAAGAAAAAGTTATACAAGCTTTATTATGCTGACAAAGACTGGTGAGCACATAATGAGTGATAGGCCTTCCAGGGAAGAAAAGAACAGCATCTGAACAGCACCGCCTACCGAAGAAGCACTTTGATTTCTTACACACGCCGTTAGATGGTGCTATGTGACTGGAAATACCCGTGAAGCGCGCAAGCTCCCTCATGCGCTGTGCGAATGAACTCGCTTTTGCGTGGTCCCGACACCGAACCTGGACGGCTCAGTCGGCAAAGCACGCAGCTCTGCCAACTGAGCTAGTACAAATCCTGCCGGGGGACTGAAGTCTTTGTATGGTTCCCCACGGGCGTACTAGCACTTTTCGGTGCCGGTCTTTCGTTACAATTGACCGCTACAGCTGGCCTTTACAACCAGACGTCGCAGAACTCCGTGGAAATCAACCAATGAGACACACTTTTGGCACGTGCATTCATTCTCTTCAGTGAGGACGTCGATCGCGCAGTCGGCACGGCCAGCAGACTGCGCAAGTGGCTGTCCGGACTTGCGTGACGAGCACACTTCAAGTCTCGGTTCAAGGTACAACAGACGGTCCGCAGACAGGCTGAGGCGTGTTTCCTTCCTGTGTGACGGTTCTGTCACGTAGGTCATGCAAAAACCGTCTGAAGACATTTTTGAAGCACACAAATGTATGGCATACGGCAACATTTGGCGTACGCCATACATTCTTTCGATTACCCGCGGATGTTCGCAGCCAACTGGCAGATCCGGAACAAAACAAATGATTTGGCGGATCGTATGCGGATGCCTGCACGTCCGGATATACATTTTCGCCGAGGCGGCCCATAAACGTGCGCGACTGCACAGTGTAGAGTGAGTAAGTGAGTGATACTATGAAGTGCATCATTGAATGTATAGCGGGGGCAAACTACTCTCTTGGATAAAAAGTGCCGGTCGGGAAGTAAATTGTTCTTTACGCCAATAAAGATTTCATTTTCACCCAAGATCGCTTTAGAACGATCTGTCTCGCCAAAAATGCAAAAACTTTTCTAGGAACAGCATTTTTAAGATATAATATTCAAAGTATTGAAAGTTCACTCTTAACAAAATGGAAATGAATTTAAGATCATCTAATTTTAAGAGACTGTAGCAGATAAACAAGTTTTAGCAGTTGATTGCTTGCACAGCGCCAAAGACGCTCACATTAAACGAGAACACTGTCACTGCGATGACGGGAAACCGCCTGGCTAATCGAGAGGGGGTTTGTAATTTGATGCCACAATACAGCAGAGGCAAGATGCCGTTTCCTGGTTGCCAGACGTCCGGCTGTGGTTGCTCGGCTGTCTGCATAATCAAGGGAACAACAGTATAAAGGGCTCCGAGACGAGACACACCAGCATCGAGATGGCGACGTCCAAAAGCTGTACTTGCAGACGTGAAGACTACGACAGTCAGTTCTCTACTGAGGAATTGCGGGGGAGAATGTACAAAATATCAGCAAATAAACGAGGGCTTCTACTCACGGATGGATGTCCGGCCTGTGCCATGGAGTGTTTCCAGTGTCCCAACAGTTAGACCAGAAGTCCCAAAGGGGCTTCTGCGTAATTTCTGTCATCCTCGTCTGCTAGTCACGTTGAGCTAAAATGCAAGGTGGAGAATGAAAAGCAATAGGATTTAAACCATGGTTTAGTCATTCACAACTTTTCCAAAAAAATAATTCCGAAAATATTTTTTTTATATGTTGTTTATAATTTTATGCTTTCATATTCAAATAAAAAAATCATCAAGCAAGAAATATTTATGCAAGTCTGATCATGAACAAAGAGAAGTGCTCTTCTGAGCATTTCTATTTTTAAATTCCACTTTGTTGGTCAGTTATGTAACACCCTACTGAAACGGAATCAGAAACCAAAAGAAACGAAAACTAGTAAAAGAATGTCCTACTGCAATCAAGTTAGAATGCAGAAAAAAAAAAAGAAAATTCAAAGCTTCTTAACTAAAAGCACCCGTCCTGTGTTCTCTCCGTCCAGGTCTTTCTGCGTGCTGTATTACCTTAAAAATTTCTAAATTGGGCTGTTTTTGCTTTAGTATGGTGGGGATTACACCAATTAAATAGTTAACTAACTGTACTTTACAGTAATTTTTTTCTTTCCACACTGTTATCAGTGACTGGATGAATAGATCAATCAATATGACATATAGACATATAGATAGAGCTCCATGTTTTCGGATAAATCCGGAAAACTCCGAAAAACACCCGCCGGTAAAATTTTTGTCAATTCGGATTTATCCGATAAACTCCAAATTGTTATGTGCCCATGCCCCCTTCCCCCCCCCCCCCCCCCCCCCCCCTTTTTCTACAAAAAAAAAAATATATATATATATTTTTCTTTTTTAGAATTTGAGCAGTGCAGGATCAATGGTCCTGGGAAAATGAGACCATAATTATCTTTCAAGCCTCAGACCGTTGTCAAAAGGGGGTCTTACGGCTTGTCTCGTCAAGGTTGGTTCAGGGAAACAGGTCATCGTACCATTCGTGTCACGACAAAAGCCACCCTTTTGGCTTCCAGTTTGGGCCATGGGATTTGGGTTTTAAAGAAAGGAGAGGGTATGTTTCTGGGGGTAACAGTGAAAGCTATGGACCGTAGAGATTGTATAAGATAGGGAAAAGGGACAGTTGAAACTCTCTACTACCTACCTCGCGCGGCCGCGGGATAGATTGATGGGATGACAACGAGCTTCCTTGCGGCTACCTCCGGCAGTTTATGGATTTTAAGGTATCGACGTTTATTGAAGCCACACTTGTGTGCGACTTTTGTCGTGGGACAAATTAGTATTGCAAATGACACCAATGCCAAATTCAACTGAAGAAATCTTAATTATTACAAGCGTGTTTTATTTTTAATCTGGCATACATTTACATCCGGTTATTATTTATTATTTTTAATAAGAAACAGTGTGAAATTAATCTCCAAATTTCTGAGAATTGGGGATTTACGAAAAATAAACTCCGATAAACACCGAATTTTCGCTAAAAAATAAACTCCGAAAAACACCCTCCGAATTTCACGAAAAAAAAACTCAGAAAACGCGGAGCCCTACATATAGACTTAAAAATCACTCTTTTCTAGGTTCAGTTATTTTAACCAAAACAATGCATAATTTTGCTTAACTAATCTGTTCTATAAAATCATTCCAATATTTTCTTAATTTTCTCTTTATTTTTGGCAAAATGTGCAAAAACAGGATATTTGCTTTTAATCTTTGAAATGCTGGAACTGAGGGACAAGAACACACCACAGATCAGAGCCCGCCCCCACCGCCCTTCCTGTTTTTGTATGGAATCGGGCATTTCCTACCGGCCTGTGGTGGTGTATCACTACTGCGTGATGCACCAGGCTCACAGTGGTACTGTACCGGCATATGGCTCTGGTTCCGGCTAAATTTCTCAGCTATGGCGGAGACTCCAGACTCCTCTTTGGGCTAGCTAACTTCCTGCTCTAAAGGAATGGACAACACAATTAGACAGACAATTCGCAACTTTCACGACCTATAGGGGGCGCGCACTGGTGCCTATCAAAATGGTTGTCATCTGGATGATCGTCGTAGAACAGCGGTACGAGGCTGGGTCTGCGACGCGTAAGTAATTCTAGTTTTGCTACGTGCGCAGTGTTAGAGCCTTGTGTTATTTTTTTATGCCAGGAAGGTGTAGGCAAGCCCATTTATTATGAGGCCAATCATCCAGGAGCTAGGGAGCACGATTCTCACACCGCGGTACCACCATCGCTGAAAGTTGCGAATACCTAAAGAGTCAAAATGTAGGTGGATCTGGAAGTTGCTCGACACACTGAAACTAAAAATCTAATTGTAATAAAAAAAAGAACAAAAAAAACATGGAGATACACTTGTTTTATGGGGGCAAGGTGGTCTTCATGCACATATACAGGGTGTTATCTTTGTTTCTTAATACTTTACAGAATTCTTTTAGAAAAGCCGTGAAAGCTACACAACGCGGTCTTTGGAGGCGAGTTTTGCCGTCAAGGGGACATAATATAGGGAGATAACCATCACTGTCAGATAATTAACTAAACCTTATTATTTTTAACTGGCGAACGTATAAACACGGTTACAATCGGAAGCTTGCTGAATGTCATCGCAAACCACTAAATCAAATCAAATTTGGAAAGACTTTGAGTGTGTAAGAAGCGGGGTAGTGCGCTAAAGACATGTGGAACAGGCACAAGTCTGCCAGTGCAAGAACGTGACTGATAAGAGAAGGAAAAACCGCGCAGGCGCGTTTTTGTGTCTCCAGTCTTTGCGCCTGCTGCACGAGTGAGAACTTTACCACAGCACTGCGCTGTTCACGCGCCACAAACCTTTCCCAAATTTACCGATTTAGGGGTTTTTGATGATGCTCAGCAAGCTTCTAATAGGAAACATGTTTACCTTCACTAATTAAAAACGTAATTGACAACATTTAGTGCATTAACCAACTTATCGTGACAATTAGGCCCATATGTTATGCCCCCTGGCCATACGACTCACCGGCACAGACCGCTTCTTGTTGTACACGGTGTCCTTGATTCAAGGAGAGGGAGACTCGCCTTGATGTGATCTGTCGCACCTTTCTCAGTGACAAGTTACGACTTCAGACAAAGTCGCTTCGTAATCTAAGAACAAACAAGCGCCCAACTTTTTTTTTATTATTATTATTATTATTGCGTGGATGAAGCTTATCTTTATCTTCTGACAAGCCTTGGACGACAAGAGCAGGGACCAGTGTCGAAGTCAACGCACTGCGTGCTCCGTTTGCATTAGAAAGAGAAAACGTCCAGTCATTCGAGGCATGCGGTGTCCAGCCTCGCTAAACCCGCGATTGCAATAACACACTACGTTCGTATGCGAGTTGGCAGTGCTCCGGCGGGGCCAATCAATCGGTTGTCTTTTTTTGCCACTGCATGCACGGCTGATTGGTCTATAGATAGAGAGTGTTGCTTTCACCTCCGGATAGCGCGAGATATTACCATTGTGCGACCAAGTATAAATTTTTTAGTCAATCAAGATCGACGACACCCTCACACCAGACAGTCTGCGAAGAGGACCACGGTGTGGGTGTGGAAATGTATGACCAGATTCTCTGACGTCGCGCATCTGCGGTGGCACTGCTGTTGACACCGAGCTGGCTTTACATTGAGCATGAGCCTGTCACAGTGTTTTACTGGTCTAGCAGTACGGCGTCAAATTAGCATATCAGGGCTTAGTGGTTGTAGAATGAAATAATTGAGAACTTTATTCAGTACAAACGTCTTCGGTGAGAACAAACGCTCCACTACTTCAGACTGTGGAAGTATCTAAAGCGGCTTCGGGGCTCAGAACAATGCTTAGAAAGGCACAAGTAGACCTTGCACTTCTCGGAGATGATAAGCAGCTCTTTCCTTCCTGTGCACCTTTCTGGTTTGCACCTCTGCTCCCCATAGAATTTAGGATGAATTCGCGCCAACGTCCCAGCTGGTCAAACCTCACGTCATGGACGGGCCTATTTTCAGAGTACCTAGCTTGCTTTGAAGGCTGCAAAAAAGACAGTGAGGATCTTTTCCACTTTTGAGCCTTCGGTATACACGGTGCTTTCGCGAAGGCTTCGATGATGCTCAGGGTTAAGCTGAGCAGGTCAAGCTGCTTCGCAGACGTGAGCCCTTGTGTGTGTGCATCGCTTCTCTGCTCGGGCCAAACATTTGGAACTGACAAATTTAGAGAATGTAACTGAAGAAAAAAAAAAATATTAAAAGCACCGAAGTCAATGGATTGGTCATCACTCAATGCATGCCATGAGCAACTGCTGAGCCCTGGTGTCATCAAAATAGCCCATACCAAAGTGATCCACTACAAAAATACCAAGGCATGGAGTATATATAGTACGGTACCCATTACAGGGTTATGGGTCAGGCCTTTCGGAGGTGTACTGGGGCTTGGAGTCTCAAAGTCATGTGACACATGACGTCACTACTTGTTTTTGCTTCGTGATATGGGACACGTCACACATGAAGTCACTGAAAAATACTCGTTATGTTGGCCTGGGTCGTCCCGTACAAAGACGCACAATCGCTACGTCGGCGTGCACTCGCTCGAGCTACCGTGTCGCAGTACATACCTGCCAAGATGTGGCACGGATTTGCTGCCAGGCCGAGTTCTTTTTCGGGCGCTCGCTCAAATCGGGGTGCTGCGTTTATAAAGCAATGCGTATTCTTTAATAAAGCCTACCTGTGGCCCCAGCGCCCCAGCGGCCGAGATCAGAGCCGAGATCACCCAGGCCGTGTTCCAAAATTTACTCGATCTTACTCCAGGGTAAGAGTTTTGTACCTTGGCGTTCCAAAAGTTCCAAAACGTACCCGCGTCCAGCCAATAGTAGGCGTTGGTCCAGCGTTCTTCAATCTGTGTTGTCATGTGACACGACCCGCCGGAGTAACTCGGGTTCATTTGGATGGCGGCTCTGATGAATGGTAGTAATGGCTATTCCCTTTGTAACGGGCGGTAGCTTGCGCCACCTAGCCTACGTCTAAACATAAAAAAACGTGATTCCTCCCGACCTTTTAAGACTAATTTTTCTCCCCTAACTATCACCAGGCAGTGTGGGATTTTACCGGGTAAAATTTGGAACAGTGTTTGGAACAGTTCCAGATGGACCAGTGACAACTAGTGCTCCTAGCGGCGTAGGCAAGACGTCGGCATTAACCATAATCTGGTTCCGGTTCCGGTCACGTTAGTTTCGGTTTCGGTATTCCTGCTTCGGTTTCCGATACCCTTTTTCTTCTCCTGTTCTCACTCTCTTTCCTCCTTGCCTCCCTCCTCGTTAGGCTCTCGGGAGCAGTGTTGCGGAATGGGCACCCCCATTCCATTCCAATTCCATTCCGGGGAATTAGAGTTTGCGATAATTCCATTCCTTTCAACTCCTAGGAATGGGGACACTGGGCCCATTCCCACTCCTGGAATGGCTGAAACGTTCCATTCCATTCCTTTGATTTCTAAATGTTAAAAGTGTCACTTAACAGCTGCATTGCGTTTCAGGGTTGGGCAGAAATATTTAAAGATGTATTTAAAAATACAAATACTGGGATAAATGAAAAAAGTTGCTAAAATAGTGATACTCAAGTCTCAAATATATCTGTAAAAATGTATCGCGATACGTATCCGAAATACATTTTAAAAAGAGGCAAAAAAGTATTTCGAAATACAAATACAAGAATACACTTTAGCGAGGGCAGAAATATAAATACTGATAATGCAATACATTTTTTTAATTTCTTTGAGACGCCAACTGAGATGAGGCTCTAAGCTTGAAGTGGAAGTTTTCTTGTTGTCCCGAAATAACTTTCCCGTAGGCTTAACACTTCGCCTTGAAGGTAGTGGTTCCGGATGAAAAGTCTTCAATGGGTTCAAAAAACATTTCATCAAGGATTGACCGCGCTCCCTTCCCTGGCATCCTGTCTGTCTGACCAGTGATGCGAAAAGATTTTGACCTCTAAATAAATTCCATCAAAACATCATCACTTTCCTGTCCAACAAGGGCGCCCCTGTCAGCACTGATCAACTGACGTCACGGTGGGATGAACTAGTATTGCTAGTATTCTTGTATCTGTAGGTGTTGCCTTGAACATGAAACTTTACCCACGCTGCTGTATGAAAGGACAGTACGTACTTTCGTTGTAGGCTACCTCGTTGAAGACCATGGAATTTTCGAGAAAAGTGGGCCACCTGAAGCATCCTGAAGCACATGTCTAATCTTCTGTTACGGTTGAAAAATCGATACGGTGGCATCCCTGTTGTGACGGACCCTCCGCCTCCAACGCATGAACGGCAGTCTTCAAGTTTCGCCTAGCATCATTCAAACAGAGACCTCGTGAATTGCGACCTGAGATGGCCGGCACAGGTGCGAGCAAACAGCGCGTTCGAGACGAGTTGCAGGTGTACGAAGTCTGGGTCCGCACAGTGAGGTCACGTTTGGCCTCCTTCCTGGGTATCGGATCACCAGAGCTGCGGGTCACGTTCACGTCGGCTGATGACGTACCCTTGAGCCGTGCAATGTTACAGGCGCAGACGCATTCGGATATCTGTTGAACTTCACTGGTGAAAGGCGCCACCGCCCCCCCCCCCCCTCCCCCCTTTGTTCTTTGCTTTGACTCTTTTTTATTGCATTTTCTTTCGCGTATAAGTCTGTTAGGGCCTTACGCAGGTTCGCAGTTTCCCGTTCATTTTATTTCTGAACAACAACAACATTCCATTCCCATTCCATTCTGGGCAAAAGGCATCCAATTCCATTCCCATTCCATTCCCCTCAACGTTGCCGCCATTCCATTCCCATTCCATTCCGGGGTCGAGAAAATGCGGAATGATTCCGGAATCATTCCAACTCCGGAGTGGCAACTCCGCATCACTGCTCGGGAGCTCATCGGCTCCCAAAGCCGCTGTTTCTTTTTGTTTTGTTTTTTAATGTTGACGCAGTTTTATTTTAATAGCAAGCCCTAGCAGCACACACGGTCCTCCGTACCTCCTCAGGATGGGTCGCTCAATAGGTTAATTTCGCCCGATTAGGCTGTGCTCCGTTCTCTCAACACCTTCTAGAAGACAAGGCCGACTAGCTATCTCGTGCCGTCGCAAAGGAAGGCCATCGGGGGCGCGCGTCGAAGCGAAGGCAACGCGCATGGATCGACCGTCGTAACGCGCTTTTAGTCACACTCGGGTGTCTTATCAGCTAAAATGAAAGCTGCACATAGCAACGGGTCTAGAAAACATTTTATTACACGGGCAAAATATAACACCGCTAAGTAATCGGTGCGAAATGGCACGAGGTATGCGTATAAGACGTCTATAGAAAATTGTGATTGTTTTAAAGGGATACTTCAATGAAATTTGAAATATTCCCGTCGTGTTCAAAAATAGGTTGAATATGATCCACAACATCCGTAAATGACAAACGCACGTTTGTATTTTGAGCCTGATTACTGTATTTTTCGTTATAAACGGCCCACTCTGGCAAGCGCTCGGAGAAGGCCCAGTAGAGACCACGTGACAGCCAACACAATCGTGACGTAGGTCGTCTCGGGACGAGCAAAGCTACGGCGAGGATGACGTCGAAAGGATGGCCTAGTCGTTCCAGCCACCGAAGCGGCTGCTTTTGTACGAATTTTGAGTAACGGGTTAATCTTCTATAATCTTGTAGGGGGACAATAGCGACTTCTGCGACACACAAAAGGCATTCTCGGAAAGAGGGGAGTTCCTCCTTCCCCTCTTCTCTTGTCGAGGCCGGAGGCGGGACACTCACCGTCACTACCTCTCAAGGTTCCTAGACGGGCATTACAAGTTAGGCGTTAGCGGCATCCACCAGGTGCTCTTTGCTAATCGTTTAATTCGTTTTAAAATTTCTTTTCGAGACTTTTTTTAACGAGATATTGGTATGTTCGATGTGATGCTGCTCCTTTGAACATATATAGACCAAAAAATGAGCGCCGAAATTTCGTTGTAGTACCCCTTTAAGTCGAAAACATTGAGCTCTAGGCATGCACATTTTATACAGAAATACTTGGAAGAAATGGCGCGACACGCAGTGATTGGACACAGCAAAACAGATCACAGTTAAATATCAGGTAGGCCTAGTCAACGCGGACATGGCTAGACAAGTGTCACTTACGATCATGTAAGCGATGTTATCGCGTGCAGTCACTGAATTCTTGCATTATACCCCGGCCACATGGCAAAACTAGTGTAATTTCGATCAAATGACATTATGGGGTTGACGAATCAGCTTGCGAAGCTCGTATAATCACTCAAAACCGCGAGCTGATTAAATCCTATATAATTCAATGAAACTATATCAACTTTTCTGTGTGGCAGGAATACTAAAATTACTATTTACAGTAAACTAATTTACTTCTCCCTATAGGGAGTATTCACTGGCGGCCATAGCTGTGTGCGCGAATGCTGAGCGCGTGCTGATGGCGAGCTTCCACAGTTTTTTTGCAACGTGCATTCCGCACCATCAAGAGTGCCGGTCTTAGCAGCCTATTGATGTGAGCTCGTTCTGAGCATGCGCTCTAAACAGCACCCACAAATATGGCGTCCAGTGAATACTCCCTATAGGCTCGAGCTGCCTTGGAACAAAAGTAACTCATTTGGTATAGAATAATACTAGTACCTTAATAAAGTTAAGATTCTAGCATACTCGCGGTAAAGGCAATAAAATAACATTAGCATAAATAAACACATAAGCACGAACAACGCACTTTCAATAATCACACAAACTTGTCACTCACCTTCCAGTGAAAACTATACTCCGTTTCAACTTATGTTGTACCGCAGCGAAGGCTAGAAGCGCGAGCTCATAGCATTGGCAGCTGCCCTTAACGCGCGAGAGCTTGTGCCTCCGAGATGTGCTCTAGAGCAAGGAGCTCGCGCTTGTAGCGCGGTACATCATAAGGTGGAATAGAGTATAGAATATTACCACGCATATTTACAAACGTCAGCGCAACTGCACACGGATAACGACGAAAAACGAGATTACTTTCTATCACAAGATTAAAAAAACACACACACACAAAATGACTGCACTTTACTCGCGTTTTACATGACCAAGAAAGCCCGTAAATAAGTTGTTTCTCACCCGTCGATCGTATCCATATGTACCACAATATCTGTCGAAAACGTTTGAGCACGAACTCCAAGAAGTCTCTTTCTGTCGAGAGAGAGGTCCATCGATGGCTAGTTGCCACACGTGCGACTCAAACCATAGCCGGGACTTTTCCCACAAATCCACGTAAATGTCGTAGTACCAAGCAAACACACACACAAAAAAAAAAAATGACCCGTAATTGCGGTGACGACAGAAAAACGACGGGAAGAACCACTCACGAGAGCAACGGCAAGCAGTGTGCGACGAAAGGCCCTCTTAGAGTTCCTGTATACACGTTTGCAAGTCCGGCTTCAGGGCGCTGCCATCTTGCCTGTCTGGGGTGCGCTTGGACCAGTCATAATCCGATTACGAAGCCTTGCTAAGGCGTCGTAATCGGATTATGGCCGCTCCCGAGAGCGCACCCCACTGAGGAAGATGGCGGCGCTCTGAGACCGGACTTGCAAACGGGAGCCGTCAGGAACTCTAGGCCCTCTTCCTCCTGTGCACTCCCTGCGGCGATGGCTGGATTTTTTTTTTCGGTTCCTTTCCCTTCTCAAATGTCTCAGCGTTCGTTTTCAGACAGTCAACGGCTTACACACAAAGTAAATTTACCAGAATCGGAGCCCATATGAGGGAAGAAGATGTTGCATCGGAGCCGGTTCATTCGAAAAGTGTGGGGAGCTGCGGGACTGCACGTTACGGTGATAATCATAAATATAAATTTGATACTTTCAAACTTGGTAACGCGTTGTATAATACATTTATATTATATATATATAATAA